AGGTAGCAATACGGTTTGTGTGTGCCTCTATAATGCGACTTTTCCCCCCTCTCTCAATGCTGCTTCTCTCCAGCTACGTAAATATTCTATACAGAAGGACCCAGCATGTGTGTGGCAGGGCTTGGGGGCCAGAGCTCAGGGTTCAAACGCCTGTTTAAAGGAGTCAGATTTAGGAGGCTAGGAAAGATTCCCTTTCTCTTGCGGAACTGCTGTCAACTGGAACAGGGGTCAAGAACCTGCGGCCATGCAGGTGATGTTGGATGCTGAACTCTCACCGGCCCCAGGTGGAGTCTAATAATAATAATAATAATAATAATAATAATAATTTATTATTTATACCCCGCCCATCTGGCCAGGCCTCCCCAACCACTCTGGGCGGCTTCCAACAAAAGATTAAAATACAGTAATGCATCAAACATTAAAAGCTTCCCTAAACAGGGCTGCCTTCAGATGTCTTCTAAAAGTCTGGTAGTTGTTGTTCTCTTTAACATCTGGTGGGAGGGCGTTCCACAGGGCGGGCACCACCACCGAGAAGGCCCTATGCCTGGTTCCCTCTAATTTTGCTTCTCGCAGGGAGGGAACCGCCAGAAGGCCCTCGGAGCTGGACCTCAGTGTCTGGGCTGAACCATGAGGGTGGAGACGCTCCTTCAGGTCTACTGGACCGAGGCCGTTTAGGGCTTTCAAGGTCAGCACCGACACTTTGAATTGTGCTCGGAAACGTACTGGGAGCCAATGTAGGTCTTTCAACACTGGGGTTTGACATCATCTGGGCAACTGCAGGTTCTCCCTTCCCAGAGTCAGGACTTCTTTTCAGACGGAACTTGCGGCACCTCTCAGGTGAACACCACTGCCATTCTAAGAGAACGACAGAGGCGTTCATGGCGAGTTCCAGCACCTCTTTTTCTAAAAAAATAGCACTGCCTGGAGTAGACATTACTAGACTGGCCAGCGGTCTGGCTATGTTTAAGGCAGCTCGATTTCATTTTTCTAAAGCTCTCATGTCAGCCTTCATCAACTGGGATGTTCCCCCATCCCAGATGTTTACGGACTCCAAATCCCATCGGTGTCGTGGTCCTGTTGTGCAGAGCTCGTTGGAGACAAGAGTCTCAGCATATGAAGTTGGTGGAGCATGAGGCTCTTAGTCACAAAACCAAGGGTCCAGATGTAGAACAGGAAGCAGCAAGGTAAGGCCAGGAACCACAGCATCCGAGAGCTCTGCTTAAGGAGGCAGAAGCCAGCCGATTCTCATCAGTGCCTTCTCCTCCGCTTCCTTGAAGGCTGATCAGCTACAGGTGAAGTCACTATGGCTTCTCCCCCTTCAGGCTGCTGTTCAGCAGGCGAAGCTGACTGCTGGCCCCTGACCATCAGCCCATCAGCCACTGGTGGGCGTTGGAGTCCTAAACATCTGGCGGACACCAGGTTGACGAAGGCTGGGTTCGCCCTGCTTGTGGAGCCGTAAATGTGGCAAGCGCAGGAAACGCTGGGTGGGGATTCTGTAGCTGGGATTCCTGCATTGCAGGCGGGGTTGGGCTGGATGACCTTGTGGGGTCCCTTTCAACTCTATGATTCTGCAACTCCCACCAGCCCCAGCATCAGACCACATGGCTTGATGGGAGCTGTGGTCCAAAACATCTGGGGGGCACCAAGTTGGCGAAGGCTGTCTTATGTAACACAGAGATTGGGGGCAGCTACCCTGGAACGAGTGACGCCTATTGCAAAACCGGAAAGGGCTTGCTCTCCCTGCCTGCAAAAAACAGGCGATGGACAATTACAGAACTGGGATCACATAGCAACTGGGATTGCAGCCCCTCGCCGGCGAGGAAATTCTGCAGGACTTTTGGCTAGCCAGAGCAGAGAGGGCAAATATTTCACGGCCTCGGGCTTCAGGTCCTAGGTACGCCAGGGTTTTGCTGAGATTGACGGGGAAGTTCGATGTGACCGTCACATACACACCTCTCTATCTTTCTCAACCTCCCCCTTCTCCACAGGTCCTGTTGAATCTAAGAAGTACGACCTGCAGCAAAAAGTTGAAGCGTGACACGTTTTGCCCCGCATTCCTGTCGCCCCATTCCATTCCCCCCAGAGAGAATTTTGCAACCACTGAGCATATATGATCTTCTCTGGGATGTTTTGAGGGCAACCCCCCTCCCCAGAGGGGGAGAAACTTGGGGCTTCTTGAAGCCTGGCGATGGCTTTCTATTTATGTGACGTTAGTTTGGGCTCCATCAAGACCCATCGTTTACAAAAGTTCACCATGAGCATATCTGTTTCCTCCTGCTATTCAATTCGAACTAAACAAACCCCTGTGTTGCAAAAGAGAACGTCGACAATGTTTAGGCAACACGACGACCATATACATACGTAATAGACAATCTTTATAGAATTCCTTCAAACAATAGTAACAAGTTCAAACCGAAATCTTAGTCACAAAGTCTCTGGAAACCTTTAAATGAAGCGAGGTGCCAAACTTTGTTCGATGAAAGGTAAGCTGTGGAGTATTTGTGTATTCAGCAAATATAATGTCCGACACTGAACAGAGATTCCGGATATTGACTGCTGTTTCGTAGATCTTCGTCAGTGTGGTGGGAGAATATAGAATTGTTTCATAAACCCATCTTATTTCGAATGAATATATGTGAATGAAAATATCAAATGCTGTGGAGCATTCATCTCTGTTCAGTGTTGGACATTATATTTGCTGAATACACAAAGCTCCACAGCTTATCTTTCATCGTACAAAGTTTGGCACCTCGCTTCATGGAAAGGTTTCCAGAGACTTTGTGACTAAGATTTCATTTTGAACTTGTTATTCTTTGAAGGAATTCTATAAGGATCGCCTATTACATATGTATGGAGGGACGTGGGTGGCGCTGTGGGTTAAACCACAGAGCCTAGGACTTGCCGATCAGAAGGTCGGCGGTTCAAATCCCCGTGAAGGGGTGAGCTCCCGTTGCTCGGTCCCTGCTCCTGCCAACCTAGCAGTTCGAAAGTACGTCAAAGTGCAAGTAGATAAATAGGTACCACTCTGGCAGGAAGGTAAACGGCGTTTCCGTGCGCTGCTCTGGTTCGCCAGAAGCGGCTTAGTCATGCTGGCCACATGACCCGGAAGCTGTACGCCGGCTCCCTCGGCCAATAAAGCGAGATGAGGGCCGCAACCCCAGAGTTGTCCACAACTGGACCTAATGGTCAGGGGTCCCTTTACCTTTATTACGTATGTATATGGTCATCGTGTTGCCTGAACATTGTTGACATTCAATTCGAACTAAATGGATCTGTTCAGACGGCGAGGAGGATGCAGTCTGGCTTCTTGAATTAAAATGCGGGCGACCGTGTTTGGTGCAGAAGGGCATGTTTCTGTGGCCTGGGGACAGCAGACAGACCTGATCCGTAGTCCTGGCAGAAAAATGGCCTTACTAGATCAGACCAAAAACCCATCAAACCCAGAACCCTCTTTTCTACAGTGACCAAACTGATGTTTGCAACAAGGGATGAGAACCCAATCCCTCTTGCGTCATTGCTTGCCGAACGGTTAGAGTGCCAGACCGAGACCTGAGAGGGACCAGGGTTCGAATCACGACTCAGCCATGAAGCTCACTACCTCGCAGGGTTGTTGCTAGCCCAGCTTTGGCTGGGGAGGGCGGGATATAAATAAAAATTTTTTATTATTATTATTATTATTAAATGAGGAGAGGGAGAGAACCAGCTTGAGCTCCCTGGATAAAAAGTTGGGATATAGTTCAACGAAATAAATAACTTGTTTTCCAGCAACTGGTAGTCAGAGGGATGCCCATCTCTTGAGACAAAAGGTAGCCGCCATTTTGTCCCACAAATTGATTCTAGACTCCTTTTAGATCTGGTGGCAGATTTTCCAACCCAGGCGACGCCAAAATTTAGCACCCGGTACAGGCGAATGGTTTAACCCCCCCCCCCGTCCTAAATGGAGGTGTCGGCCAACACATTTCTCTGATGACCAATCAGAAGGGTCCGTGCTGCCTGCCAATCACAGGGCCTGATTTTTCTCCCATGAGGTTCCCAGTCCCTAGTCTCCATCCTCCCCTATATCGAATTGTGCTATTTAAAGAATATCATCTGATTGCTTCCTGCCTCTCTTTGGTGACCTGCAAAAAAGGAAAATTCTGGGGGAATTTACTGAAGGTTTCTATAGACAAGCAAGAGACCTTTTAGCATAAGACTAGGACTTCATACCACGAAAAAGAAAGGTTTTGTTCCTTAATAAAGGAGCCCTTTCATCGGGTGAAGGAGTTAAAGGCTTTTTTCTTTTCTTTTCTTAAAGAAAACTCTAGATTCTGTCTCGAAACACACACGCAACCTCTCTCTGCTGGTGGTTCAGCTGCAACCTCCAAATTTTGCCAGTTGCCATGGAAATCAACAAGAGATAATGTTATATATATGTACACAGGATTTTTTTTTTTTTTAAAAAGGGAGGGAGGAAGAGGTCAAATTTTCTTTTCTCTCAAAATGCAGGCTAGTCGTGTGTCTGTGTATGAGAACTTTGATTTGTGTTTTATTTTATATTGTGTTTTTATGTTGCGAGTCGCCCTGAGATCTGCGGATGAAGGACAGTATACAAATTTTAATAATAATAATAATAGGCATGAAGACTCCCTGTCTGAGGCCCTGCCGGACTGTGAGGACAATATTGGGCTCCCTCAGCCTCCGCCAACCAGGTGCCCTCTAGATCTTTGGGAGCTGCAAAACATTCGGAGGGTGCCAAGTTGGCAAAGGCTGGGCCTGACTTGGCTAGCTGGACCAGTTGCCCGAGTCCTTGCAAGGCGGCTTCCTCTGTTCAACTACAATTCCCAGGGTTCCTTGGGGCAGGAGCTACGGGTGACCAGGTGCCACACACAAACTGGGTTCCTGGGTCTTTATTTAGGCAGCAGATGAGAACATCTGGGCCTTCTTCCCATCCCAGTTGCCATGATGCTGTTGCTACGTGGGATGAGAAGCTAACAAAAAGGCTGGTCACCTGACCAGGGGCTGGGAGACGGGCAGGCCAACCGGCCAATCCAGGCCATTCTTGCTACCAGGGCACCAGACCCCCTGCATCTCCTTATAAGGAGGCTCTGAGGAGAGCCAGGGTGGCCTAGTGGTTAGAGCGTCGGCCCAGGACCTGGAGAGACGCAGGTTCAAATCCACATTTGACCACGAAGCTGGGTGATGCTTGCCACTGCTCAGTCTCGCCTACTTTACAGGGTTGTTGTGGTGTCGAATTGGGGAGGGGGTGAAGAACTATGTATGCCCCCTTGAAATCTTTGGAGGAAAAGGTATAAACCTCATACATATCTCAATGTTTGCTGCTTCCCGAAATGGCAGTTTGGGAGGGGGGCGAGCCTCCATCTTGGAGCCCGAAGGCACCGATTGGGAGTGGGGGAGAATATAATAATATAATAATTTGTTATTTATACCCTGCCCATCTGGCTGGGCTTCCCCAGCCATTCTGGGCGGCTTCCAACAAAATATTAAAATACCGTAATACATCAGACATTAAAAGCTTCCCCAAACAGGGCTGCCTTCAGATGTCTTCTAAAAGTTTGGTAGAATAATAATATGAGGGGTCCACTTGCAAATTGGGGAGCAAGTGAGGTTGAGCGAGAGAAAACGCAGGCCATGTTAGCTTGCCTACTGTCAGCATGAACTATCCAACGCCACTGTGACTTCCTTCCAACTATATCTTATGCCAGCCTTTGCCAAATGGGCTGCTTCGAACTACAACTCCCATGATGCTCTGCTCACCTGCTTGGCAATTTCCGTGAGGATTCCATCAGGGCAAACCCAAACACAGCCTGTTGTCAAATTTCTCAAACGGCAGGCAAATAACAAAGGGAATCTGCCCTGCTGACTTCTTCCACTTATCCATCAGGCTAACTATCTGCATCCCAGCTAGTTGTTACAAAAACTGGTTGCCTGAGTTAGCTTTTTTTTATTCCTCCTCCCTCCTCCTCCTCCAACTCTTTTTCCTTTTGTGCTGTGTCTGTCAGACTATAATCTTGCAGGCAGGACTGGGCTTTTTTAAATCTCCCTGTAAACATCGTCCTCTCCCTAGGGAACGGCAGCTCTGTGATGGCCAGCAGGGAATTTCCAGCAGCTTCAAAAAACTAAGTTTTCCAGGAGTCGTTTGGGGAAGAAGCAACCGCTAAACGGGTTCGAAACTGGTGTGGCCTTGTATGCAGACCCAGGGAATCCACACTTCCACACGGAAAGAGCAGAAAATGTCCAAGCTAAAGTCAGAGGCAGATATAGGTCAGAGCAACTGGTTTCACAGCACAGCAAGTATGACATAGTGAACTGAGCAAAAGGGAAGGTGAGAGGCTTGGATGGGTACCAATTTTTGGCCTTGCACAGAGCATCGCTAAAATTTGAAAGACCGAAGTCGTCCCCCCGCAACCCAACAAAGGCACATTGACCCTCAGCACATTGCAAAGGATCTTTGGGTGCCTTTACGGGGTCTCACACTGCTTCTCTGGCGTCCCCAATAATACTGCAGCCTGCAAGCGATCGCTTTGGTCATCTGTGTGGTCATCCCAGCTGTGACAACACATCCTAAGGTAAAGGTAAAGGGACCCCTGACCATTAGGTCCAGTCGTGGCCAACTCTGGGGTTGCGGCGCTCATCTCGCTTTATTGGCCGAGGAAGCCGGTGTACAGCTTCCGGGTCATGTGGCCAGCATGACTAAGTCGCTTCTGGCGAACCAGAGCAGCACACGGAAACGCCCTTTACCTTCCCGCCGGAGCGGTACCTATTTATCTACTTGCACTGGTGTGCTTTTGAACTGCTAGGTTGGCAAGAGCAGGGACCGAGCAACGGGAGTTCACCCCATCGCGGGGATTCGAACCGCCGACCTTCTGGTCGGAAAGTCCTAGGCTCTGTGGTTTAACCCACAGCGCCATCCGTGTCCCATACAACACATCCTAGAAGGCTTTAAAAGAGGGCTGGACCAAATCACAGGAAGAGGAGAGGGCTATCGATGGCTACTAGACTCAGCCCCCAGAGGCAGCAATGATTCTGAATACCAGGTGCTAGGAACCGCAGGAAGGGAGATCGCTCCTGTGTTCGAATCCTGCTCCCAGGCTTCTCACAGGCATCTGGGAGAACAGGATGCTGGACTAAATACGCCATTGGTCTGATCCAGCAAGCTCTCCTTATGTACTCACCCTACTTTGCAAATAATTCTGCCCTTCATTAAGGGTCCCCCGCATAAACTGCCAGCACAAGGGACTCCACCGGGACCCCCCTGTGAGGGTTAGGGGACCGTGACCTTTGCTGTGGTCGCAATCCAGATTCAGGGCCTGGAGTTTGTAGTTTACAGGGCAAAGGAGGGGTCCCATGGAAACATGAGAGACCTCCTTTTTTTGCAATGCAAGGTGCCATCACAGGGGGGTCAGTTCTGGATCTGCAGTGGGTCCTGTTCCCCTTGTGTCGGAGACCCTGATCCTGATCAGACCCTATTGGCTGTCTTCGGGGGGGGGGAAGACAGTGACCCTGAACTTAAGAAGCAGATTGATGGAGATCAGGTGACGTTCAGTGTGGCCCTTACTCAGAATTCATTGCGTGGCCCCTCAATTTCCCCACCTCTTTCCTCCCTCTGCTCCCCACCGCAGAACTAAACTCCAAAGAGTAGCCAAAGCCCGAGGGTCAGGCCTGCGTCTTCCACTCCTGCCTTGAAGGAACCCTTTCCCCATCCTTTTGTGCAAGCAACACACCCGATTCGACTCCAGGAGGGCAAGAGGCGGCCATTCTAGTGAGGACGGGAGAATTCTAGCAGCGGTTGCAAACGGACGTGGTGCTGAGGGCAGTGCTGAGAGCTGAGCAAGGGCAGCAGGACCCCCAGAGCCAAAAAATGGGGTCTGGAAATGCAGGGGAAGGAGCTAGCCTCCTTAAAAAAATAAAAATAAACGAAGTACAAATGGTGGTACCTCCACACTTAATTAGTGCCCAAAGCGAACGGGCAGATCTGCAGATTTGCTTCTCCCTGTGTGTTCGCCTCTTAGACCTAACCCAATTTTCAAAAATTATTTTCCTGCTCCCCAGATCTTTCCGCTCACCCCCCACCACCCAAAGCTTTTTGGGAAGTTCCAAAAAAAAATCAGAATAAATGACACCAAGGGGTATAGGAAACCCCTTCTGGCCTTTTCAAAAAACAGTGGCAGAGGTCCAGATACCTTTGTGGGTTCCTCCCTCGTTGCTTTATATTAAAAAAGAAAAAAGCTCTGACAGACAGACAGACGGATAGATTTCTGAGCATTCCACCTCCACCCACCTCGTCCAACACCTTCCTTGAGCCCGTCTGACTCACTGCAGCAAGCAGAGAAAGCAGTTGTCTGTTTTGGCAAAGGCCTGGCCTCAGAAGGAGGCCTCCGGGCCACCAAGCACCCATTGCCCTCCAGGGACCAGGAAGGAACAGGTGAATCCGGCCAGGTCCCTGGTCCTCGCCAGGAGAACCAGTCACCGGTCCAGGATGCGAGCAAAGTCTTCCCTCTTGGCGTTGCCCTCGTTCTTGAGGTCGGCGAAGACCTGGGTGAAGTAGTGGGGGTCGGCGTTGATCCGAAGCATCTTGGCGCTCATGGCGTTGATGATGCGCAGGCAGCGGTTCCAGAAGACATCTTTGGAGGCTTCCACCAGGAAGGGCTTCAGCGGGTAGGAGATCTCGTTGCCCATGTAGGAGTAGGAAAGGTAGAGGCAGGTGAGCAGGGCGGCCTGCAGCTCGTGCTCGCTGGCCACCGCGTCCCCGTCGATCATCTCGCGGCACAGCAGGTAGACGAAGACCACGTTGGCCGGGGTGACGAAGGCCTGGTCTTGCCAACCCTGCAACAGCAGGGAGCGGTCCACGCTGCGGAGCCACAGGATGGGCTCGGTGGGCGACAGGTGCTTCAGCCGGAAGCAGCGGCGGCACAGGAACTCGCCCAGGCACTTCAGCAACTCGCTGGTGGATGCCTGGACAATCACCCGCCGGGGGGACGACGCAGTGCCTCCGCCCACCACGCCAGGCTTGAGCGTGCCGGAGGATCGCTTGGAGCTGAGGGGTGCCAGCGGCGGCTCGGCCCCGTCGAAGCTGGCGAGGTTGGCGCAGGAGAGGGACTTCTTGACGTTCTCCTGGTTCAGTTGGGCCACGTCCTTGGCGTGGCCGTAGTTGCCGTTGTTCTTCGACGGGCCCTTGCTGCCACCGCCGCCACCCCGCGACCCCTTTTTCTTGGTCGAGGCCACTAGCCGTTTCCAGGTCAAGGCCGGGATGAACATGGAGTGTCTCTTGAGCCCCTTCTCGGCCTTCTGCCCGCCGCCCCCGCCGCTGCCCTTGGCGCCCGCCAGGCCAGGGTAGTGCGCCAGCGAGCTGGAGGAGCCGTCGTCGTAAAGGCTGGTTTTCCGCAGGCCCGGAGAGAGGGACAACACAGTCCCCATGGCGTCAGAGGGAAGGGAAGGGGAAAGAGGGGGCGCTGGGATGGAGCAGGCGGGCGAGGGGCTGAGTCAAAGGACCCCAGGCCCACTACAAGCGACCACCAGCAGGAGCCCAGGCCTCATGGCCGGATTCTGCCTCGGTGGGGTGTTCTCGCCTGGACTGGCCCCTGGAAGCAAAGTCTCCTCCTGCCTTGCAAGGGATGGGCTGCCAGACCAACGTGGCCAAACACACCTAGCCGGAGTGGGGAGACTTATCGGTGTTGCACCGGCGTCGTGGCCTCAGTGCCTGTGGCGCTTCTCATCCTGCAACTGCTGCTCCAGTCCACCCATTTGCAAACTTGCACACTCGGTTTCCAGTGCGCACCTTTACTGCGTCCTGGGAATAATTCCGGGTTTTGCAACTCAGTTTCCAGCCGCTGCAAAAAGCCCCGGCGCTCCTTTGACGGCCAGGCGGATTGCAAAGCTTGCAGGTGTCGTGCGTGTGAGAGCGGGGGTGCCTCCTGCCCCCCCCCCAGATGGAGGAAATCCTTGCTGGTCAAAGCTGGTGGTTGGAGACAGGGCGCGCGCAGACGTCCCCAAGCGTTGCTGCGGAAAGGTGCTGTTGCAAAACCCCAACTGCAACTGGGGAACCCGGTGGGAATCGATTCCCTTCCCCCCACCCCCACTGACCTCTTTTTTTAAAAAACCTAGATCCTGTCCGATCGGTCCCCAGACGGACTCCTCCCGCCGCCGCCGGGGGGCGCCATGCCGTTTTCCTTCTCGTTAGTCCCTGGAAGAAGGCGCTTCGGCTGCACCCCTGGGGCTGCGTGTGGGGGGCTGCTGGCTCCCCGTCCCCCCCCCGTCTTCCTTGCAAACGACGGATGGGGCCCCCGGGGCGGTCAGATCCTGCGCTCTCCCGACCACCACGACGCTGCTGCTGCTGCTGCCGCAATCGCGCCCGGCCGCCCCTTCTCCGGTGCCATCCAAGAGGAGCGATGGGGCTCTTGTGGGGCGGAGAGGAAAATCCGGATTTCCCCCAGGAGAGCTGGTGGTGGTGGGGTTTAAGTGGGGGGGGGGGGAAGCGTGCAGATGCGCAGAGCCTCCGCCGCAGGAAGGATGCTGAGAGCCAAACGCCGGTTCGAAAGGAGAGCGAGCTGTGCAACCCGGGGTCCTCTTCCAGCAGTGCGGATGGTCCGTGTTATTTTTGGGATGCGGGGCTGCGGAGCCTGGAAGCGACCGATCTCCCTCCGGGGCTCCTCGCCGGCGGCTGCCTTTGGACTCGCCGCCTGTCTGGCAGCGTCGGATGGGGATGAAGCAATGAGATGCAAAGGGGGGGGGGGGAGAGGAGGGAGGGAAAAGGAGGAGGAGGAGAGGGATGGTCCAGGGATGCTGAGCGCCCAGGATGTCAAACGCGCAGGCAAAGAGGATGGAGGGAGCCTCGTCTCTCGGGCTCCCCCCGCTGGCCCACCGCGGGAATTGCAAGGGAGCTTCCGGAATGCCGAGTCACAGCGCCGGCCCGTCCTCCTTAGAATGACAGGGGCACCCCGGGGTCATCTAGTCCAACCCGCTGCAATGCAGGAATCTCAACTGAATGATAATGGAATTATAGAGTTGGAAGGGACCCTTAAGGGTCATCTAGTCCAACCCGCTGCAATGCAGGAATCTCAACTGAATGATAATGGAATTATAGAGTTGGAAGGGACCTCTAAGGGCCATCTAGTCCAACCCCTTGCAATGCAGGGATCTCAACGCAAGCATCCATGCTGTATGGCTGCTTAATAATAATAATAATAATAATAATAATTTATTATTTGTACCCTGCCCATCTGGCTGGGTTTCCCCAGCCACTCTGGGTGGCGTCCAACTGAAGATTAAAAATACATCAAAATGTCACACATTAAAAACTTCCCTAAGCAGGGCTGCCTTCAGATGTCTTCTAAATGTCAGGTAGTTGTTTATCTCTTTGACATCTGAAGGGAGGGCGTTCCACAGAGCGGGTGCCTCTACCGAGAAGGCCCTCTGCCTGGTTCCCTGTAACTTGGTTGTGTTCATAAACTCCCTGCAAAGCAATCGGTCTGAATGTTCAACAACCAGGTTTTCTGGAAGCGACCTGGGTATAAATGGAACGTTTAAACCTCCTTCTGCCTCCTTCTTTCCAGCCCTGGATAATCTATTCTAGAAGGATCAGCACCAGGAAGGTGATGTTTGGAAGTAATTAACTCTTTTTTTGGAGGGGGGGGGAGAAAAGAAGGAAAAAAACCCTCTTCCGCAGTAAAAATAGGCTCCTGCCTTCTGCTTGATTTTTCTATTTTGGTGGTGCCTTTGTCAGCAAGGAGAAGAAAGGGGAGGGAAGGAGTTGACGATATAAACAAGAAAACAAGCCCTTTTCCTTTTAATGTTAAAAGAGATGGTATATATCTAAAAGAGGACATTTCAGGACTAGGAGCGAGTTGCATAATCGCATGTGGGCTGGCCATATGAGGCATAATTGCATGGGAAGAATATAGGGAGAGCAGCGAAGAGTCCCAAACAGCTGCTCCTGATCCATTTTTAGAGGATGTATCGGTGAGAAAGGGCAAAGGTGATGGACGGACGAAGGGGGAAAGAGAATCAATAGGGGGAGAAGGTCCTACAAAACAAATTGGCAAATTTGGAAGCGCTGCAAGATCGCTTTGTGACTGTCGAAGCCAAGCCCCTTGCAGCCACCCTACCGTCTAAGATTATAACAGCCTTTTCAGATTATATAATAATCTTACACTTATACGACAACAGTAATGGGGTGCATTGCAACAATCAAGGCAGAGCTCCATGTTCAGCTAGATCTGTATGTACATAGATGGGAAAATCATGATTGTGGTCTACGATGAAGGGTGGTATACAAATTTAGAAAATAATAATAATGGTGATGATCTTCTTTCAGAGGGACTTAAGTTGTGTTTTCAGTGCTGCTTAGCCATTTATTTATTGCATTTATAGTTTTATGTGGGGCTACCTTTGAATGTAAGGGACACAGGTGGCGCTGTGGGTTAAACCACAGAGCCTAGGACTTGCTGATCAGTAGGTCAGCGGTTCGAATCCCTGCAACGGGGTGAGCTCCTGTTGCTCGGTCCCTGCTCCTGCCCACCTAGCAGTTCGAAAGCACGTCAAAGTGCAAGTAGATAAATAGGTACCGCTCTGGCGGGAAGGTAAAGGGCGTTTCCGTGCGCTGCTCTGGTTCGCCAGAAGCGGCTTAGTCATGCTGGCCACATGACCCAGAAGCTGTACCCAGAAGCTCCCTTGGCCAATAAAGCGAGATGAGCGCCGCAACCCCAGAGTTGGCCACGACTGGACCTAATGGTCAGGGGTCCCTTTACCTGTACCTTTGAAGGTGACTTGGAAACTGCAATTAAAGGCTTTCTGAGTAGTGGCACCTGCCCCGTGGAACACCCTCCCAGCAGATGTCAATAAACAACTATTATACTTTTAAAAGACAACTGAAGGTGGCCCTGTTTAGGGAAGCTTTTAATGTCTGATACTGTATTGTTTTCAGTATTCGGTTGGAAGCCGCCCAGAGTGGCTGGGGAAACCCAGCCAGATGGGCGGGGTAGAAATAATATATATTATTATTATTATTATTATTATTATTATTATTATTATTTTCTATCCTTCCCTAGCAATAGCGGGTCCAATCAGGCGGTTTCTGCACATGCTGCAGACGGACATGAGGGCAAGATGGGGCTTGTCAATCTGGGAAGTGAGCCCCTCTAAGAGAAGTAAGACTCTGATCCTGAACCTCCACAGCCTTGTGGCTATATACTTGTTTGGGAGTAAACCCCCAAGGAAAAATCCATACCCACTGCCTTGAGGGATATATTTGGGAGAACAAAAGGCTCGGAAGTAAACCCTACACAAATCTGGAATGGAGTTCCAGCAACTCCTGTAGCCAAGCCAGTGCCAAACGCCTTGCTCTGCTTTCCTTTGGTCCCCATCAGTGAGGCTGAGAGGGAGGTCTTGCCGTCTGGGCAGCCCAGGACCTCCAGACCTACTGGCCAGGCTTGTTCCCCAGGGATGGTCACTTCAGTGCTGCTAACATAGCAAAAACAACACAGGAGTCAGCAGTTACCAGTTTGATCCCTTGTAGGCGCACTCCATTGTCTCTTGAGACAGATTGATGCCCATGAATCCTACACTTTTCTGCAAGGGGCTCAAGGTGGTGTACATGGATCTCGCCCTCATCATTTTAATAATAATAATAATAATAACAATAATTTATTATTTATACCCCGGCCATCTGGCTGGGTTTCCTCAGCCACTTTAATCCCCACAACATCGGTGTCAGGTAGGTTAGACACATTGACTGCCCCAGGGAGCTTCCTGGCTGAGAGTGAAACTGGTCTTTCCCGGATCCTAGTCCATGGGCAGGCAAACTAAGGCCCGGGGGACGGATCCGGCCCAATCACTTTCTAAATCTAGCCCGCGGATGGGCCGGGAACCAGCGTGTTTTTACATGAGTTGCATCTTAAAAAGCAGAGACATCACCTTGCCAGCAAAGGTCCGCATAGTTCAAGCTATGGTTTTCCCAGTAGTGATGTATGGAAGTGAGAGCTGGACCATAAAGAAGGCTGATCGCCAAAGAATGGATGCTCTTGAATTCTGGTGCTGGAGGAGACTCTTGAGAGTCCCATGGACTGCAAGAAGATCAAACCTCTCCATTCTGAAGGAAATCAGCCCTGAGTGCTCACTGGAAGGACAGATCGTGAAGCTGAGGCTCCAGGACTTTGGCCACCTCGAGAGAAGAGAGGACTCCCTGGAAAAGACCCTGATGTTGGGAAAGATGAAGGGCACAAGGAGAAGGGGATGGCAGAGGACGAGATGGTTGGACAGTGTTCTCGAAGCTACCAGCATGAGTTTGACCAAACTGCGGGAGGCAGTGGAAGACAGGAGTGCCTGGCGTTCTCTGGTCCAGGGGGTCACAAAGAGTCGGATACGACTAAACGACTAAACAACAACAACAACAAGAATGTGTCCTTTTGTTTAAAATGCATCTCTGGGTTATTTGTGGGGTCTGCCTGGTGTTTTTACATGAGTAGAATGTGCGCTTTGATTTAAAATGCATCTCTGGGTTATTTGTGGGGCATAAGAATTCTTTCTTTCTTTTCAAAATGTAGTCTGGCCCCCACAAGGTCTGAGGGAGAGTGGACCGGCCCCCTGCTGAAAAAGTTTGCTGACCCCTGTTAAACCCACCCACTGCTGCCCCACCCAATACTTATCCCAAGAGTATTATTTTAATATCATATACTGCACGGCAAGAAAAGAACATGCAGTTAAGAGAATGACCACCTTCGGAAGCTATCTTAGGTTTTAACAACAGAGGTATTGTATCTAAAATACAGTGATACTTCGGGTTAAGAACTTAATTCATTCTGGAGGTCTGTTCTTAACCTGAAGCACCACTTTAGCCTATGGGGCCTCCTGCTGCCGCCACACCGCCAGAGCACGATTTCTGTTCTCATCCTGAAGCAAAGTTCTTAACCTAAGGTACTATTTCTGGGTTAGCAGAGTCTGTAACATGAAGCATCTGTAACCTGTGGTACCACTGTATACTAAATTTTCCAAGGGCTACATGGCACTTGGTTGCTTTTGTTGCAATAGAATCATATGACTGGTGCTTCCCTTCTGTATCCAAGCTCTGGGATCCCAAACATTTTTGCCACCCGCAAGTCTGGACCAAACCTCAGGGTGCTCATTTGAAATTGAGGATCTCCATTGCCACCCGCTGATCTACCAAGATCACTGCACCGTTAACAGCATTCCCTGAAGTTGCTGTTGGCATCGGTTTATCGCAGATTTATTAGAATCATAGAATCGCATCCCCTCCAACCTTTCCCCGATGGAAATAGGGGCGTCCTAAGGAAAAGTGAGGGACGCGGGTGGCGCTGTGGGTTAAACCACAGAGCCTAGGACTTGCTGATCAGAAGGTGGGCGGTTCGAATCCCTGCAACGGGGTGAGCTCCCGTTGCTCGGTCCCTGCTCCTGCCCACCTAGCAGTTCGAAAGCACGTCAAAGTGCAAGTAGATAAATAGGTACCGCTCCGGCGGGAAGGTAAACGGTGTTTCCGTGCGCTGCTCTGGTTTGCCAGAAGCGGCTTAGTCATGCTGGCCACATGACCCGGAAGCTGTACGCCAGCTCCCTTGGCCAATAAAGCGAGATGAGCGCAGCAACCCCAGAGTTGTCCGCGACTGGACCTAATGGTCAGGGGTCCCTTTACCTTTAAGGAAAAGTGGGACATTCCGGGATAAAATCAGAAACCGGGACTGGGCTTCTGTAAATCTGGGACTGTCCCTGGAAAATAGGGGCTGACTGAAGGGACAGGATACCCAAATCCTGTCTGTGAAATCACCCCAGGCTTCAATAATCCAACCAGGCCTCAAAACTGTCCAAAATTCCCTTTCTCTCTCCTAAAATCCACAGCTACAGCTTTTCTGTGGATTCTCACAAGATGACTGTCCAAAAGGCAAAATGTTACTTTTAAAGGCTAATGAATAGGCTCTGTTCATAGCAGGCCTGGGAAATGAATCTTATCTCATTCTAGTTGCAACATCTTTGGACATGCTGAACCACCAGGGCTCCTCGACCCCTTGGCTCTCACTCCCCTTTCCTGGGAAGGGTGCCAAGAGTCCACAATAGTCCCAAGACAGCTTTCTGTTCATTCTCAGAGGAACTCATGGGGCAGGACTCTGGAAGGAGGAGGAGAAAGGGGGAGGGAACTGGAAAGGGGTATATATGCTTGTGCACATGACTGTGAACTTTGTGCATGCTTTTTGTGAACTATCACACTTGCTCCTTCTACCAGTTCATGGATGGTAGAAATAAAAGCCTTTTCTCCGAAACTATTCCTTGAGTGTCTGTTGACTCTCACTTCCCTTTCCCGGGCGAAATATTTTTCCCACCTGAGGGCAAAGCCTCATAAGGCTACATGACAATGCAAAAAATTTAGAGACAACACAAAAAAGCCAGAAGAGGGAAGGAGGGAAGTCAGCTCTTAAGAGCAAGTGTAAATGTAAAATGTAATGTGTGTATTAGTGCCTGGCGTGCTCTGGTCCACGGGGTCACGAAGAGTCGGACACGACTAAACAATGTGTGTATGTGTAGTATGTACAGTGGTAAGGTAAAGGTAAAGGGACCTCTGACCATTAGGTCCAGTTGTGGCCGACTCTGGGGTTGTGGCGCTCATCTCGCTTTCTTGGCCGAGGGAGCTGGTCGTGTGGCCAGCATGACTAAACCGCTTCTGGCGAACCAGAGCAGCGCACGAAAATGCCGTTTACCTTCCCGCTGGAGCGGTACCTATTTATCTACTTGCACTTTTTGGTGTGCTTTTGAACTGCTCGGTTGGCAGGAGCAGGGACTGAGCAACGGCAGCTCACCCTGTCGCGGGGATTCGAACTGCCGACCTTCTGATCGGCAAGCCCTAGGCTCTGTGGTTTAACCCACAGCGCCACCCGCGTCCATGTACAGTGGTACCTCAGGTTAAGTACTTAATTTGTTCCGGAGGTCTGTTCTTAACCTGAAACTGTTCTTAACCTTGAGCACCACTTTAGCTAATGGGGTTTCCCACTGCCGCTGCGCCGCCGGAGCACGGTTTCTGTTCTCATCCTGAAGCAAAGTTCTTAATCCGAGGTACTATTTCTGGGTTAGCGGAGTCTGTAACCTGAAGCGTCCGTAACCTGAGGTACCACCGTACTTATAAAACTAATGAAGATTACCATGGGGGTAAAAAAAAGGAAAATAGGGTCTGGAGTCACAGAAAGGGACCCCTGAGGGTCATCTAGTCCAACCCCGCCCTGCAACGCAGGAATCCTGCGCACAGCTGTCCAGATGCGCGCCCTCAACACCTGCGCGGCCTTCAGTGGTTGCCGAACTACAACTCCCATCAGCCCCGAGCAAGCGCTGTCGGCGGCCGGGGCTTCTGGGAGTTGTAGTCCCCCGAGCGCCTTTCGCGCCCTCTTGGCGGCGTCCCCGGGAGCGGGAACTCCGCTTCCCGTCAGGCGCCGCGGCTTCCGGCGGGGAGTGGGCGGGGCGCCGGAAGTTGGGCCGGGCCGGAGGAGCCCCCTCAGCCGCCGCCGCCGCCGCCGCGTCCTCTTCCTCCTCCTTCTCCTGCTTGTCGGGCTGGGCTGGGCTTGGGCCTCCTGGCAGGGGCCCGGCTGGTGCTGCGCCGCGTCGGGGCCCGGGGGGCGAGGCCGGCGGGATGGAGGCCGTGCCCCGCATGCCCATGATCTGGCTGGACCTCAAGGAGGCGGGAGAGTTCGGCTTCCAGCAGGCCGTCAAGAAGGTGGGAGGCGCGGGGGGGGAGGGGCAGGGGGCGCTATTACAGTAGTATTATTATTATTATCCCAGTGGGGGAGGGGCAGAGGGCTAAGGGGGAGGGGCAGGCAGCATTATTATTCTTATTCTTATTCTTATTCTTACTACTATTATTAGCCTAGTGGGGGGGGCAGAGGCCATGGGGGGGCAGACAGCACTATTATTATTATTATTATTATTATTGCTTTTAGCCTAGTGGGGGAGGGGCGGGGCAGAGGCATAAGCGGGAGGGGCAGGCAGAATTATTATTATTATTATTATTATTATTATTATTATCCTAGTGGGGGAGGGGCAGAGGCCTAAGGGGGAGGGGCAGGCAGCATTATTATTATTATTATTGTTATTCTTATTATTATTACTACTACTATTAGCCTAGTGGGGGGGCAGACAGCACTATTATTATTATTATTATTATTATTATTATTACTATTAGCCTAGTGGGGGCGGGGCGGGGCAGAGGGCTAAAGGAGAGGGACAGCCAGCATTATTGTTGTTGTTATTATTAGCCTAGTGGGGAAGGGGAGGGGCAGAGGCCTATGGGGTAGGGGGTAGAGGCAAGCATCATCATCATCATTATTATTATCATTATTACTATTAGCCTAGTGGGGAAGGGGAGGGGCAGAGGTGTAAGGGGGAGGGGCAGACAACATTATTATTATTATTATTATTATTATTATTATTATCCCAGTGGGGGAGGGGCAGAGGCCTAAGGGGGAGGGGGTGGCATCATCATTATTATTATTACTACTACTACTACTACTACTATTAGCCTAGTGGGGAAGGGGAGGGGCAGAGGCCTAAGGGGGAGGGGCCGACAACATTATCATCATCATCTTTATTATTATTAGCCTAGTGGGGGCGTGGTGGGGAAGAGGCAAAGGCCTAGGGGGTATGAGGTGGGGGCAGGCATAATAATAATAAAAATAATGCCTAGTAGTTGTCAAACTTTTCCCCCTGCTCTGGGGCCACACTTTCGAACCAACAATTTTGCTTGCCGATTTTTATTTTTTTTAATAGATAAGGAACACATTGGAAAACGGGGCAGGGGACTCTGGAGCGGTGCTTGATTTATAACGTAGAACACAACTACTTTAGAATATCATCCCGGGGCATCCAGGAAGCATAAAGCAATGCACAAGCGGCATGAATCTTTCCCAAAGTATAATTATATGTTATATTATCATTCTCGAAATATGGTTACATATTATACTGTACTGCAGTACAATGTTTTAACAGTTTCCTGGATTGCCCTTGGATCTTCCTTCCCTGCCACAGCCTTTGAGAAGCCTTCAAGCCGAAGGTCCCAGGGTGGTTAGCAACACAGCACCAAAAAGGGGGAGGTTCAGAACAACTCCCAGTTATTTGGTGGGTCCTAAAAACATACCCCTCAAGTGCTAAGGTATGGTTCTGGGGAGGAGGCCGAGTATTTTCTTGATATGGAGCCCTGAGCATAAGAAAGTGGGGCCTATTGTTATTGTTTGTTTATTGCTTGCATGTGGGGACCTCTCTGCGTGCTGTTATGGAGCAAGCGGTTGGTGATGGTTTGGGGAGCAGTAAGTTGACGAGTGCAATCTCAAAACCCGAGATTCGCTGGACTAAGGGGTTTCTGACCTAAACGAAGGAACTGAGTGTGCTCCCTTGAATGTGATGGTTGATCATTCTTGAGAAATCAGGGTCAAGGAATTGGGAGCAGGCCTTGATGTGCATTTTGGTGGGAGGGGAAGGCTCGTCGGGATAGGAAGGAAGGTTGCGAGGCGTGACGGGTGATGACTGAGAGTGTGGGAGAAAATGTGGGTGTATTTTGGGCCTTTAGTCTTGACAAACAATCTCCAGGCTCATCTTCTGAACTCATGACTCAGTCTCTTTAATTGGGCTGCTCTTCTGCCCCCAATGAATGACTAAGCACACTTCACACCTGCCATTCTCTTTGTCTCCATATCTTCCTAGATCCAAATTATATTCAGGTGCTCTGTCACATACACTTTCCTTGCCACATCCAATTAATAATCTTGTGCCCCTGGTAGCCTCTTCAAGTTGGCAGGTAGCCCTTGGGCCAGCCTCCCCTGACCCTACTGCCTTCCAGATTTTTGAGACTACCGTTATGCCTGCTGGAGCTGATGGAAGTTGTAGTCATAGGGAACAGAAGTTCATTAAATGGATGAACTCTCTTGTGCAGGCATCCCCAAACTTGGCCCTCCAGATGTTTCGGCACTACAACTCGCATGATCCCTAGCTAACAGGACCAGGGGTCAGGGATGATGGGAAATGTATTCCCAAAACATCTGGAGGGCCGAGTTTGGGGATGCCTGCTCTTGTGCCATGGAAGCAGCACCTTGTACATGGGTAAGAGAATTTTAAATAGAAACCCACAATGGGTTCCTTAGGTTCTGACAGAGTGACTCTTAGCAAGTGTTCTCCAAAACGTCTCAAGTCTCTGGATGTTGATGTACTACTGACTTCAAGATCAAAAATGAGCAGTGTAAGGTGTATTTGTAATAACCGGAGGTTATAGGGCGGTATACAAATTTAATAAAATAATAATAATAGGCACTGCAACTTGACTCCTAAGTCAGTCACCAGCCGTTGAGCAAATAGGATTGTGGGCCATCAATAAAATAATAAAATAAAATGGAGGGTGACGTAGCCAGGCAAAAGTCATACAAGTGGGAGACAGAGCGAGAGCACTTTCTGCTTGCCATTATTAAGGATATTGACATTAAGGACCACTTTGAGGTTTTCTACAGTCAAGTGGCATATAAATGCTATGAAATGAACATCGCCCTTCTTTTTGGAAAATGGGCTGCAGTCTGATAGTAACCCCAAGATTCTTTGGGAAAATCTGAAGCAGTTAAGAGATTTATGTGGTTCCATCCAAAGCCATTCAAATAACAGTCAGCTTCCTGTAATGTGAAAATGGCACCAATAATTGGGAAATGTTGGGGATCCTATGGGACAAGGAAGTACAAGCAAAATACCCAATTAATTCCTTCCTGTTCTTCTTACCTGCTCTCTAGTCAGAGTCAATTCGGTAGGGTTTCCCACTTTTGCTTTTGGGCATCTCCAACTGCAATGCCTTCTGTAGCTGCTTGGTTTCGCAAGCGAGCGCGGCGAAACCCATAAGTATACATTTCCGGGTTTGCCACGTTCGCAACCCAAAAGTTACATTACCTTCACTGTACAGTGGTAGTTCGGGTTAAGTACTTAATTCGTTCCGGAGGTCCATTCTTAACCTGAAACTGTTCTTCACCTGAAGCACCACTTTAGCTAGTGGGGCCTCCCGCTGCCACCATGCCAGCGCCGGGCGTTTCTGTTCTCATCCTGAAGCAAAGTTCTTAACCCGAGGTACTATTTCTGGGTTAGCGGAGTCTGTAACCTGAATCGTCTGTAACCTGAAGCGTATGTAACCCGGGGTACCACTGTATTACATCAGGAGTGTTCTTGGTAATTTCTCATGTGTTTATACTTATTTCCTACCCTTGGAAAGCTCCTAACGCAGCGTCCCCAGAAGTTGTACTGTAATAAAAGCGATAATTGAAAAACAGCTTCAAGCAGTAAAATTCCCCAGGCATCTCTGATGGGCAGTGTTGCCTGGATCTGTCTGTGATGTCGCGTCTGCTCAGAAGGAAAGGGGCTGAGTCACAGTCTGCTGATGGCTGGTGCTGCCGTTCCTGTTTCTCTCTATAGAAAATGACTGTGTGTGCATGCATGCGCATAGGAGGCAGAGATCACACAGGGTGCAAAGTCTCTGAGCCAGGAAAATGCTTTGTACAGTGGTACCTTGGGTTAAGAACTTAATTCGTTCTGGAGGTCCGTTCTTAACCTGAAACTGTTCTTAACCTGAAGCACCACTTTAGCTAAAGGGGCCTCCCACTGCTGTCGCATGATTTCTGTTCTCATCCTGAAGCAAAGTTCTTAACCTGAGGTACTATTTCTGGGTTAGCGGAGTCTATAACCTGAAGCGTATGTAACCTGAAGCATATGTTACCCGAGGTACCACTGTACTTACATAAAACAAAATAAAAAAATTCCTTCCGGTAGCACCTTAGAGACCAACTAAGTTTGTTATTGGTATGAGCTTTCATGTGCATGTACACTTCTTCAGATACACTGAAACAGAAGTCACCAGACCCTTATATATAGTGAGATGGTGGAGAGGCGTATTACTCAGAAGGGTGATGGGAAAGCTCATACCAATAACAAACTTAAAGGTAAAGGGAACCCTGACCATTAGCTCCAGTTGTGACCGACTCTGGGGTTGCGGCGCTCATCTCGCTGTATTGGCCGAGGGATACGGCGTACAGCTTCCTGGTCATGTGGCCAGCATGACTAAGCCGCTTCTGGCAAACCAGAGCAGCGCACAGAAATGCCGTTTACCTTCCCGCCGGAGCAGTACCTATTTATCTACTTGCACTTTGACGTGCTTTCGAACTGCAAGGTGGGCAGGAGCAGGGACCGAGCAACAGGAGCTCACCCCGTTGTGGGGATTCGAACCGCCGACCTTCTGATCGACAAGTCCTAGGCTCCGTGGTTTAACCCACAGCGCCACCCGCATCCCTTATTTATATTATATCCACATGCAAATCTCCCTTGGCTGTGGATCACAGTGACTTTCTTCCGGCCTTGATTTTCCCAGCTGCGAAAAGGGTGTAAGAGGGATTTGTTTTACTGCGTGGCGGTCAGGATAAAGTTCATTGCAAATCAAAAGTCCTGCATAAGGCAGGCGGCTTCTCTGGACGCCTGAGTTGGCTCTTTGCTTTCCAACACGATGAGGCCTCTTTTCTGGACTGCAGTACACCTGTTCCCGGAAGCAAAGAATGTGGCTTTTCTGGCCTGACCTGTTGGGATCTGGTGTTGACAGAACAGGGAACGGTCTCTGGGAAGCTTGTGAGGACGGTAAATGGCTATGAGGACAAGAGCTGTAGTTTGGATTTTATTCATTTTACATTTGTAGCTCACCTTTTCTGCAAGGAGCTCTAAGTGGCACACATATTTCTCCCCCCTATCTCAGTTTATCACCACAACAACCTTGTGAGGTAGGCTAGGCTGAGGATGAGTGACTAGCCCAAGGGCACGCCCAGTGAGCGTCACATGGGGATTTGATTGATTGATTGATTTTATTGGAATTTAATTTACAACATAACACAACCCCCACCCCCAATACACATTAAACATGAACATAACATACAGTGAACATAACATACAACAACACAAACAACCAAATAAAAAGACTTCCTTTATCCTATATCTGGCCTCCTTTTTAATTCTTATAAACTGTGTCCTTTACGAATAGTTATTAGGATTTTTCTAATTATAACTTAAATATCCACAAAGTCCCCTGCAGACATTAATCGAAACAAGTCCAGGTATGTATTTTAGGGCACTTCACATGGGGATTTGAACCCCAGTCTCCCAGTCCCTAGCCCAGGGGTCAGCAAACTTTATCAGCAGGGGGCCGGTCCACTGTCCCTCAGACCTTGTAGGGGGCCGGGCTATATTTTGGAAAAAATAATAATAATAATGAATGAATTCCTGTGCCCCACAAATAACCCAGAGATGCATTTTAAATAAAAGGACACATTCTGTTGTTGTTGTTTAGTCATTTAGTCATGTATGTCCGACTCTTCGTGACCCCCTGGACCAGAGCACGCCAGGCACTCTTGTCTTCCACTGCCTCCCTCAGTTTGGTGAAACTCATGCTGGTAGCTTCGAGAACACTGTCCAACCATCTCGTCCTCTGTCGTCCCCTTCTCCTTGCGCCCTCCGTCTTTCCCAACATCAGGGTCTTTTCCAGGGAGTCTTCTCTTCTCCTGAGGTGGCCAAAGTCTTGGAGCCTCAGCTTCAGGATCTGTCCTTCCAGTGAGCACTCAGGGCTGATTTCCTTCAGAATGGATTGGTTTGATCTTCTTGCAGTCCATGGGACTCTCAAGAGTCTCCTCCAGCACCAGAATTCAAAAGCATCCATTCTTCGGCGGTCCAGCTCTCACTTCCTAGGTTTGCCTACCCATGCCCTAGCCTGATTCTTTAACCACCACACCACAGTGGCTTTCTGTGGAGGGAAGCTGGTTATAAGTGGGGACCGAGGGCTCTCTTCTGTTGGAGTCCTGTGAGAAAAGAAAGCTGGAAAACTTGCTCACCCTTTTGGCTCATATCCACCAGGAGCCATGCTGTGTTCTGTATTGTGGGTCTCATCCTGTGGAACTCTCTTCTAGTTGGGAGTCAGACAGGCCACCACTTTGTTTGACAAGTACCATCACTGTCCAAGACGCCTTTTCAGCAAAGTGATGGATAGTGGCAGGTCAGCTGCAGACACTCTTGAACTAGGGTTGCCATATTTCAAAAAGTGAAAATCAGGACAAAAAAGCTGTTGAGCTTTTTTTTTGGGGGGGGGGGGGGAGCAAAGTTGTTGAGCAAAATCTCCAAAAAGAGAGAGGAAGTTTTGCCCTATTTTTAAGGAAATTTGCCAAAATCTACACTTCTGAAATGGGTTACCATACGTCCGGGTTTTTCCTGGACATTTCAGCGATTTTCCACCCAGACGCTGTTTACGATGGCCGAGTCGCTGCTATGTCTGGCAAATTCTAGACATATGGTAGCCCTGTCTTGAACGCAGCTGATTATCTTGAGGTGCTCCAGGCCTGGGTTCAGGAGAGTCACCTGGTGATAAAGGAGAGGCAGGGCCTTCTTGGTGATGGGACCTCTGGAATACCCTCATCACCCTTGGGTGCTTCAGTACCCTCTGCCTCAGGTGGCCGTAGGGAGCTTGAAACACCTCTCAAACGTACCCAGTTATTTCCTGTACTCTGATCTTCAAATGCCAGATTTTTGCTTTGTACACTGCTTGGTTGTGTTTCTAATATGCAGTTGTATGGTGTTCCTTAATCTTGCTTTCATCTTGTTTTGCTTTAGAAAATTTTACTGAACGTTGTTGGTATTAATTTTATATAAAGGGCTTAGAGATCACATTCACCCGGTGCTATACCAGCTGCACTGGCTCCCGGTGGAGTACAGGATCAGGTTTAAGGTGCTGGTTTTAACCTTCAAAGCCCTATACGGCCTAGGACCCTCGTACCTATGGGACCGCCTCTCCTGGTATGTCCCACGGAGGACCTTACAACCTTCAAACAAAAACATATTGGATGTCCCGGGCCACAAGGAGGTTAGACTGGCCTCAACCAGAGCCAGGGCTTTTTCGGCCATGGCCCCGATCTGGTGGAACGCTCTGTCCCAAGAGACCAGAGCCCTGCGGGACTTGCCATCTTTCCGCAGGGCCTGCAAGACGGAGCTGTTCCACTAGGCCTTTGGCCAAGGCACATTCTGACCCCCTCCTTTGGTAATCCTCACAGAACTCTAGCCCAGTGGTTGCCATTAATTTAATTTTGAATTGATTTTAGAATGCTGTGTTCCTTTTATTTTATTGCTCGACTTCGGCTGGGGAGGGTGGGATATAAATAAAAGTTTATTATTTCATTATTATTACTATATTATATGTTCAATGAATAAATGGGTGCATCTCCTTCCCTTCCCCACATGCTAGTTTGTCCTGAAGAACTATGGTGAAAATCCAGAGAACTACAATGAAGAGTTGAAGAAGCTGGAGCAGCTGAGGCAGGTGAGGACATACGTGGTTCTCCTCCAACCCTCCTCTTCCTCTCGGTGATGGTGACACGGGTTTACTTGGTTCACATGATGCAGTGCTGCCCACCAGGACCTTCAGGAGTCCGTAAGAGGGGAAACTGAGGCAGAGAGAAGCGGATTGGGGAGGCAGTCTTGCTTTAAAATCTTCATTTCTTTTAAAATACTTACATGCCACTTTTCTTCTGAGTTGTTATTTATTGAATTTATTAGCCACTTTTTTTTACCAAGGTAACACAGAACAACTCAAAAAACCCCAAAAAAACCCACCGCAGGGCAAAAAAAAACTCTGAAAGGCAGTCTTGTTTTTAAAAGGCTGGATTAGAACATCCCACCCTCTCAAGGAGGCCACAGATAGTTAAAAGCTGAAGGCCTGGAGAAAAAGAAATGTTTTTCCTTAGTGCCTAAAGATATGTAATGATGGTGCCAGGGGAAACTCCCTGGGGAATGCTTTCCACAAGCAGGGAGCCACCACGGAAAAGGCCCCGTTCTCATATTGCTATCCTCCGCATGTCACATGAAGAAGGACCTCATGAGCTCCCAGTACATTTCCAAGCACAGTTCAGAGTGTTGGTGCTGACCCTAAACGGCCTCGGCCCAGTATACCTGAAGGAGCGTCTCCACCCCAATCGTTCAGCCCGGACACTGAGGTCCAGCTCCGAGGGCCTTCTGGCGGTTCCCTCTCTGCAAGAAGTGAGGTTACAGGGAACCAGGCAGAGGGCCTTCTCGGTGGTGGCGCCCTCCCTGTGGAACACCCTCCCATCAGATGTCAAGGAAATAAACAACTATCTGACTTTCAGAAGACATCTGAAGGCAGCCCTGTTTACGGAAGTTTTTAAAGTTTGATGTTTGCTGAGTTTTTATTACATTGGAAGCCACCCAGAGCGGCTGGGGCAACCCAGTCAGATGGGCACAGTACAAATAATAAAATTATTATTATTATAAAAGTAAAGGTAAAGGACCCCTGACAGTTAAGTCCAGCCGCGAACGACTCTGGGGTTGCGATGCTCATCTCGCTTTAATGGCCGAGGGAGCCGACGTTTGTCCAAAGACAGTTTTTCTGGGTCATGTGGCCAGCATGACTCAGCCGCTTCTGGTGAAACCAGAGCAGCGCATGGAAACGCCATTTGCCTTCCTGCCGGAGCAGTACCTATTTATCTACTTGTACTTTGAAGTGCGTTCGAACTGCTAGGTTGGCAGGAGCTGGGACTGAGCCATTAGGTGGGGTTAATAATATTATATTATTATTATATTTTATATACTTCTTATATAATAATACTACATTATTGTTGCTGTTATTTAATCCAATCTCCTGCAATGCAGGAGTCAAAGCTATCTGGCCCCTGAAGCTGCCTTGAGGTGAGATCAGTTTGAAGGCGTTTAGCATAGGAAATTTTTAGCCACTGGGGTGCTCATACAATAGGACTATCCCATCGGGGTTGTGCTTCCCAGGCAGAGCTTTGCACTGTGTGCACGTGGTTTTTATTTTTGAAATGTGATTATGCTTCCTGAAGGGATAGTGGTCACTATCGGCAGTTATCTTGTGACCTCAGCACAGCCTGCTGTCCGAGCACAATTCAGAGTGTTGGTGCTGACCTTTAAAGCCCTAAACTGCTTCAGTCCAATGTACCTGAAGGAGCGTCTCCACCCCCATCGTTCTGCCCGGATGCTGAGGTCCAGCTCCGAGGGCCTTCTGGCGATTCCCTCATTGTGAGAAGCAAAGCTACAGGGAACCAGGCAGAGGGCCTTCTCGGTGGTGGCGCCCACCCTGTGGAACGCTTTCCCATCAGATGTCAAAGCGAAAAACAACTACCTGACATTCAGAAGACATCTTAAGGCAGCCCTGTTCATGGAAGTTTTTAATGTGTGATATTTTAGTGTATTTTTGGTTTCTGTGGAAGCCGCCCAGAGTGGCTGGGGAAACCCAGCCAGATGGGCGGGGTATAAATAATAAATTATTATTATTTTTATTATTAACCTGACTCCTGTCCCTTTCCTCTCCCCTCCCAGAATGCCGTCAACGTGCCCAGGGACTTCGAAGGCTGCAGCATCCTGCGCAAGTACTTTGGGCAGCTGCACTACCTTCAGAGCCGCATCCCGATGGGAGCAGAGCATGAAGCAGCCGTCCCCATTACCTGGTGAGCCAGCTGCAGCGGGGAGGGGCGATGGCTGAGCCTTGCCGCTCAGCAGAGCTGGCTTTGAGGTTATGCCAAAACTGGAGCAAGTGGGGTTGGGGCTTCTCCCGCTCTGCGCATGGACCACGGAGGGGACCCTCCACCGCAGTGTTTCTCAAACCTGGGTCTCCAGCTGCTGTTGGATTACAACTCCCATCTTCCCTGACCACTGGTCCTGCTGGCAAGGGATGATGGGAGTTGTAGTTCACAACAGCAGCCGGAGACCCAACACTGCACTGCAACTGGGGCGCTCCCAGCACATTCTCTCCTCTGGGTATTTCTTTCTATTTTGGAAGGGGAGCTCAAAGGGGAGGGGGGAAGGGTGCAGAGTAATGAAGCAATAGCAGAAATGGAAGACCTGGAAGGCTTGTTGGTTATGCCCCACCTCCACGGAGGCAGTACAGTGGTACCTCAGGTTAAGTACTTAATTCGTTCCGGAGGTCCGTACTTAACCTGAAACTGTTCTTAACCTGAAGCACCACTTCAGCTAATGGGGCCTCCTGCTGCCTCCGTGCTGCCGGAGCACGATTTCTGTTCTCATCCTGAAGCAAAGTTCTTAACCTGAAGCACTATTTCTGGGTTAGCGGCGTCTGTAACCTGAAGCATATGTAACCTGAAGCGTATGTAACCTGAGGTACCACTGTAATTCTTCTCGGTTCCGGTTTCTGGAAACCGCAGAAGCGGAAAGTTGCTCATGTGTTCGAATCCTGCTTGCGGGTTAGTCACAGGCATCTGATTGGCCACTGTGAGAAGAGGATGCTGGACTCATTGTTGAGGGGAAGTGCGTGGAACAGGTCTCGGTGTTTCGATTTCTGGGAATGGAGTTGAGAGATGACCTTACCTGGGGAGAACACAGCAAAGACCTGATGAAGAGAGCACAGCAGAGGTTATGTTTTCTGAGAATCCTCCAGAAAAACAATCTCTCAAAGGACCGGTTGATGGCATTTTACCATTGTACTGTGGAGAGCGTTTTAACTTATGGTCTGTGTGTGTGGTTTGGGAGCTGCACGGTCAGGGGAAAACCAATGCTGTCCAGGGTTGTAAAGACTGTGGAGAGAATAATTGGGTGTACTCTTCCCACCTTAGATCAAATCTATGCTTCCAGGCAGTGCCATAAGAAAGCTGCTGAGATAGCACAGGATAGTGCACACCCCGGAAATGATCTCTTTCAGCTTCTGCCTTCTGGAAGAAGGTACAGGGTTATAAAGACTAGGACTAGCCGCCTGAGAAACAGTTTCTATCCAAATGCAATTTTGGTTTTAAAAGCAGTGTAAGGTAGTCTCTGTGGGAGTATATTGTATTTAATTATGGGGTATCAGAGTTTTTAGGGGCTAAGCAGGCTGGGATAGCAGGCTTGTTGGTTTTTGAATGTCTGGATGTAGATTTTTTCAATTTCGTTGTTCTGTATGGGACAATGACAATAAAGATTATCGTATCGTAGAGGGCCCAATCGCCTGATCCAGCAGGGTTCTTCTCAAGCTGTGACCTTCTTGTTTGGCGACAGACGGCTTGGGGGAAATCAGCCTGTTGAGATTCATGAAAGAGTTTGCAGGAGAACTGGGATTTCAGAAGGGGGAAGGATGAGTGAATGGCTAGAGATGAGGAGGCTGTTGAAAAGAATAAGCTAGCAAGGTTGCAGTCTTAAAGACAGGAGTGGGGAAACCAGCCTCTGTCCGGACTAGGAGCTTGAAGGAGATTTGAGAAGTGATAGGGATCAACTGCAGAGATTTGGGAAGTGGGAATCGGTGGTGGGTGCGAGACGAAGCAGCATGTTTTCTTATTCCTCCTCCGGGGAGTTGGCAAGCACAGCAGCTCTGAGTTGTGTTCACGCTGGAGATGTGGCCCTTTTATGAGTCATGCACCATCAGCCCAAAGGGGACCCATCTAGTTCGGCATCCTGTCCTCACAGTGGCCAACTGGATGCCTGTGCAAAACTCGCATGCGGCACCCGAGCACAAGATCCACTCTCCTCTCCTATGGCTGCCAGCTCCAGCTCCATACACCCCAAGCAGGAGGGTGTTTTGTTGGGCTGGGCCTCTGGGCGCCTGTTCAGTGCCCCAAGTGGGCGCTTTGCTGGAAAAAGGCCCGTGCATTGGGACACGTTCCGCTCAGCCCCCGCAATGGCCCCCTCTGTTTGCAGGACCGAGATCTTCTCCGGCAAGACGGTGACACATGAGGACATCAAATATGAGCAGGCCTGCATCCTGTATAATCTGGGTAAGGGCCGTTCGGCCAGCTGGACCTGCGACTGCATCTCTGTTTCCAGGAGGCGAAAGGGGCTTCAGGGGAGGAATTGTTGGGATGTGTCGAAGGGAACGGGGGCATTTCGCTGGCTCCAGCCCACTGGCCGGCAGCTGGACGAACTCTGGTCCTTTGGAACAGCATCAAACAGCGACTCACAGCTTCTGAAGCCTTCAGAAACTTGAGCACGCCTTAACCATGTTTTTGTACTGTTTTTGGGGGGCAGGGGGCGGGCGGGTGTGAGGGATTCCCTGGTCCTGAATGGGGCAACTGTGCCCCTGAAGGACCAGGTGCGCAGCCTGGGAGTCATTCTGGACACACAGCTGTCCATGGAGGCACAGGTTAATTCTGTGTCCAGGGCAGCTGTTTATCAGCTCCACCTGGTACGCAGGCTGAGACCCTATCTGTCTGCGGACTGTCTCACCAGAGTGCTGCATGATCTAGTTATCTCCTGCTTGGACTACTGCCATGCGCTCTACGTGGGGCTACCTTTGAAGGTGACCCGGAAACTGCAATTAATCCAGAATGCGGCAGCTAGACTGGTGAGTGGGAGTGGCCGCCGGGACCACATAACACCGGTTCTGAGAGATCTGCATTGGCTCCCAGTACGTTTCCAAGCACAATTCAAAGTGTTGGTGCTGACCTTGAAAGCCCTAAACGGCCTCGGTCCTGTATACCTGAAGGAGCGTCTCCACCCCCATCGTTCAGCCCGGACACTGAGATCCAGCGCCGAGAGCCTTCTGGCGGTTCCCTCATTGCGAGAAGTAAGATTACAGGGAACCAGGCAGAGGGCCTTCCTGGTAGTGGCGCCTGCCCTGTGGAACACCCTCCCAGCAGATGTCAAAGCAATAAAAAACTATTTTACTTTTAAAAGACAACTGAAGGCAGTCCTCTTTAGGGAAGTTTTTAATGTCTGATGCTGTACTGTTTTTAATATTCAGTTGGAAGCTGCCCAGAATGGCTGGGGAAACCCAGCCAGATGGGCGGGGTATAAATAATAAATAATAACAATAATAATTATTATTAACTAGCAGAGTGAATAACACGCAACAGAAGTGGTGGACAGAGGCATATGTAAAGCATATTTACAAGCAGTTTATTTGGCGTAGTTCAGGACAAAGAAAACATGTCTGCTCTCTTTCATGTCCAAGAGCAGGAAGCATAAGCAAAAGCTATACACAAAAGGAAGTTCCCAGCAAGCTGTGCTGGAGAGTAAACAGTCATGTGACATACAACAATCATGTCTGTTCCTTTTAAGGTGGAACGGAACATCAGTATCCTAACAGGAATGACTAAAGGATCATTCCAGCAAAAAGTGTATTCACAGCAGCAGCCAAGGATGTTTTGCTGGCAAATAATCGGCAAGTCTTTCTTGGCTGATGTGGCGACAGCCGTGTCTGCCTTTGCATCCACGAGTCTAGGCTGCTTCTGCGTTCTCTGCCTCAGCCTTCCCCCAAGAAGGTGCCTTCCAGATGTTTTGGACTGTGACACCCATGAGCCCCAGGCAGCACAGCTGTTACGGGGGTAAAGACGGCTGCTTTAATGAAATTACTCTCAAAGAGAGGTTGGAGGCAGGAGCTAGTAGCGAGCCTCTTTTCGTCACTGCCTCTGGCTTCCCTTGTCATTCCCCAAGTCCTCTGGCACGTGGAGAGGGCTTGGGAGAAAGGCAAAGTTTGCTCCGACTTGCTCTCCTAACGACAGCCAAAGTGGGAGGGTGTTGGGGTGCCCCCTTGCCAGAGGGCTGGAAGTGGATTTGTGGGTGCTTGGCTGCACCTTTCTCTTAGGAGCGCTGGACCTCTGGAGCACATCGACTCCCCATGCTGCAACATCTGTGCTAGGTTTTGTGAGACTAGCACAGGAATTGTGGTTCAGCGCTGTCTCCATTTGTCTGCAGAGACTGGTTCAAAATGTGTGAGTGGCATAGGGTGGAAGCTGAGAATCTTAAGAGCATCTCCAGTGGTTGGAGGGGAACGCTCTGTGTTTAATTTACACTATTTATGCAGGCCAGAGAACAGCTCCTCCGGCTGCAGAACGTGGGTTACCATAGCGCAGAATTGGTGTGTGCTTCTGCTTTTCTCAGAAGACCACTTGCCAGTGGTCAGCAAATATTTTATCCAGGCGACCACCTGTCCCAGCCCCAAATGAAAGATGGGCTCATTTCTGACCTTGTGCTAAGCTTTGGAAGCACTGAAATTGTCGCCTTATTGGAGTTCACCGATTGGGTCGGCGTTGCTCCCGGACAGGAGGAAGGGAGTCAAATGACACCAAGGGTTGGTTCAGAGAAAGAGTTCTTTATTTCTGCTCTCCGGAACAGCAGAAAGGCACCTGCGTGGTCAGTCCACAGCAAGTCCAAAGAAATGAGAAATTTCATGCAGTATATATATCCTCCAGGCACCCTCTCACCCTTCCCCAGGAATCCAGCCACATCAGCTTGTCCACGCAGGTTGACATCACAGATGTTCCTGCTCCGGCACTCTTAACCATAAAAGGGATTTCCTTCCTGTACTCCTGACCATAAAAGGGTTTTCCTTCCTACACTCTTATCTTGGAGCAAGAGGTCACCAACTCCAAGAACACACTCTGGCGCTGTTCCCAGACTAGGTCTGTGCGTCAGTGTGGTCAGGACGTAAGATAAGACCTAGACGTGTCATCCCTGTTCTACTGGAGCAGCCAAGGTCATCCTTGCCGTCATGAACTGATAAAGGAGAGGGCTCTGAGCACTTGTTTATACAACCGGGTTTTTGTTTATACATTGACTCAGAGCTCAAGTTAATGGATTTTAGCTAAGGAAAAATAGGGATTTTGGTGCCTGTTTTAAACTGCCTGCACAGTCAGTTTTGGGTTTGGGAAACCCATTCCTTCAAAATCAGGGTGATGACCACAATCTTTGGCTGACTGCTAAGGCAAGTTAAAATATAAGGATGGGTTTTTAGGGGGTGGATGTTGCTCTGCTCTAAGAAGCCACATTGTGTTGTCTAATGCAGTGATTTCCTTGTCCCAGCTCGATCGTTTCTGATTTGCTTTGGATTTCTGTGCAATTCTGACATTCCTCACCTGGTTGAAGAGTAGCGCAGACTAAAAAAACATGACCTTCAGAACCCACAGATGCACCAGTGCTTTCCTACTGCCTGAGCCTCCTGCTCTGATGGTCCACGTTGCATTGCTTCATGGAAGCTTGGCTGCTTTGCGCCGGCCCGTCTGCAACCAAGGAGACTTCAAAGCAGCCTTTTGCCATCCTGGTGCATTCCAGACGTTTTCGACCACAGCTCCCCTCAGCCCCAGCCATCCTTGGAAGTCGTGGGCCATAAGATCTGGAGGGCGCTGTTAGGTTATACCGTATTTTTCGCTCTATAGGACACACTTTTCCCCCTCCAAAAATGAAGGGGAAATGTGTGTGCGTCCTATGGGGCGAATGCAGGCTTTCGCTGAAGCCTGGAGAGCGAGAGGGGTCGGTGCGCACCGACCCCTCTCACTCTCCAGGCTTCAGGAAGCTATCCGCAAGCCTTCGGTACCTGCCGGGAGTTCCCGCCGGGCTCTCCAGGCTTGCGGATAGCAGCAAGCTCCAGGAGCGCACAACCTCACCGCCGCTCCCAGACCCGTTCTGGGGTCGGGGGAAGCTCGGGCTTCCCCCACCCCAGCCCCGCGGCTAAAAAGGAAGCCAAGACAGCGAGCAGGATCCATCCCGCTCGCTGTCTTGGCTTCTTTGCCTTTTGGGGCTGGGGGGGTGGTGAAATAATTTTTTTTCTTTATTTCCCCTCCCCCCCCAAAAAAACTAGGCGCGCCCTATGGTCCAGTGCGCCCTATGGAGCGAAAAATACGGTAGTTCCGTTCCACCCTAAAAGGGAACAGGCTGTTGTGTGTCACATGCCTGTTTACTTCCAGCACTCGCTGGGAACTTCCGTTTGTATATAGCTTTTGTGTTAACTGCTGTTTTGCTGGAGATGAAGGGAAGCAGACATGTTTTCCTTTGTTCTGGAACTATGCTCAATAACATGCTGTACATTATGCTTGCACATCTCTCTGTCCGCCTCTGTGAGGTGATTTACACACACTGCTGACAGAGCATGCACGAGTCTCAAAACATATCTGAGGCTCGTGTCGCTGTTTGATGCTGTTCCAAGAGAGACCGGCTGCCAGCCGGTGGCTGGAGCCAGCTGGGGGCCTGCCTGATGGCCCCTGTCTTCCCGGCAGCATCCCAACAGCCACGAGGTTGGCAAACGCTGCTTCAATAAGTATCTTCGCGTGTTTCTGTGTTTTGTCTTATTGCCTGCACTGAACCTTCCAGGACTGGGCAGGTTAGAAATGTAAAGGGCGATACTTTGAGACTCTCATCTAACGGGGTGGGGAGAGGCACCAAAATATTTAGAAGCACCCTTCTGGACACCCGTGTGCTTTTCTGGCCTTGCCACGTGCTTGCTGGGAGAGGTCTGAGCTGGGTTTTAGGGAGCTTTTTGTGTAGCTCTGGGAGACAATAGAGGCCCTGTTCTTCCTGGCTGCGGCAGATCGTGGGCATGTCAGCTTGCTCATCCCTTGCAGTGGGAATTGCCTGGTGGGAGGAGGGTACAAGAAGCAGCTGCCTCTTACCGTGTCTGTCTGGAGGGGAAGATTGGCCAAGGAGTCTGTTCTGAAAAGGTGTGTCTCTATTCCCAGCTCCTTGGCCCAATCTGCAAGGGCTTGAGAGCAGCCTCGTTCCAAGATTTACCGTATTTTTCGCTCTGTAGGACGCACCGGACCACAAGACGCACCTAGTTTTTAGAGGGGGAAATCAAGAAAGCTTCTCGGGGCTGCAGGGGAAGCACGGGTCCCCCCCCCCAGCCCCAAAGAGCAAAGAAGCCAAGACAGTGAGCGGGATCCATCCCGCTGGCTGTCTTGGCTTCTGCCATAGCCGTGCAACCTCTCCAGCCAGGAGCTAAACCTCTCCAGCGCGGCTAAAGAAGCGTGGCTAAAGAAGCCAAGGCAGCGAGCGCAATCCATCCTGCTCGCTGCCTTGGCTTCTGCCATAGCCGCGCAACCTCTCCAGCTGGGAGCTAAACCTCTCCAGCGCGGCTGAAGAAGCCAAGGCAGCGAGCGCAATCCATCCTGCTCGCTGCCTTGGCTTCTGCCATAGCCGCGCAACCTCTCCAGCTGGGAGAGGCTGTGCAAGGCTAAAGAAGCCAAAACAACGAGCGGGATGGATCGCACTCGCTGCCTTGGCTTCTTTAGCCTTGCGCAGCCTCTCTCAGCTGGAGAGGCTGCGCGCGGCTATGGCAATTCCCCCACCTCCCACAAAAGCCCACAGGAGCCGCGCACCCTTTAAGGAGCACGCGGCTCCTGTGGGCTTTTCTATGAGGAGGGAGAAGGGACGGACTGGCCACGTCAGTCCCTTCTCCCTCCTGGGCAAAAGCCCGCAAGAGCCACGCGAAGCTTGTGTGCGGCTCTGGGGGGCTTTTCCTGCCTGCCTCCCGCCTGCATTCGCTCCATAGGACGCACAGACTTTTCCCCTTAGTTTTTAAGAGGGAAGAAGTGCGTCCTATGGAGCGAAAAATACGGTACGTCTCTCAACCATCAGAGCAACTGGGTACTTGGTCAATTTTCATTGGGGGACAGGTCCCCTGACATTTCTGGAAAGATGGCCTCTTTCGCCTTTAGGATCACAGTTTTGAGGAGGAACATTGAGTTAAATTCTTCAGGGAAACAAATTTTTATTGGGCAGAATGCCTAGTTTCAATAACCACGTTAACTGGGCAAAGTGTTTTTATTCTGTTGGATGTATCTTGCTCTGTTACGGCTTTTCGGCTGTGCAAATGAATAATAAAATACTCTCCGTAGTAGTAGGCAGGGGGAGACGGCCTGGGGAGCCGCTGCCTATTGGACAATGCCGCCACTCACCCTTTCCCTCTCTCCTCCCCCAGGCGCATTGCATTCCATGCTCGGAGCAATGGACAAAAGAGTATCTGAGGAGGTAAGTCTTTGTGCTTTCAGTTCCCCCCCTCGCCAGGTTAATAGCATCAAAGGCACCTCCAATTAGTATTTTGGGGCTTATAAAAAATCCAGTTTTTTAAAGAGCTTAGTTAAAATTCTCACCATCGTCAGCAGGGTTGCTTCCTATGAGCCCAATGCATGTAGCAGTGCATTTGCTTATTTAGGTACGGTAATTTATTGTTTCGCCTTTTTTGTTTCGCCTGTTTTGTAAACCGCTTTGATTTTCTAAAAGCAAATGGTATATATAGATATATAATTTTTTTTTGAGAGAGAGAAATTCAGTTTGTGTGCATTTGGGTTGATCTTCCTTGGGGGTCTTCTAGCTGGGATTGTTGAAAATGCAACTCTCTCCGCACCCCCCCCAAAAAACCCCCATTCTGTCTTGCAGGGCATGAAGGTCTCTTGCACCCATTTCCAGTGTGCGGCGGGGGCTTTTGCTTACCTCCGGGACCACTTCCCTCATTCCTACAGCGTAGACATGAGCCATCAGATCCTTAACCTCAATATCAACCTCATGCTGGTAAGAGCTGGGGGTGGGGTGAGGGGAAGTCCCTCTGGCCTGGTCTGCCCCTTGGCAAAGGTGCTGAGAATGGAAGGGGAGTCAAAGGGCCAACTAGTCCACTTGCAGTGGCCAACCAGAAGCCCTAATAGGAAACCAGCAAGCAGGATTCGAACACAAGACCCTCTTTCTCCCCTCCTGTGGCTTCCACTAACTGGTACCCAGAAGCACTTACTGCCTCCAACTGTGGAGGCTAGAGCCAAGCCATCGTGGCTAGTGGCCATTGACAGCTGTCTCCTCCATGTATTTCCAAAGCAGAGGACAGAGCAGGGCGACTCACTGTTGTAACTGGGCTGGGCGATTTTAAAATGTGCTTCCTAGAGGTGATCTCTGCTCATGCGACAGTAGCTGCAGTGGACTGCTCTCTTGAGGTCACCTGCAGCCTTGCGTCCAAGACTATAGAACACCGTAACTGAGAGCATCTTGTATGCCCCGCAGAGGACCTTAAGGTCCATGAATAACCATAGTTTAGAGGTCCCGGGCCCTAAGGAAGTCAGATTATCCTCTACCAGGGCCTTCTCAGTGATGGCTCCGACCCGGTGGAATGCTCTGTCCCACGAGACCAGGGCCTTGCTGGATTTAACTTCCTTCTGCAGGGCCTCTAAGACAGAGCTATTCCGCCTGTCTTTGAATTTGAACTTAGCCTGATCTTTTATTCCCCTTCCTTCCCTCCCCCTCCCCTTTTTATGAAGATTACCCCTCTGGGATCCCACAGCTAATTCTCCCCTGGTCTCCTCGCAGGCCCAAATAGGACTAATTTAGCCAGCTAGCCCTGACGATCATCTGATGTTTATTGGCTGGATTTCCCCCCAAATTGATTTTTGAATTCTGAATTTATTGTTATTCACGTCTTATACTGTAGTTTATGCTGTTTTTTGTTGCATCAATTAAGTGTTTTAAATTTGTTGTTAGCCACCCTGAGCCCGGTTTTCTGAACCGGGAAGGGCGGGGTATAAATAAAAAATTATTATTATTATTATTGTTTATTTCTTCGTCTCCTGCATGTCTAAAGGGCCAGGCCCAGGAGTGCCTTCTGGAGAAATCGATGCTGGACAACCGGAAGAGCTTCCTTGTGGCCAGGATCAGTGCCCAGGTGAGCAGTTTGGGGAGCCTTGAACTTGGGTGGCTAATGCCTGAAAAGTGGCCTCCCCCTGAGCCTGGGGAAGGTTAGAGGCCTTCCTCTAAAGCAGCCAGGTGCATTTTTTGTTGTGTAGTTAGGTTTGCTTGACAGGGCTGTCCCACATTCCCTCCCCGATGGAGCTGTAGGGTTAGAAGAGATCCCCAAAGGCCATCTAGCCCAACCCCTTGCAATGCAGGAATCCCAGCTCAAGAATCCCTGACAGATGGCCGTCCAAATTCTGCGTTAAAACCTCCAGTGAAAGAGAGTCCACTTGCCTTTAGAAAGTTCTTCAGTAGGGTTCTCCTTTCTCGTGGTACGCATCTGTTGGTTCGGCTCCTGCAGTGGGGAAAATTTGTCAGCATCTAAAGCAGCAGTCATTCAGAACCTTTCCTGCCCTCCCAAATTCCCTTCCCAAGGTGGTGGATTACTACAAAGAAGCGTGTCGAGCTTTGGAGAACTCTGAAACAGCCTCTCTGCTGGGGAAGATTCAGAAGGACTGGAAGAAGCTGGTGCAGATGAAGATCTACTATTTCGCTGCCGTGGCCCATGTGAGTATCCTGGGCGGACCCTGCTCTGGTGAGCTGGGCTTCACCCAACATGACCTCCCCACACTTCATCCTTTGGTTAGGTAAAGGTAAAGGGACCCCTGACCATTAGGTCCAGTTGTGGCCGACTCTGGGGTTAAGGTGCTCATCTCACTTTACTGGCCGAGGGAGCCGGCGTACAGCTTCGGGGTCATGTGGCCAGCCTGACTAAGCCGCTTCTGGCAAACAGAGCAGCGCACGGAAACGCCGTTTACCTTCCCGCCGGAGTGGTACCTATTTATCTACTTGCACTGGTGTGATTTCGAGCTGCTGGGTTGGCAGGAGCAGGGACTGAGCAACGGGAGCTCACCCCGTCGCGGGCATTTGAACCGCCGACCTTCTGACCGGCAAGTCCTAGGCTCTGTGGTTTAACCCACAGCTCCACCCGCATCCCTTGGTTAGATAAGATAAGATAAAACTTTATTCGCATTAGCCAATGGCCATAGCAACAGTAAAACATTACAGTATATGCAGAAAAGGAAGTTTGATATAAGAGCACAATTCAAAGTCCTGAATCAGCCATCGGTTAGTGGCCCTTATTCTGATTGCCCCTGCTATGAACCTAGCGACAGTAATTAATTAATACGTTTGTGCAGATATGGGGCCAGAGATTCAAAATGGAGAGGTGGAAAATAAACATACCCTATCTGCCTGTGGACTGCTTCGCCAGAGTGGTGCATGCTCTGGTTATCTCTCGCTTGGACTACTGCAATGCGCTCGTATGTGGGGCTACCTTTGAAGGTGACCCGGAAACTACAACTAATCCAGAATGCGGCAGCTAAACTGGTGACTGGGAGCAGCTGCTGAGACCTCATAACTCCGGCCTTGAAAGAACTACATTGGCTCCCAGTACGTTTCCGGGCACAATTCAAAGTGTTGATGCTGACTTTGAAAGCCCTAAACGGCCTTGGCCCAGTATACCTGAAGGAGTGTCTCCACCCCCATTGTTCTGCCCGGACACTGAGGTCCAGTGCTGAGGGCATTCTGGCGGTTCCCTCACTGCCAGAAGCCAAGTTACAAGGAACCAGGCAGAGGGCCTTCTCGGTAGTGGCGCCCGCCCTGTGAAACACCCTCCCACCAGATGTCAAAGAGAAAAACAACTACCAGACTTTTAGAAGACATGTGAAGGCAGCCCTGTTTAGGGAAGCTTTTAATGTTTAACAGATTATTGTTTTTTAATATTTTGTTGGAAGCCGCCCAGAGTGGCTGGAAAAGCCCAGCCAGATGCGCGGGGTACAAATTATTTATTTATTATTATTATTATCCTTTGGTTTGTGTTGGAACCTGAAGGTTCTTATTGGCTCTGTCGTCTCAACCCTCACCGGGATGGGAGCACTGGAATGAGGCTTTATGGGAAGAACTCACCTGTCTGTTCCTCCCAGCCCCTTCCGTCTGTGGGGTTATGTGTGTGGGTTGAGCTTTTGATTTCAGCTTCCTGCGCGAGGGATGAGGGTTTGTGGGACGGATGGAGGCGATGCCAGATTGTGAGGTGGTGCCTGGGACCAACCCAGGGGTGCTGTGTCTGGCTGGCTGCTACAAGAACTGTGATTCTTCTCTGTCTTTCAGTTGCACATGGGTAAGCAGGCGGAGGAGCAGCAGAAGTACGGCGAGAGGGTAAGACTGTTTGCTTCCAAAGTTCTGGGGTGGGTGGAGAACTCACAGACTGCTTGCTGCGGTCAATCTCCTGGACGATGAGAGGCGAAAAGATAGCCAGATTCAAATACCTGAAGGGCTGTCACGTGGGCGATGGAGCAAGCTTGTTGCCCTCTGCCCCAGAGAGTGGGACCGGAACCAGCAGTTTCAAATGACGAGGAAGGAGATTCCGACTCAATATTGGGAAGAATTGACAGCAGGAGCCGTTTGACAGTGGAACAGGCTCCCTCGGAAAGTGGTGGGCTCTCCTTCTTTGGAGGTCTTTAAACAGAGGTTCTCTGGCCATCTGTCAGTGATTTTAAGCTGTGTCCCTGCATTGCAAGGGGTTGGACTAGATGTCCTTTGGGGTGCCTTCCGATTCTACAATTCTGTGATTCTGCAATAGGTGAGGGGTAGAGAGGCTTGGGCAGGTTTTACGCTGTCCGTGGTGTTGGAACCTTGTAATACAGGCATATATATAGATATGGATATAGATATACACACACACACACAGTGGTACCTCGGGTTACATACGTTTCAGGTTACAGACGCTTCAGGTTACAGACTCCACTAACCCAGAAATATTACCCTGGGTTAAGAACTTTGCTTCAGGATGAGAACAGAAATCATCCTCCGGCGTCATGGCGGCAGCAGGAGGCCCCATTAACTAAAGTGGTGCTTGAGGTTAAGAACAGTTTCAGGTTAAGAACGGACTCCGGAACGAATTAAGTACTTAACCTGAGGTACCACTGTGTGTGTGTGTGTGTGTGTTTTAACATACCATTTTCAACAGTAATTAAACATACTTTTACATCTTAGTCAATTTTTTTGACTTCCACCAGTCCTGTCTGGAAATTTCCCAATTGAATCTCTTAGTATGCATTTCTTATTTTCCCTATTACATTTCAAACTCGTAACCAATATTTCTACCGTTTTCTACTTTATAACACTTCGTATGTTTCTCCTTACAAAACTTGTTGTAGTCCTACTAGTGTAATTTGTCGATTGCAGCTGCTCTTCAAATAATTCATATACTTCTTCCAATCTTCTGTAAATCTCTGGTCCCGCAGGTTTCGAATCCTTCCTGTCATTTTGTCCAATTCTGCATAGTCCATTAATTTCGTCTGCCACTCTTCTTTCGTCAGAATTGTCAGAATTTCTTCTCACTTCTGTTTCTGGGCTAACAGTACTCTTGCCCCAAACAGCGAAACCTTCAGCATTGCCCTTGTACTGTTGATGTTACAATAACTGAAGGACAGCTGTTTTGGGGAGATGGGTTTAGATGGGCTCCAGGAGCCAAGGGGAGGAGGCAGAGGGCACAGCGAGGAAGCCAAACCTTCTCTCCCGGGCACAGACCTCCCTTTGAAGCCCTTGCCAGGATGAGTCCAGAAGGAGCTTCTTCTGTTCCCTCGCCACGTCTGTGACTACCTAAGGCCCTAGTCCTCACACATGGCAGGTGTGGCGGAAGCCCTGCGAATGGACTTCAGGCTGCAAGTGGGGCTTCTTGTGATGAGATGACCCTCTGTTATGGCACTCCCCGCGTGCAAGTTCTCTACCTGCAGGGAATTTGTGTGTGTTATAAGAAAGACTGCTTTATGGGGTATTCCAGAGCCTATATCAAGTCCTTAAGTGGGTTCCCTATTGGTAGGAGAAAGTAACAGGGGCCAACCAGAGTATATTGAGAAGCAAAGTGGCTAGTAAGCCTGATCTTTATTCAAGGAACTGTTGCAACAGGGTCCCCACTTACCACACGCAGGAGGGAGGAGAACCTTGAACAGTGGTGCACAAGCCCCTATATAGACCTTTGAAATTCCCCATCCTGTAGCCCAAGACCAGCCCCCTGAAACATCATACATACATCACAGAAGGGAGGCGGTCTCCAGCAGAAATCCTGTCTTCCAGGATACTGATAATGGTCACTGGCTGCGTTACCCGGGCAGTCTAGCCTATTCATATACAAATACGTCCTTAAGACAGGATTTGCAAGCAAAAAGGCAGAGGGAAGGGTTTCCCCATTTGCCCCCCCTTACTGCAGTGGACTATTTGAGGTCATTGGGAGAGTCAAAATGGCTTCGGGATTGCTCTCCCATACTATTTCACACATGCTGTTCATATATTTAGATATGCGTGCATTTATGAATATTTATTCTAAGTCTGAGACCTTAAAATTCTTATAACGTGTGTGAGAGAAAGGCTCAGTTTTCTTACTTTTAATAGAAAGCATAGCCCGTTTGACAGTGGACTTTGGTTGTCTGAATCTCTGCCCCCTTTGCAGGTCATCTACTTCCAGAGCGCTCTGGACAAGCTCAATGAAGCCATCAAACTGGCCAAGGTACACCTTTCTTCCTACCCCCTTCCCGAAAGTGGCTTGAAAAGTTATTTAGTTAAACTCTGGAGGCAATGATGGCCCCCAGCTTGGATGGCTTTAAAACAGGATTGGACCAATTGATGGAGGAGAGGGCTGTTGATGGCTGCGCCCCCTCCCCGCTGCCCCCCTTGCCTCTTAGCTTCCCCTAGAGCAGGGGTCTGCAACCTTTAAGACAAAAAGAGCCACTTGGACCCGTTTCCGAAGAAAAAAAAACTGGGAGCCGCAAAACCGCCCCCATGCGACGTCACAGCCAGTACAGCGCCCGCCACAGTGGGGAGTGTCGGGGTGCACAATGCGCCTCCTCCCCTCGCTAGTATCCGCCCTGGAGCCGCGGCAAAGGTGTAAAAGAGCCACATGCGGCTCCGGAGCCGCAGGTTGCAGACCCCTGCCCTAGAGAATCCCCCCAAGGGACACGGGTGGTGCTGTGGGTTAAACCACTGAGCCTAGGGCTTGCCGATCAGAAGGTCGGCGGTTCGAATCCCCGCGACGGGGTGAGCTCCCGTTGCTCGGTCCCTGCTCCTGCCAACCTAGCAGTTCGAAAGCATGTCAAGTGCAAGTAGATAAATAGGTACCGCTCTGGCGGGAAGGTAAACGGCGTTTCTGTGCGCTGCTCTGGTTCGCCAGAAGCGGCTTGGTCATGCTGGCCACATGACCTGGAAGCTGTACGCCAGCCCCCTTGGCCAATAAAGCGAGATGAGCCTCGCAACCCCAGAGTCGGCCACGACTGGACCTAATAGTCAGGGGTCCCTTTACCTTTACCTAGAGAATCCCCCCAGTGGCTGCTACTGCCTACTTTGGGAATTGTTGGTGTACCTTTATCCTGCCTCCCGCCATCTCTGCCTGCGGACCCCCTGCTTATTATGGATATGTTTTGAACCTGACAATTCTTCTTGCAGGGTCAGCCTGAGACGGTACAGGAAGCCTTGAGGTTCACCATGGATGTCATTGGAGGAAAGTGAGTCGCTGCTACCTGTTAACTCTTTGCGTGCATGGGCCTGGGTCCCTGTCACACCAGTTCCCTTCACTAATCTCTGCTCTGCACCAAGAGAACCTGCCTGGTGCAGAGAGAGAGAGCGAGAGCACTCCTGTCTGGAAATTGGGAGAGCCACTGCCAGTCAGAAGTCAGATGTTGACGGGTCTGATGGTCTCACCCGTAGACCTTTGCTTTGCTCAGTTCTGCTCTTCCAGGCATTCCCTCCGTATTTTTGTGATTCTGTGAAACCATGAGGACTAGAAAACCTTTTTTTTAAAAAAAAAACACTTAATTAATTTTATTTATACCCCGCCCTCCCCGGCCAGAGCTGGGCTCAGGGCAGCTAACACCAGTAGAATCACAGTAAAAACATAATAGGGGAAAAAGAAAAAGAAAAGAAAATACAGGTTAAAATGCAATTTAAAATTTAAAATGCAGCCTCATTTTAAAAGCAGCCCATGGATCAAAACCGTAAGGGGAGGGAAACATAAGGGTCAGACTCAGTCCAAACCAAAGGCCAGGCGGAACAGCTCTGTCTTGCAGGCCCTGCGGAAAGATGTCAAGTCCCGCAGGGCCCAGTCTCTTGGGACAGAGCGTTCCACCAAGTCGGGGCCAGTACTGAAAAGGCCCTGGCCCTAGTTGAGACCAATCTAACCACCTTGCGACCTGGGACCTCCAAAATGTTGTCATTTGTGGACCATGCATTTGGATTCCTAAGTTACTCTACATAGAGTAATGAATTCAAGAAACGCACGCATGGGAGAAGAACGAGGTGCTGGGAGGTCCCACACCCTTTTAGTGCGAGACAAGGGTTAAGATCTCCCTCTGATAGAGGGCTTTGCATTATTTTCTTCCTCTTTTTTTATTTCCTTTTTCCATTTTTATTCAGATTCATCTGTCCTTTTATCGTATTCTATGTTGGGAAAGTTTCAATTGAAAAAGAAAGACATGCACACAGATTTGCAAGTTTTCACTTTGGGCTTGGGAAGCAAGGAGTTACTGACCAGAACACCCCCCGCCTCCTTCCCTCTTTCCAAGTTTGGCTTTTACCTAGTATTCCCCACATTTCTGGAGGGCCCCCCCACACACACCAAAAAAATCCGACTGTCTGTAGTTGTAGTTCCTCTGACTTTGGGTGTGGGGCATCCCTAAACATAACACCCTTTGAAAACCCTTTGATATTGGTTGCTTTCTTGGAACTGTACTTGGAGCAAAAATATGTGATACTTCTTCCTGGGCATCTGCCCCCAAAGAGCCGCCCCCCCAGCAGCAATGCCCTTCAAGCCTGTTGTCGCTTTGCAGGTACAACTCTGCCAAAAAGGACAATGACTTCATCTACCACGAGGCTGTCCCTGCTCTGGATACCTTGCAGTCAGTGAAAGGTAAAGTCAAGACACTCTGTTTTCACAGAATTGTAAAGTTAGATGGGGCCCCCAGCGGTCAGGAGTTCGGCCTACACTCGAGTAGGACCCTGGCAGAGACACATGCCCGACTGGCATGTTCTCTCCCTCCTGGTCAATCGTTCGGGAGCTTCAAAAGCTTTCTTCAGCCCGAACATCACAGCGACCGATGCCAACCGACACTGGCACACTTAGGGATCTGCAGAGTCTTTGCAGCTTGCGTGACAGAACCCCAGCAAATCAGCATTTTGGCTAATCTACTTTATTTACATATAAACACACACGGAGCACTGCAACATGGCTCCCTCTCTCTAGCATCAGACAGCAAAGAGAAAAAGAACAGTCCCACTTCACGGAACACAGTAACACAAACATCCTGTCTCCGTCACTTCCCACTCTGTGGAGTCAAAACATATACCGTCATGTGAAAGACAACAGTCCCATGACTGCAATCATGGAGCAGGAATTCTAACAGTCCCACCCCGCTCCAATGCAGGAATATCTTCTCCGACGTGGGACTCAAACCCACAAGCCTGAGATTAAGAGTCTCACGCTCTACCAGCTGAGCTATCCCAGCTTTGGAGCAACCGCTATCGCCTTCTCTGCCTGCTGGTCTTGGGTAGGGCAGAAGGAGCCCATCATTCCCAAACCAGGCGCCCTCCAGATGTTTTGAACTACAACTCCCATCATGCATTTTTTTTTGCAACATCCATCAAATTGTATGTAGCACAGGGCTACCCAAAGCATAAATATGCAGCAGGTGGTTTTGAAAGCTGATCGGCATCACTTTTGGCCGCCTTTTGATAACGATCAAAAACTTCCTTATTCTCCCAGGCTTTGAGCAGAGGCTAGCGGGGGATCTTACGTCAGATGTTTCCTGCTGACGCAGTGATATTGGGGAAGGTTTTGCTGCATCTTGATGGGCTGGGCTTTTGTGGCAGGGATCAGCTGCTGTCTTACTTTTTGTTGTGGGCTATTTGAACTGCTTTACAACTTGTTAAATCGCTACCCACAAAAGTGAGGAAGGGTGGGATATAAATGTAGTCGTAATAATAAAAGCCAAATAAGCATGCAGGACTGGGTAAACTCAGACATTTACAGAAGCTACAAGGTTATTAGCACTCCATGGGTCCAGTGTAGCCTAGGTATCACCTCTAGGGACGCGGGTGGTGCTGTGGTTTAAACCACTGAGCCTCTTGGGCTTGCCGATCAGAAGGCCGGCGGTTCGAATCCCCACAACGGGGTGAGCTCCCGTTGCTCGGTCCCTGCCCCTGCCAACCTAGCAGTTCAAAAGCACACTAGTGCAAGTAGATAAATAGATACCACTCCTGCGGGAAGGTAAACGGCATTTCCGTGCGCTCTGGTTTCCGTCACGGTGTTCTGGTGCGCCGGAAGCGGTTTAGTCCTTCTGGCCACATGACCCGGAAAACTGTTTGCGGACAAACGCCGGCTCCCTTGGCCTGAAAGCAAGATGAGCGCCAAAACCCCATAGTCGCCTTTGACTGGACTTAACCGTCCAGGGGTCCTTTACCTTTACCTTTTTTAGGAATCAACTCTCTGTCCTCAAGTGCTTTATTAACCCAATATTATTAACCCAATATTATTAACCCAATATTATTAACCCAATATTTACTTCATCTGCAGGCGCTCCTCTGGTGAAAGCCCTTCCCGTCAACCCCACAGACCCGGCTGTCACAGGCCCTGACATTTTTGCCAAGCTGGTTCCAATGGCTGCCCATGAGGCCTCCTCGCTCTACAGGTGAGCAGCTGCTTTGCATTCTGGGAGACTGTTTGGCCTGCCAGGTCCATTGGGGGAGGGGGGCTGCAGGAAAACAGGTGGAGATTAAAGGGTCAAGATCGGAGGATTGATAACAAGAAGAAGAAGGAGAAGAATTTATTATTTATACGAAGAAGAAGAAGAAGAATTATTTATACCCTGCCCCTCTGGCTGGGTTTCCCCAGCCACCCTAGGTGGCTCCCAACAGAATATTAAAAACACGATAAAACAGCAAAAATTAAGAACTTCCCTAAACAGGAAGAGGGTGGGAGTATTGTGGGCCAAGAGTTGACATGTGCCTAGATTTTAACTTCCGGGAGAAACTTCGGAAAAGCAACCTGAAATTTACTGCATTTTATTCATTGAAAGAGAATTATTTGAGAAGGATCCATAGATGGTATTTAACTAGATTGGCTAAGTTATATAAAACAGAATCAGATATGTGTTGGAAGTGTAAAGAAGCAGAGGGAATCTTTTTTTCATACGTGGCGGACATGCAAAAAGTTAAAAGTGTATTGGGAAATAATTTATAATGAACTGGAAAAAAAAGTTCAAAATTACTTTAAAAAAACAAATAAACCCCAGAGCCCTTTTTATTGGGAATAAGCCAGACATAAATTCCTAGGTGTCAGAAAAGATTATTTATCTATGCTACAACTGAGGCCCATGTTTTTTTAGCCCCAAAATGGAAAGTGAGCGAGGTCCCAACTGAAGAAGAATGGCAATTTAAGTTGACAGAATATGCAGAACTTGCAAATTTAACACACAGAATAAGAGAGCAAGAAGAACGTATATTTAAAGAAGGAAAACGTTTATTGAGTACATACAGCTGAAAACTCTGGCAGCATTAAGATAAATTCAACAAATGATTTTTGATGGATGTTAAAGCAGAAAACTGATTTGAATGGTTATAGTAAAATACGCAGGAATGTGTGATATGTAAAATGTACCATGCAAGGAGAAGAAGGGAAGTCATCGGATATTTAAAAGTTTGTAAAATGGTTTTTTTTTTGAAATGTAAAATTGAAAACAATGAAAATTATTATCTATAAGAGAGAGTTGATATGGGCCATGATAGGGCATGAGAGATTGTCTCGCTCCTTACACCCCCAGTCGATCACTGCAGTCTGTAGGCAAGGAACTCCTTTAGGCATCAACTGGAGGTCTGTTCATCACAGTGTAGGAACTAGACCTTTAATTCAGTTGCGCTACCCTGTAGAATTCCTCCCCTTTGAATAATCATATTAATAATAATAAATATGCTGCCCATTTGACTGCTTCTAAGCCTCTGTATTTCTCTTTTTTCCTATGATTTTTATTAAATTTTCTGTTTTACATTTTAGAATATTCATTTAAACAAACTTAAAATACCAATGACTTCCCTTCTTCTCTTTCCATGGTTCATTTTGCATAACATAAATCCCTGCATATTTTACATAAACTAAACCATTCAGTATTCCATATTACACCCATCAAAACTTATTTACACAGTTGGATTTATCTTAATGCTGCCGACGTTTTCAAGTGCTCACAATCCCCCACCCCATATATTCAATAAACATTTTCCAGTCTTCTTTAAACATATGTTCTTGTTCTCTTATTCTACAAGTGCTGGAGATGCAGTGAAGATGAAGGTACGTTCTATCGTATGTTGTGGACCTGTTAAAGGGTAAAATAGCATTGGGAAATAATTTACAATGAATTGGAAAAAAATGTTTAAAAGTACTTTCCAAAAAAACCCCAAAACCCAGAGTCCTTTTTGTTGGGGATAATTCAGAGGGAAATACCCAGGTGTCAAAAAAGGCTATTTATGTATGCCACTACTGCGGCCCGTGTTTTGCTAGCCCAAAAATGGAAAACGAGTGAGGTCCCAACCAAAGAAGAATGGCAACTTAAGCTGATGGAATACATGCAGCTTGCGGACCTAACATATAGTCGTTCCTCGTTTTGCGGCCGGGATACGTTCCGGAGCCCCGGCCTTTAGCCGAAAAGGACACAGGGCAAAGCGGTTTCTGCTTCTGCGCATGCGTGAGCGGCAAACCCGGAAGTAACCCGTTCTGGTACTTCTGGGTTTGCCACGGACGTTAGTTGGAACGGACGCTAGACAAGGCGGACGTTCAAGAAGGTGTTGCTGTATAGAATAAGCCTCCGTGTTTCCCTTGCAGCGAAGAGAAGGCCAAGCTGCTGAGAGAAGTGATGGCCAAGATCGACGCCAAAAACGAAGTCCTGGAGTACGTATTTAAGGCTCCCGGGATCTGGGACCCTGAAGTTGGGACTGGGGGAAGCCACCGTGGAGGGTGGGGTGAGGGGGGCTGCCTCTTTGCTCACGGGTCACAGGGGTGGTCTCGCCGCATCATCATCATGCATTTTTATTTATATCCCGCCCTCCCCAGCCGAAGCCCAGCTCAGAGCGGCTAACAACAATAAAAGTAACACAACATTCTAAAATCAGTTCATTTTAAAATCAATTCAAAATCAAATTCATGGCAGCCATTGGGCTAGAGTTCTGTGAGGATTACCAAAGAAGGGGGTCAGACTGTGCCTTGGCCAAAGGCCTGGTGGAACAGCTCTGTCTTGCAGGCCCCACGGAAAGATGTCAAGTCCCGCAGGGCCCTAGTCTCTTGGGACAGAGCGTTTCACCAGATCGGGGCCACAGCCGAAAAAGCCCTGGCTGTGGTTGAGGCCAGCCTAACCTCCCTGTGGCTCAGGACCTCCAATATGTTTTTGTTTGAAGACCGTTAGGTCCTCCGTGGGACATACCAGGACAGGCGGCCCCGTAGGTACGAGGGTCCTAGGCCATATAGGACTTTAAAGGTTAAAACCAGCACCTTAAACCTGATCCTGTACCCCACCGGGAGCCAGTGCAGCTGGTAGGGCACCGGGTGAATATGATCCTGCGGCGAGGACCCCGTAAGGAGTCTTACACCCGCTGGAGTTTCTTATATTCAGGCCAATATGGTAATAAAAACGGCGCCAGAAGATGTCATATTTGGAATTTCCCCTCTGAGAACGCAAAGTTGCTAAGTCAGTTTCTCCGATGTGGCTATAAATAAGGCTTTTAAAAAGCAGTTTGTGTTATAGCAGGCACCCCCGAACTCCAGATGTTTTGGGACTACAGTTCCCATCATCCCTGACCACTGATCGTGTTAGCTAGGGATGATGGGAGTTGTAGTCCTAAAACATCTGGAGGGCCGAGTTTGGGGATGCCTGTTGATTTCCAGTCCTTCTGAGGCTCCGCCTAGGGATGGGATAATCCAAGCTCTGCCGTGTGACCCCTCCTGCCACGCTTCTCTCTTTGTAGACAATTCATGGACTCGTTGCAGCTGGACCCCGAGACGGTCGACAACCTGGACATGTACAAGCACATCCCGCCCGTCTTGATGGAGAAATGCGCAGCGCTCAGCGTGCGCCCAGAGACCGTGAAAAACCTTGTTCAGTCCATGCAGGGTAAGTTTATGGGACTGGGGATGAGGTGTGTATGTCTGTGCAAAGAAGAGACCACTCGGGTTTTTTTCACTGATGGAGAACTTGTGATGGAGTTGCTGAGGGACTAACTGCTTGTTTAAACTTATATAGTAATTGACTGTAAGCATTTGTGTTGGAACACGTACAACAATGTTATACACTGGGGTTGGGAACCTGCAGCCTCTGGGCCAGTCTTGGCCTGCAAGACCATTTCCCCCAAACCATGCCCATCAGCTGATGTCTTTGGCGATGTCAGCCGATGGGTGGAGGACAGGATTTTAATCCTGGTTTGCAAGATTGCACAGCCAAGGCGGCAGGATCTAATCCTTGCTATTCCACTGAGCGGGACACGGGTGGCGCTGTGGGTTAAACCACAGAGCCTAGGACTTGCCAATCAGAAGGTTGGCAGTTCGAATCCCTGCGATGGGGTGAGCTCCCGTTGCTCGGTCCCAGCTCCTGCCAACCTAGCAGTTCGTAAGCACGTCAAAGTGTAGGTACCGCTCCGGCGGGAAGGTAAATGGCGTTTCCGCGCGCTGCTCTGGTTCACCAGAAGCGGTTTAGTCATGCTGGCCACATGACCCGGAAGCTGTACGCCGGCTCCCTTGGCCAATAAAGCGAGATGAGCGCCGCAACCCCAGAGTCGGCCATGACTGGACCTAATGGTCAGGGGTGCCTTTACCTTTACCTATTCCACTGAGCAGCGATCACAGCTGTGCGAGCCAGTGTGGTGTAGTGGTTAAGAGTGATAGACTCGTAATCTGGGGAACCGGGTTCGCGTCTCCACTCCTCCACATGCAGCTGCTGGATGACCTTGGGCTAGTCACGCTTCTCTGAAGTCTCTCAGCCCCACTCACCTGGGGGAGGAAGAGAAAGGAGAATGTTAGCCGCTTTGAGACTCCTTCGGGTAGTGATAAAGCGGGATATCAAATCCAGACTCTTCTTCTTCTGCTGCTGCTGCTGCGCAAAAGCGCCCTTTGAAGCAGCTCACAGGCAGGAGTGAGCCTTTGCAAAGGCTCCTGAGCTTCCTTCTTGAGCCTCCGGAGGATAAGTTGGAAAAGGGCTGCCAAAACGATCAAGGGGATTCAGCAACTCCCCTATACAGAAAGGTGGCAGAGTTTGGGACTTTTTAGTTTGGAGGAAAAGTGAGAGGTGGCGTGATAGCAGTTTATGAAATCAGGCATGGCGTGGAAAAAGTGGGTAAATAAAAGTTTTATCTCCCTCTCTCATAACACTAAAACTCATAGACGTTCAGTGAAGCTGAATGTTGGAAAATTCAGGACAGAGAAAAGAAAGGAATTCTTCACACAGAAGCGCAGTTAAACTGTGGAACTCCCTGCCACAGGAGGCCACCATTCTAGATGGCTTTAAAAGAGGATGAGGCAAATTCATGGAGTATAGGGCTATCATTAGCTTCTACCACGATGCAGGCTTTGCTCTGCCCCCACAGCAGTTCCTGGAAACTGCCAGTTCCTGGAAACTGCAGGAACGGAGAGGGCTCCTGTGTTCGAATCCTGCTTGCTGGTTTCCCACAGGCATCTTGTTGGCCCTTGTGAGAACAGAATGCTGGACTAGATGGTCCGCTGGCCTGATCCAATAGGCTGTTCTTCTGTTCTCCTCCAAGTCTCTTTTCCTTTAAGTCCCCTGTCTTGTAGGCTTAAGAAGGAAGCATTGGGATCCTTAAATTACCTGCCTATATGTTACCAATACAGTGGTACCTCGGGTTAAGAACTTAATTCGTTCCAGAGGTCCGTACTTAACCTGAAGCTGTTCTTAACCTGAAGCACCACTTTAGCTAATGGGGCCTCCTGCTGCTGCCGCGCCTCCGGAGCATGATTTCTGTTCTCATTCTGAAGCAAAGTTCTTAACCCGAAGCACTATTTCTGGGTTAGCGGAGTCTGTAACCTGAAGCGTATGTAACCTGAGGTACCACTGTAATAAATTTGTGTTTGTTTCTTCAAAACCTGCCAAGGAGCCCAGTTCATTTTGTTGTTTCTTTTAAGTACTTTGTAAAAGGTTCCCATTCTCCTTTAAAGTCACAGTTGTCCTTATCACGGAGCTTGTGTGTCAGTTTCGCCAGCTCCATATAGTCCATCAATTTCCCTTGCCCACAGTTCTTTTGTCAATATGCAGAGAATAACATATGCTGGAAAACCAGAGAGAGGAGCTGAAGGAACTCCGGGCTGGGGTGGGCTTTTCTTGGGGAGAATGGAGGGGAAAATAGAGGGGCTGGGAAATGAGGATGATATGTCTTTGATAAATGGTTATGCTGAAATTCTTAATAAAAATTATATATATAAAAAAGGAAGCATTGGGGGACTTGGAAAAGGTCCTGTTCCCCCTTTAAGCCTCCGAGATCAGGGGCTTAAGAGTCTGGAGCGTGGGGAGACTTGCAAAGGCGCAAGGGATTTGGACGGATGGGCAGCCCCGCCAGTGGTGTGAAATCTCAAAATCTCTCCCTCTTCTCCCCTCCAGCGCTCTCTGGCGTTTTCACGGACGTCGAAGCGTCTCTGAAGGAGATCAAGGACCTGCTGGACGAGGACGAAGCCCAGGAGCAGAAGCTGCGAGAGGCGCTGGGGGGAAAGCTGCCCCCACAGCAGGGCTCCCCTCCCACCCCGCCCTCCTCCGGGCTGGCAGAAGTAGCCAAGGAATGGGCCAAGTACATGGAGGTGCACGAGAAAGCCAGCTTCACCAACACGGAGCTCCACAAGGCTATGAACCTGCACATCAGCAACCTGCGGCTGCTCAGCGGCCCCCTGGAGCAAGTGAGGGCCGCCTTGCCCACCCCCAGCCTGACGGAAGGTGAGGAGAACAAGGAAGGCGGTTGCCGCCGTCTCTTCTCTGTTACGGCTTTCTGCCGGTTGAGCCCACAGGCGCCGTGAATCATGGATTCTTTAGCTGCGATTCCTGCATTGCAGGGGGTTGGTCTGGATGACCCTTGGGGGTCCCGACTCTACAATTCTGTGATTCTACACTCTCTGAAATATGGGGGAACCCCCCGCTGCATTCTCCTCCCCTGCTAAGCAGAGCTATGTAAAGACCAGGGATGCGGGTGGCGCTGTGGTCTAAACCACTGAGACTCTTGGGATCGCCGATCGGAAGGTCGGCGCTTTGAATCCCCGTGACGGGGTGAGCTCCCATTGCTCGGTCCCTGCTCCTGCCAACCTAGCAGTTCAAAAGCATGCCGGTGCAAGTAGATAAATAAGTACCAATGTGGCGGGAGGGTAAATGGCGTTTCCGTGTGCTCTGGTTTCCGTCACACTGTTCTGATGTGCCGGAAGTGGTTTAGTCCTGCTGGCCACATGAGCCGGAAAGCTGTCTGTGGACAAACGCCGGCTCCCTTGGCCTGAAAGCGAGATGAGTGCTGCAACCCCAGAATCACCTTTGACTGGACTTAACCATCCTGGGGTCCTTTGCCTTTACCTTTACCTATATAAAGACCATTATTACATATATGTCCTGTCTTTCCTCCAAGAAGTTCAAGGCGGTGTGCACGATTCTCCATCTTATCCTCACAACCACCCTTATAATAATAATAATATTTGATTTGATTTGATTTGATTTGCTGCCATCAGGCATTCAAAAACATCAGGCATTCAAAAACTCCCAATAGAGGGCTTCAGATGTCTTCTAAATGTCAGATAGTTGTTTATCTCCTTGACATCTGATGGGAGGGTGTTCCACAGGGCGGGCACCACCACCGAGAAGGCCCTCTGCCTGGTTCCCTGTAACCTCACTTCTCTCAGGGAGGGAACTTCCAGAAGGCCCTTGGAGCTGGACCTCAGTGTCTGGGCTGGACGATGGGGGTGGAGACGCTCCTTCAGGTCTACAGGGTCAAGCGGTGAGCTTCATGGCAGCTTGGGGTGATGTTTCAGGATCTGCAGAGACTGATTTCTAGAGCAGTTTCCTTCAGCCATTTCAAATCCAGGATCCTCCTGCAACCCAAACATACATTTGGGGGAACCTGCTTCTTAAAGTTTCTCTCTCTCTCTTTACCCTGATGATAGTGCTGCTGTTGCCACACACCTGAGATCAGGTTTCCGCCCAGTTGTGGGTCCCAGCTCACTGGTTGTAGGCCATTCGACTCCGGGGCCACCCTTTCGGTAGAAGGAATTATTCAACGCCTGTTTTTAAAAATGCAGACCAGAGTATGGGAACAGGTCCACTTTGTTGTAATCTAGAATTAATCCTGGTGCAGTAATTGAAATCCTGCACCTTAAAAAAATAAAAAAAATAAAACCAGTCTTTGCCAACCTGCTGCCCTGGAGATGTCTTTGGGACTACAAATCCCATCAGCCCCTGTCTGTCTCTTTCCTCCATAGACGACCAGCAGGCAATGCAGACCTTGAAGCGGATCCTGGCCAAAGTGCAGGAGATGAAGGACCAGCGGGTCTCCCTGGAGCAGCAGCTGCGCGAGATGATCCAGAAGGACGACATCACCACCTCGCTGGTGACGACAGACCGGTCTGAGATGAAGGTGGGCGGCTGGGAGGGAGAGAGGCAGGGTGTCCGGTCGGCCGTTCTGCACCACCATTGCCACCCAGTTCCTCCTGAAGCTGATGGGAAAGAGAATCATAAGAATATAAGAGCCCCCCGGAAAATAGACGGGCAAGTTATGTAGTTGTGGCCACGAACTGCATGATGTTCAAAGAGGATTAGTCAAGATCACAAAGGAGAGGGCTGTTGGCTGTTGTCAGTTGTTCTCTGCCTCCATGGTCGTCATGTTGTTGTTTAGTCGTGTCCGACTCTTCGTGACCCCCTGGACCAGAGCACGCCAGGCACTCCTGTCTTCCACTGCCTCCCGCAGTTTGGTCAAACTCATGCTGGTAGCTTTGAGAACACTGTCCAACCATCTTGTCCTCTGTCGTCCCCTTCTCCTTGTGCCCTCCATCGTTCCCAACATCAGGGTCTTTTCCAGGGAGTCTTCTCTTCTCATAAGGTGGCCAAAGTCTTGGAGCCTCAGCTTCAGGATCTGTCCTTCCAGTGAGCACTCAGGGCTGATTTCCTTCAGAATGGATAGGTTTGTTCTTCTTGCAGTCCATGGGACTCTCAAGAGTCTCCTCCAGCACCATAATTCAAAAGCATCAATTCTTCGGCAATCAGCTTTCTTTATGGTCCAGCTTTCACTTCCATACATCACTACTGGGAAAACCATAGCTTTTACTATACGGACCTTTGTTGGCAAGGTGATGTCTCTGCTTTTTAAGGTGCTGAAAAGCAATGGTAATAATAATAATAGTAATAATAATAATAATAATAATAATAATAATAATAATAATTATTTATACCCTGCCCTCCCCAGCCAAGACCGGCTCAGGGTGGCTAACACCATGTATAAAAACAAGATTAAAATACAACATTAAAATGCAGCCTCATTTCAGTAGAAACTCAAATCAAAAACTTTGGGGATGAAAACGTCTAATCTTCACCAAGGCCAACTATCCAGACTGGTCCTACATGGGCCAGAAAAAAGCCAGGGAAGTCCCCAAATAGGTGTTCCATCACAGAAGAAGAAAGGAAAGAGGGGATCAAGTCGATTCCAAGCCAAAGGCCAGGCAGAACAACTCTGTCTTACAGGCCCTGCGGAAAGAAATCCGCTCCTGCAGGGCCCTGGTCTCAGGAGACAGAGCGTTCCTTGCTGGAAACCACAGGAGTGGAGAGAGGACTCTGGTGCTCAGATGCTACTTGCAGGTTTACTAGAAAAGACATCTGGTTGGCCACTGGCCTAATCCAGAAGCCTCTGTTATGTTCAGAGTAGCGAAATGCAGCAGGAGCAACCTTTCTGGCGAAGGCGCAGGCCTGTCTCCCAGTTCCCTCTTCCCTGTCTTTCTCACAGATCCATCTCCAGTTTATACAAAGCCCTGGCACTTCTCTCTCTTGCCTCAGTAGAGAGAACACATGGGGAGGCAGCTAAGGCAATGTTTGAGGGCTTGTTTGATTGTGGTACAGTGGTACCTCAGGTTAAGAACTTAATTCGTTCCGGAGGTCCGTTCTTAACCTGAAACTGTTCTTAACCTGAAGCACCACTTTAGCTAATGGGGCCTCCGTGCTGCCAGAGCACGATTTCTGTTCTTATCCTGAAGCAAAGTTCTTAACCTGAAGCACTATTTCTGGGTTAGTGGAGTGCGTAACCTGAAGCGTATGTAACCCGAGGTACCACTGTACCTTTTCTGCACCCTTCAAAATGAAAGTCTAATCAGAAGAGGGTGTTGAATTTCTCTAGGAACCCTCCAGGCACTCTAGGAATTGAGGCAGGGTTTTCTCCCAGCCTTACCTGGAGTTGCCCTTTGGGCTTGAACCCAGGACCACCTGCTGGCCCGGCAGACCCTCTTCCACTGAGCTGTGGCTCTTTCTCCGCACCTCCGATAACCCAAAGGCCTAAAAGATGCTCTCTGCATTTCACTCTCCCCGAATCCCCTTCTCCCTCCTCCCCAGCTGTCAGGGAACTGACATTGGAGCTAGAGGCGGAGGCAAGGCTCCCAAGCGATGCTGGAGAAGGGCCCAGCAGGGAGAGAGGCAGCTCAGCAGATGGGGAAGCAAATCAGCGCAACACCAGGGATAAAGGGGGCAGATGGGGGAATCGGCGAGGGGGCTCCAGGACTCCTTGCCGGAGATCAGCGAGGAGAGCACGGGTCCTCCGCTACCCACGCCCTCCCTGCGCAGAAGGCTTCCGCGCAGGGAGAGTAGGAGGAGACTTGGCGTCAAACAACTTTTATGTTGGAAAAGGTTTAAGAAACGCCCACTGACGGATTCTGCTAGCGACTGAGGCAGCCACGAAGTGAAGGGCTGTCCAGACAGAAAGGTTTAAACAAGGCAACATAGCCAGGAGAGGCGGCAACTTACGCACGAGCAACTCATACTCATTACACCAGCCTATCGTAGCTTTGCCTTGACTTCTCCTCCGTCTCTGTCCAGAAACTCTTTGAGGAGCAGCTGAAGAAATATGACCAGATCAAGGTCTACCTGGAACAGAACTTGACCGCCCAGGAGAACATCCTCAAAGCCCTGACGGACGCCAACGTCAAGTATGCGGCCGTGCGCAAGGTCCTGGCAGAGGTGGAACACAAGTGAGTGGCCGGGGGGAGGAAGAGAAGCAGTTTTTGGATTTCTGGTGTCCAAAACCTGAGGGGTGGTTGGTGGGAGGCTTGGCAGCCTGGCAAAAGTTTGATGTTCTGCCAGCTAGATGCCAGCAGGGAGGCAGCAGCCAGAAATTATGGGTGCAACGAGAATGGTGGATTAAATTTCACAGTGCTTGGGCTCCTGTCTTGAGAAGTGAGTGTGTGTGCACACGCGCACACACTTGTCGATTGGTACGGCTCAGCCCTTGTGCCCAGGCATGTGTGAATGCCTTTCCTGGCTCTGCGCGCTTTCTGAGAGCCAGTGTGGTGTAGTGGTTAAGAGCGGTAGTCTTGTAATCTGGTGGACCGGGTTCGATTCCCCGCTCCTCCCCATGCAGCTGCTGGGTGACCTTGGGCCAGTCACACTTCTCTGAAGTCTCTCAGCCCCACTCACCCCACAGAGTGTTTGTTGTGGGGGAGGAAGGAAAAGGAGAATGTTAGCCGCTTTGAGACTCCTTAAAGGGAGTGAAAGGCGGGATATCAAATCCAAACTCCTCTTCTTCTTCTTCTTTCTGGGTGGTCCTGCAAACGCCCCTCTTCCTCATCCTAACCCTTCTTTTCCTGCCGTCCCCCCAGGTGGAACACCTCTTTGCAGACACTGGTGGCTTCCTATGAGGCTTACGAGGACCTGATGAAGAAATCCCAGGAAGGGAAGGATTTCTACGCCGACTTGGAGAGCAAAGTGGCCAAACTGCTGGAGAAATCCCACACTGCCTGCAAGGGAGCTGAGGTGGTCAGGCAGCAGCTCCTGGAGAGGTAAGGTGGCTTGGCTCCGGGTGCAAGTGGGTGGGTGTGGAGGCAGAGCAGAGACATCCTGGCTAGTAGCCATTGTTGGCCTTCTCCTCTGTGAATTTGTCCCTCCTTCTTTTAAAGCCATCCAGGTTAGTGGCCATCCTGTGGCAGGGAGTTCCAAAGTTTAACTGTAAAATGTGACGTTAAAACGAGGGTAATCCGGGATGATGGGAATTGTATTCCAACACTATCCAGGGTCACAAGATTGAGAAAGGCTGGTTTAGGTGATGATCGGAACACCAGGTTTTTTTAAAAAAATATACAGACACCTGGGGTTTTAATAATAATAATAAATATTTATTTATACCCCGCCCTTCCCAGTTCAAAAACCGGGCTCAGGGTGGCTAACAACAAATTTAAAACACTTTAAAACACTTAATTATAAAAGCAGCATAAAATACAGTATAAAAGCATGAATAACAATAAAAGTCAAAAGTCAAACAGATAATCCCCAGGGCTAGCTGGCTGAATTGGTCCTACTTGGGCCAGTGGGGAGGCCAGGGGAGAATTAGCTGTGGGGTCTCAGAGCGGGTGATCTTCATAAAAAAGGGGAGGGGGAAGGGAAAAGAAGGGAAATAAAAGATCAGGCTGAATTCAAATTAAAGGCCAGGCAGGATAGCTCTGTCTTACAGGCCTGACGGAAGGAGGTTAAATCCTGAAGGGCCCTAGTCACATGGGACAGAGCATTCCACCATGTCGGAGCCATCACTGAGAAGGCCCTGGCCCTGGTAGAGGATAGTCTGACTTCCTTAGGGCCCGGGACCTTTAAGCTATAATTATTCATGGACCTTAGGGTCCTCTGCGGGGCAGACCAGGAGAGGCGGTCCCGTAAATACAAGGGCCCTAAGCCACAAAGGACTTTAAAGGTCAAGACCAGCACCTTGAACCTGACCCGATACTCCACCGGGAGCCAGTGCAACTGGAAAAGCACTGGCTGAATATGCTCCCATGGCAGAGACCCTGTGAGGAGCCTCAACATGGCATTCTGCACCCACTGGAGTTTGTGGGACAGTTTCGAGGGCAGCCTTGTGTAGAGCGGATTACAGTAGTCCCTGTTCAGGGACCCTCTGGGGGCAAGGGGGTGCTGGGAGTGGGTGCCCATCTCACCCGGCTTCTCTGTGGCCTTGCCTTGGCAGGGAACTGAAGAAGAGACCTCCTGCCAGGCCCACCACCCCCAAGCCAGCGCTCCAGAAGAAGACCTCCGACCTTGAGCTGCCCGACCCCCTGCCCCTCGGCTCCCTCTCCCTGGCCGACCTCCCGGAGGAGCTCCGCAGCCTGCCCCCTGAAGTCCTGGGGGCTCACCTGGCACAGCTGCCGCCGGACGCCTTGGCCGCCCTGGGTCTGGACCCCGCCTTCCCCCACGCCGGCCTGCGAGCGGCCCCTGGCCAGGAAGCCTTCTCTGCCCCCCAGCCGGGCCAGGCCAGGCTTCCCTTCGGCCCGGCGGGCCGAGGTGCCCCCCACAGGCACTACCCGCCGCCCAGAGTCCCAGCCGGCTCCGCACAAGCCCCTTACCTGCCGGCCTCCCACCAGATGCCGCCTTCTGCCCCCCAGGCAGCCCCACCACCGATGAGCTCTGCCCCCTCCTCAGGCGCCTACCCACCCAGCGCCAGTGTCATGCGGGGCCCAGCTGTGCAGCCCCCGTACGCTCTGCCCCCTCAGCACACCTCCCCGCAGCACCTCCCCATGCCCGTCTCCGCTCCCCCAGGGGGCATGGTTTACGGCATGGGGCAGCTGGCCCCCAACAGTGGGGCCTTCCCGGCCAGCCACTCCACCCCTCTGGCAGTTAGGCCCCCCGCGCCCTCCCCACACCAGTACAGCGTCGGCAACTTTCCGCCGGGGGTCCGGCCAGCCACCACCACCGTCGACAGCATCCAGGCCCCCATCTCGAGCTGCACGGCCCCCAGGGGCATGGCCGGGCCGCTCCCCCAATGGGCAGGGCCTCCTCCTCCTGCCCAGGGTGGCTTCGCAGGACCTCAAGGGACCCCCAACGCTCAGTTCCCCTACCCACAGCCTTTCATGCAGCAGGTCCTGCCGCCTTACTCCTCTGCTCAACCTCCGCAGGCCTTCTCCCCCCATGGACCCCTCCAGCCCCCGATGGACCGGCAGGTCCGCCCCCAGCCCCTCGGCCCGCCCCCTCAGCAGTACACACCCCAGTTCCTGGCCCAGGCCACAATGCCCCAGCAGCAGCCACCCTTCCAGCACCCCTTTCCAGCTCAGGTCTGCGCCCCGCAAGCCGCCCTCGGACAGGGCCACCCCGTCCAACTGGGAGCCCAACACTACCAGCTTGGGCCGCCCCACGACAAGCTGCCTCGGGGCCACGCCCTGCCTCCCCACTCCCTGACCTACCCCACGGCCGTGTCGCACGCCCCCAACATTTCCATGGGCATGATGGGGCCCGGGCAGCAACAGCAGCAGCAGATTCCCCTTCGCCCGTCGCTCGCTTCCATCCAGCCCTTGCCCGCTGGATCGCCGGCCCAGGTTGCCTTTGGCGCCGGCCCGACGCCCCTGGGCCCTGGGACCCCCCAGATCCCTCCAGGGGCCCCTATGCCCCTGGGAGGGCAGCCCCAGCCCGTCAGCCAGGCCCTCCCTCACCACGTCCCCCCCGCACCCAGCCCTGCCCTGGCACAGATGCCCGGCGCAGCAGTGGTGCCGGGCGCTGCTTTGCCCTCGCCGGCGCCCTCGCCGCAGCCTTCCCTGACCCTGCCGGCTCCCTCTCTCCTGCCCCCCTCGGGGCCTCTCCCGCAGCTGCCCCCTTCCTCTCTGGCGCCTGGCGGGGCCGCCCCACTAGCGCAGGGCCCCTCCGACGCCTCCCGCTTCCCCCGGCAGAATTCGTCCACCGACGACCTCCTGTCCTCCAGCCCCGAGAGCCAGCACGGGGGCGCCAAGGCCTCGGTGGGGCAGCCCCTCCTGCAGCCCACCAAGGCGGATGCCAAGGACGGGCTGAAGCCGAAAGCCGTGCAGCTGATCGAGAAGGACCCCTACGAGAAGCCTGAGCACATCCGGCGGCTCCTGTCGGAGCTGGAGCGCTTCCAGGACGTGGTGGGCGGCCTGGAGAAGCCGGCCCCTTCCTCGGGGAGCGCCAGCGAGCTGGACGGCGTCTGGAAGGAGCTGCAGGACGCCCAGGAGAAAGACGCCCGCCAGCTGTCCATCGCCATCGCCCGCTGCTACTCCATGAAGAACCGCCACCAGGACATCATGCCCTACGACAAGAACCGCATTGTCCTGCAGTCGGGCAAGGACGACTACATCAACGCCAGCCGCGTCGAAGACCTCTCCTCCTACTGCCCCACCATCATCGCCACGCAGGCCCCCCTGGTGGGCACCGCCTCCGACTTCTGGCTCATGATTTACGAGCAGAAGGTGTCCGTCGTCGTCATGCTGGTTTCTGAGCAGGAGATTGAGAAAGTAAGGAGCAAGGATTTGTCACAAGTCGAGTGTACTTTGATAATAATAATAATACTAATAATAGAATTAGCCAAATTGACAGACATAATAAGATAAAAATCAAAAAGGGAAGTAAAAAAAGAATGGGAGTGCCTAATACCTCAAAAGCCAAGGTTCAAGGACAGAAATCTGGCTGAGTCTGGAATAACCTTGTGAAGTGAAAGGATAAGAAAGAGGGATTTATAGCTAGATGTTAGGATAGAGATGATAAGAAAAACAGGAAGACACAATGAGAGATAAAGGAGGTGCCATGGGATTGGTGGAAGTCAATGTTTTATTGTTGTTTTTAGTGTTTATATTATTAACTTGTAAGATATGGATTTGTTGTTGTTTAGTTGTTGCTTTTTTAGTTTTCGAATGTTGGTTTTTGTGTGTTGTGTGTTGTTATTTTTCGATATTTTTCATGTGTGGGAAATACTAATAAATTTTATTTAATAATAAATAGTAGTAGTAGTAGTAGTAGTAGTAGTAGTATAATAATTTATTATTTATACCCTGCCCATCTGGCTGGGCCTCCCCAGCTACTCTGGGCGGCCTCCAACAAAGCACTAAAATACAGTAGTCTGTTAAACATTAAAAGCTTCCCTAAACAGGGCTGCCTTCAGATGTCTTCTAAAAGTCTGGTAGTTGTTTATTTCTTTGACATCTGACGGGAGGGCGTTCCACAGGGCGGGTGCCACTACCGAGAAGGCCCTCTGGCCTGGTTCCCTGCAGCTTGGCTTCTCAGATCTCCACAGATGTTCCCTGCACTTTTATGTTTTTTTCCGCCCAGCCCTGAGGACTAGCGACTTGTTGTTAGTTTGTTTTTTTAAAGCAACCTGAGAGTCTCCGGCTTCTAACCCTGTGCACCAGATTCTGTGATTGCAGCTGAGAGGTGGGGAGGAGAGAGGAAGACACTCAAATGCTTTATCCTCCTCTAATGTAATGTGTATTGCATATGGAGCGCAAGAAAAAAATGACTTGCATTCCTAAGGAGGCGTATGCTTAGAATTTGCCAACCAGCTTAGGCTTCATCATCAAAGCCTTATGGGCATAAACTGTTAAATCCCTAAATAGAATGCCACAGGTGTTTGCATCGTGCTAAGCCGTAGTTTAAAGGTAAAGGGGCTCCTGACCATTAGGTCCAGTCGTGGCCGACTCTGGGGTTGCGGTGCTCATCTCGCTTTACTGGCCGAGGGAGCCGGCGTACAGCTTCCGGGTCATGTGGCCAGCATGACTAAGCCACTTCTGGTGAACCAGAGCAGCGCACGGAAACGCCGTTTACCTTCCCGCTGGAGCGGTACCTATTTATCTACTTGCACTGGTGTGATTTCGAACTGCTAGGTTGGCAGGAGCAGGGACCGAGCAACGGGAGCTCACCCCGTCGCGGGGATTCGAACCGCCGACCTTCTGATCGGCAAGTCCTAGGCTCTGTGGTTTAACCCACAGCGCCACCCGCGTCCTAAGCCATAGTTTAGTACGATATAAATCAGGCATTTCCGAACTCAGCCCTCCAGCTGTTTTGGGACTACAGTTCCCATCATCCCTGACCACTGCTCCTGTTAGCTAGGGATGATGGGAGTTGTAGCCCCAAAACATCTGGAGGGCCGAGTTTGGGGGTGCCTGATGTAAATTAACCACAGTTGACCTTGAGGCACACACAGCTGGAAGAATTTGAGATGTTTCGGCTTTTTGCTTAACTGTAGTTCATCGAATGTAAATATGTTGTAGTTTTGGGTTGTGAGCCGCCTTGAGATCTGCAGGTGTAGGGGGGTATACAAATTTAATAAATGAAATAAATGTGGCTTCCCCATAACCCCAACAGCAGGATCCTAGAGCACGGCCGGTGGGGAGATTACCCCCAGTAAATGACCTTGGAACAGCTGCTATCCCAGTATCAAGTTCATTCAGGTTTTAATTGGATTTTGAATAGATGTGCATTTCATTTTTACCTTTTTGAATTGTGTTGTGTTATCTTCCTTAGCGGGGTCGGGCAAAACCGCTATTCTGAACTATGCTTTTCATAGAGGAGGGCAGGCTGACGAGTTCACGGAACCAAGAACCAAAAAGTTTGGGGAGCCGAAGTTGTTTTCTCTAACTGATGGCAGCTCCCCAGTATCTCAGACTTCCCTGCTGCCTTCTAACCAATGGGGGGGGGGCAAGGCCAAAATGGTGGCACTGGAGGTCCTCTGCCATAGCCCTCCTTTTCTCCTCCTGACATCCCCCCATTTCTCTTTCTCTCCTGCAGCAAAAGGTTGTCCGCTACTTCCCCACGGAGCGGGGCCAGCCCATGGTCCACGGCCTCCTCACCCTGGTCCTCACCAGTGTGAAGGCCACCCCGACCCACGTGGAACGCATGATCACGCTGCAGTTCCGAGACCAGAGCTTGAAGCGCACCGTTATCCACCTCCAGTTCTCCTCCTGGCCGGAGCTGTATGTGAAATTTGTCCCATGCAAGGAGGGCGGTGGGGAGAGGCTGAGGATGAGGGGTGGGCCTGGCTGTGCCTCGCTTGCCTGGCCCAGCCAGAGCTGTGCTTCTCAAACTTGGGTCGCCAGCTGCCGTTGGGACTACAACTCCCATCATCCCTGGCTAGCAGGGCCAGGGATGATGGGAGTTGTAGTCCAGCAATGTCACGGACTGGTTGGACACAGGGGGATGGTGGGAGGAACCAGCTGGGGAGGCTCAGAGCCTAGGGAGTGGTGGCGGGACGACCATGAGTGGTCCGTGTCAAAAGCTGAAGAGGTAACAGGGCATAGTGAGCAGGGAGAGTCTGTGATAGAGAGAAGCCCAGATTTGGAGGCCGAAGCTGAAGCAGGAGGGTGGGAAGAGAAAGGCAGAAATGAGTCAGGCTGGTGGAGAGTCACGGGTGTCTCCCACTTCTGCTGTGACAAGCTCCCCTTCCCTGCTTGTCTCCCAGGACTAGGGGAGGCATGAAGTGGGAGGAGCAAAGGCCAGGTGCACTGGCATAGTCTCAGATTGCTTGGGAACAGCCCTGGAGAGCAGGAGATTTCGGCAGCTATGTTGCGGTGGGGATTTTCTGTCCGCAACTGCTTCATGGGAGCCAGACCTACCGGAGATGGTCTTGTCTTTTCTTTTTATTAGATAATACAAAGAAAAAAAGGAACGGAAAACCTGCAATAAACAGATGTAAATCAGAAATACACAGAAATATTTGACAGTACATAAGTACCCCCCCCCCACCCATGACTCTCCTCCACCATGTCTCGATTCCTGACCACTGGTCCTGTGAGCTAGGGATGATGGGAGTTGTAGTCCAACAACATCTGGGGACCCAAGGTTGAGAACCACTGCTTTATGTGTTATATTAAATATATTAAATATTAGCATTGCATTCCTAATATATCCATTGGAATTGGATATCTTATATCCAATTCCAAATATCTCCCTCTCGTATACTCTACAACCTTAATCTATGCATAGCAACACACTTTTTTTTAACAGTGTTTTTCCATGTATTCTTTGAAGCATTGCCATTCTAGTTTTAATTTTTGATTTGACCTGTAATCTTATGCCTGCTGTTTGTTTTGCCAACTGTATATATTCACTCATTTTACATATCCAGTCATCCTTGGGATTGTTTCAGCTTTCCATTTACTCATTAGCCCTGGTGCCCCTGTGCAGGTCCTGTTTTTGCTAGGTAAAGATAAAGGGACCCCTGACGATTAGGTCCAGTCGTGGCCGACTATGGGGTTGCGGCGCTCATCTCGCTTTACTGGCAGAGGGAGCCGGCGTACAGCTTCCGGGTCATGTGGCCAGCATGACTAAGCCGCTTCTGGCAAACCAGAGCAGCGCACAAAAACGCCGTTTACCTTCCCGCCAGAGCAGTACCTATTTATCTACTTGCACTTTAACGTGCTTTTGAACTGCTAGGTTGGCGGGAGCAGGGACCGAGCAACGGGAGCTCACCCCGTCGTGGGGATTCAAACTGCCAACCTTCTGATCGGGAAGCCCTAGGCTCTGTGGTTTAGACCACAGTGCCACCCACTTTCCTTGTGCCACCCGTGTCCCTTCTGTGCACCCATCCCTCCTGTGCAGTTCCTGTTTTTGCTAATAAGGCGTTAACTCCAACTTGCAAGGCATGATTTACTGCTGGCTGGCTCCTGCAAATGACAGCCGGGGACCCAAGTTCGAGAAAGACTGAACTAGAGGAACAGGGATCATCTGGGAGGGTAGCAGTGGAGCTGGCAAGCGGCAGCAAAATCCTGTTTGCAAAGATGCTTGCTTCATTTTTCTTTCTCTCTCTCTCTCCCTCCTTCCCCTTCCTCCCTTCAGTGGCCTCCCGGACAGCAAAGGGGACCTTCTTCGCTTCATTCAGGAGGTGCACAGCCATTACCTCCACCAGCGGCCGCTCCACACCCCCATCGTCGTCCATTGCAGGTGAGTAACAGCCGGACTTGGAAAGCAGACTCGGAGCCTCGCAGTGCGTCAGACCAATAACCCGTCGAGCCCAAAAGTGGCAGCTATGGGGCCCCTCTGCCACGATGGCTTCGTTGCAAGTGGCCGTGCATTGTTGCCTGTGCCCTGCCACCTGATAATTGTAGCTGGAGTGCCTGAAAAAGCAGTAAGGTAAAGGTAAAGGGACCCCTGACCATTAGATCCAGTCGCGGACGACTCTGGGGTTGCGGCGCTCATCTCGCTTTATTGGCCGAGGGAGCCGGCGTACAGCTTCTGGGTCATGTGGCCAGCAGGACTAAGCCGCGTCTGACGAACCAGAGCAGCGCACGGAAACGCTGTTCACCTTCCCACCTGAGTGGTACCTATTTATCTACTTGCACTTTGACGTGCTTTCGAAATGCTAGGTGGGCAGGAGCAGGGACCGAGCAACGGGAGCTCACCCCGTCGCGGGGATTCGAACCACCGACCTTCTGATCGGCAAGTCCTAGGCTCTGTGGTTTAACCCACAGCGCCACCCACGTCCAGTACAGTGGTACCTCAGGTTAAGTACTTAATTCGTTCCGGAGGTACGTTCTTAACCTGAAACTGTTCTTAACCTGAAGCACCACTTTAGCTAATGGGGCCTCCTGCTGCTGCCACGCCGCTGGAGCACGATTTCTGTTCTCATCCTGAAGCAAAGTTCTTAACCTGAAGCACTATTTCTGCGTTAGCAGAGTCTGTAACCTGAAGCGTATGTAACCTGAAGCGTCTGTAACCCGAGGTACCACTGTATCAAAAAGGAAATTGTAGGGTTGGAAAAGGTTTCAGAAAAGGGTGAGCAAAATGATCGAGGGAACAGAGGAACAATTGCAGCGCTTGGGACTTTCCAGAGCAGCGGTTCTCAACCTGTGGGTCCCCAGATGTTGTTGGACTACAACTCCCATCATCCCTGAGCTCTGGCCTTGCTAGCTAGGGGTGATGGGAGTTGTAGTTCAACAACATGGTTGAGAAAGGCTGTTCTAGAAGAAAGGCAAGAAAGAGGCAACACATCAAGACGTTTGTAAAAATTATGCCCTGCATGGAGAAAGCCCATAGTTTCTCAAACTTGGGTCTGTAGCTGTTGCTGGACTCGTTCGTCTTCTGTTCCTCTTCTGCACCGTGTTCATCTTCTGCATCCCCCACAGCTCTGGCGTGGGCCGCACCGGCGCCTTCTGCCTCTTGTACGCCGCCATGCAGGAAGTGGAGGCTGGCAACAGCATCCCGGACTTGCCCCAGCTGGTGAAGAAGATCCGCCAGCAGAGGAAGCACATGCTGCAGGAGAAGGTACAGGGCGCGGGGTGCAGGTGGAGCTGCAGTGGGTGACACCCATGAGCCTTGGGTCACCTAAAAGATATTGGCTGGGTGCTAAGGTCCTTGGGTGTGAGCCTTGTCCAGGTCGCATCGACATTTGAGGCCCGGTTGCTTGGTAAGACGAGAGGGAGCCTTTTCTGTGGCCGTTCCCATATTGGCAATTCCCTCCCAATAGAGGTCTGACTGGCTCCCTCCTTGTGATCTTTCCCCCAAGTAGGTTTAAGACCTCCCTATTTAGAAAGACCTTCAAAACAAGTGCGCACCATGTTGACAACTGGCCTGCAATTGGTCTCTCAATTGCTGGCTCTGAATGTGTTTTATTGTGCTATAAAGGTAAAGGTAAAGGGACCCCTGACCATTAGGTCCAGTCGTGGCCGACTCTGGAATTGTGGCGCTCATCTCGTTTTATTGGCCAAGGGAGCTGGCGTACAGCTTCCGGGTCATGTGGCCAGCATGACTAAGCCGCTTCTGGCAAACCAGAGCAGCGCACAGAAATGCCGTTTACCTTCCCGCCTGAGCGGTACCTATTTATCTACTTGCACTTTGACGTGCTTTTGAACTGCTAGGTTTGCAGGAGCAGGGACCGAGCAATGGGAGCTCACCCTGTCTCAGGGATTCGCCGACCTTCTGATCAGCAAGTCCTAGGCTCTGTGGTTTAACCCACAGCGCCACCCGCATCCCAGTAGGTTTAAGACCTCCCTATTTAGACAGACCTTCAAAAACAAGCGCAGACCATGCAGACAACTGGCCTGCAATTGGTCTCTCAATTGCTGGCTCTGAATGTGTTTTATTGTGCTGTAAACCACTCTTTTTAACTGGGTTTTGCATTTTACAATGATGTTTCTCATGGAATCGGGGAACTGTAGCATGGGACCAGGGACCCAAAGGGTCATCCAGCCCAACCCCTTGCAATGAGGCTTTTCCGAATGCCGTAAGCCGCCTTGAGAAAAAGGCGGGTACAAATGCATTTAGGTGAAATGTCTGGCCCTCAATCCTGGCTGCTCCTCCTCTTCCAGCTCCACCTCAAGTTCTGCTACGAGTCTCTCCTGAAGCATGCCAAGCAGGTGCTGCAGAGACACGGGGTCACGGCGCCCTCCGCCAGCAAGCCTGCCAGCAGCGCTGCCCAGAAGGTAGGGTGCATCCGAGGGCAGGCGTGGGTGGAGAGTCCTTCCGCTAGCACAGAAACAGGAGTGGGTTGGCGAAACGTCATAGGAGAGCGTTAAAAGAGAAGGTTTCTGGCCATGTGCAGAGCGTCTTTTCTTTGCTCCTGTGCCCTCGCAGCTGTCTCTCCTGTATCTGGGATGACTCGGGCATAGTGCTCGCTCTCAGAAAAATCTCGCTTGGGCTTGGCTGGATTAATTCTGGCAAGGGGGTGCAGCAGCAGCCGTCCCTGCCGTTTTGAAAGCCCACGTTTGGTCAGTGGTTAGAAATTTTAAATAGTAGGAGAGGCTGTCTTATCAAATGCATCCCATGACACAAGAAATCGCATCTCTTTTTGGAAGACAGACTGGAAATAATAATAATAATAATAGTAGTAGTAGTAATAGTAATAGTAGCAGTAGTAGTATTAGTAATAATTTATTATTTGTACCCCGCCCATCTGGCTGGGTTTCCCCAGCCACTCTGGGCGGCTTCCAACAAAGATTAAGAATACATTAAAATGACACACATTAACTTCCCTGAACAGGGCTGCCTTCAGGTGTCTTCTAAATGTCAGGTAGTTGTTTTTCTCTTTGACATCTGATGAGAGGGCGGGTGCCACCACCGAGAAGGCCCTCAGCCTGGTTCCTTGTAACTTGGCTTCTCGCAATGAGGGAACCGCCAGAAGGCCCTTGGAGCTGGACCTCAGTGTCTGGGCAGAACGATGGGGGTGGAGACGCTCCTTCAGGTATACATGACCGAGGCTGTTTAGGGCTTTCAAGGTCAGCACCAACACTTTGCATTGTGCTTGGAAACGTCCTGGGAGCCAATGTAGGTCTTTCAAGACCTACAGCTGCCCTCAGTCACCAGTCATTGCATTCACTTTTGTTACTTTATATTTTGTGCGTTTTTAATGTACGGTGTGAATGCAACTTGTGTGAGGACTACGTGCCCAGAAGTTGCGCATAAAGGCAAACTCGCAAAGGCTGAGAGCTTAAAAGCGCTTTCTGCAGTGAGAATACCCTTCGCAGAGCTTCCTGGCTCTGGAGTCGTCCTTTCAAGCTTCTCCAGAGCTCAGTAAGCAAGGCTGTCCCTCTCTCCCCATTTATTTCCTCTCCAATGAGGCATTTGGCCAATTTGATATACAATGCCTTTTTAAAGTGTGCTACGGAGAGAGATTTTGGGTTTGTTCTGTTCATATTTTTATTATGCATTTTGTGGGGGGTTTTTATTGTTATTTTTATATTGTGAACTGCCCTAAGATCTACAGATGTAGGGCGGCATACAAATTTAATAAATAGTAATATTATTTACTGACGATCTGCATGAAGCTGCTATCGTGCAAGTAAAATCAGTGTTGTATCCTACTGTATTTTAAGTCGCCCTAACCTGCCCTGGGACCTTAGGGTGAAAGAGAGGTGAATAATAATAATTTTATTAGTTGCACTCCCACCCCTCTGCCTGGGTTGCCCCCAACCACTCTGGGCCATAGCTGTCAACTTTCCCCTTTTCTTGCGAGGAATCCAATTCGGAATAAGGGAATTTCCATTTAAAAAAGGGAAACGTATGCTCTGGGCATCTCCCAACAGATATAAAGGCGTAAAGATCACCCCCATCCCACAGGGCCTTGTCCAGGGACACTTGCTGCGCCCTCTAAGCTGCTCTTCCTTTCCCTCTAGCCCTATATCCACCAGGACCCCCAGGATCTGGTCCTAGGTGCCGACATGCCCATCAGCTCCATCCAGGCCACCATTGCCAAGCTCAGCATCCGGCCCCCCTTGGGAGGGGCAGAGCCCTCGTCCGCCAACGGGCAGCAGCCGGAGCCCCTGCCCTTGGCCGTCCCAGCGCCCCCTGCCGGCCCCCCTCAGACCGCCTTTGCAGATCTCGGCTGCCCCGTTACCAGCACAGAGCCAGCCCCCACGCTCTCCCCGCCAGCCACCCCTGCCCCAGCGGCGCCCGAGGCTGCTGGGTGCTGCGCAGCCGAGAACAGCAACCATCTGGAAGAGGAGAGTCAGGAAGAGAGCGAAGTCCCGCCGGCGCCTCCTGGCGCAGAGCCCTCTGCCGCTCCAGCCGCGGCCCCGTCCTCCTCGTCCCTGGAGCTCCTGGCCTCGCTGACCCCCGAGGCCTTCACGCTGGACAGCAGCCTCAAGGGCAGGCACAAGGTCAGCAAGCAGAGCTTCCTCCAGCCCCAGAACGGGGAAGGCCTGCGCGGCACCCGCCCCAGCGACGACCCCCTCAGCATGCTTGACCCGCTGTGGACACTCAACAAGACATGAGAGGAAGGAGGGCGTCACACCGACCCGAGACTGCTGCTGCTGCTGCTAACGCCACCACCGATGCATTTTGAGGACTAGGAACTTGGGAGGGCGAGGGAGGAAAGGTGGCTGGTTCGCACTCTCCTCAGCATGCAGCTTTTCCAGCTCGAGACTGGCCACAGTCAGGAAGGCTCTGCTGCGCCAGGAGCCACGCAGTGCCCACTCAACTCGCGTCCTTTTTCCCCCTCTCCCGCCACTTCAGTTTCCCACCGGCTGTGTCTGAACGGCTGGAGGCGTGCAGGAAGATTTTTCTGAGCCGGTTGTTCCTTTCTCCCACTTTGTGCCTGCCTCCAAGTGCCATGGGAAGGAAGGACTCTGTAAGTTGGCCTTTGGAGGGGCAGGAATCACGGGAGGCGGTTTGGACAGAGCGGGACGTGTGGTTTGATTTTCACTGCGGACATAAGTGGTTACCCAGCTGGAGAAGCCCCCCGAAGTGATTTTCCCGACGAGAGGAAGGTTTTGAGACACAGCCAAGGTAACCCTGTCCTAGGTGGACTAGTTCCCGGCATCATCAGCTAAAGGGCTTTGACTCCCACCCCCCCCGCTGCCACCCTTGGTGTTCCCAAGGCTTTGAGATGTAGCACTTCAGGGCTCCTACGTCCTCCTCTGCTCCTTAAACTGCCTCTGGCAAGACCCTTTTGCTCCCGTCTACTGACTTCCACTCTGAATGGGGTATTCAAGACCCAACCAACCCCCTTTGAGCTGGTGAGAGCCCATTTGGGACCAAGCCGCTACGTTTGATCGGCTTGCATGAAAGGTGCATGGAGTGTCTTTTTAGCTGCTAGGTGAAGGTGCAGGAGACGTGCTTTCTCAGCAGCCTCCAGAGCTGCTCCCGTGTCTTGCCGGCTCCACCTTCCGTTTCTCGTTTTGCCAGGCCAGTTGCCCTTACATTCCAGCTAGGGATCCCCGTCTTGGAATTAGCTCAGAGGCCGTGTCAAGTCACCCAGCAGCCTTGGGAGTGGTGATTGACAAGACTGAGCTGTTCCAAATAGTTCACCAAAAACGCAGAAGTCCCTTTATGTGGTTGATTTGGATCATCATCAGTGTGCCTGATGGTCTTTTACAAAGGGGCAAGCGCTGTGCCCAAAAGACAGGTGTTGGCATCAAACATAAGGAGTAGCCCTGCAGCGCTATGGGCAGTAAAGGAGGACTGTCCTCAGTTTAAAGGACCATCTTCAGGAAGGCAGGAGGGTTAAGGTGGGAGAGGGGCCAGGTCTTGGTGGGTTTCTGGGTTGTTTTTTGCTTTGTACAAATGTAGCATTGTCGTCATGTTTCGACTTACTCTGTAATTTAGAACCAACTTTTTTCAGCTCTTTGCTACTAAAATAAATAAACGGGAGCATTGCAGATGGATCCGCTGTTAGATTTTTGTCAAAAGCGGCAGAGGGGGCTGCATTTCAGTCTGCAAGTATCCAAATATAGCAAAATGAGTTGTGTAACTTTTTGGCGCTAAGATAATTAATTTGCAGAAGTGTTTTATGATTGAGAATTTTGGGGGTGGGAGTTTAGCAGCTGCTGGGCCTTAAAATACGTTAGCAGCATGCAATAGAAAGCAATGCCTTTTCTCTCGTATCTATTTTGGTTTGGTTTTTAAAAAAAAAACTAAGTTGCCCACAAAAATTGTATGCAAGGTATACCACTTGCTTTTTATAAGGTTTGCATTAAAGTCAGCTACACAAAGAGAACCGTTTGCTCAATAGATCATGCCAACTTCTTTAATGTGCTTAGTCAGGGTCTTCATGTGAATGGTGTTCTGCTGCAGTGCAAGTGAGATTTGTGGGGTGAGTGTAGTGTGTTCTTCACAGGTGGGGCGGAAGTAGCTCCCCCAACCACTCTGTTTTGCAGACAGCCTGTGTTCGGTGCAAACGACAATGATTTGAAAAAAACAGAAAACAAGCTTCTACGTCCAGTAGTCGTCTTGATTGGGGGTCAACCCTTTGCAGCGGGGTCTCAAAAGATTCCAAGTGTGAGCTATTGCAAAGGACAACACACCAGGAAGAGGCCTCGCTACAGTCAGTTCTGGGCTTGCCGTATGGCAGGTTCCCCCCCCCCCCCGCGCCCCCAATCTTATGTTTTGGTTACGGCTTGCTAATTTTGGGCTAGATTCTCTTTCCCTGCTACTCCGCAAAACACACAGGAGAGGCATTAAGTTAGTTCTGTTTAATGTGTCTGTCTCTGTACACATTATAAAACACAATCTGGTACAAAAGCAGCTGCTGCTGTACAGTCCAAAGGGCACAGCAGAGCTAAGGCCACCTGAGGCATGGTGTGGACACGGACAACGACCCAAGAGGAAGCAGCGGGCACAAGGGGGCCGGGGGGGTGTGTGCTTTGAGGCCCTGAATGGGCCTCCACTGGCCAGCATTGCAAAGTAGTCTCTTGCCCCTGCCAAGCTTGGGGCAGTGGGACAAACAGAATACAGCAGGTTAATCCCCCCCAGCTCCCTTGAGTAGCATACAGTGCACAGGGCTCCTACGGCAGGAGATGCTAAAGTAAAAACACCGTGAACTAGACAGTCAATTAATGGTATTACCGTTTCAAAAGCGTTGCTTTTTCCAGCAGCTCTTCCTCCATTTCTCTGTGTCTCTGCTACCTCTGTTCCTTCCCTTGCTCTTTTGCTTTCTTTCCTCCCAGAGCTGCAGCCCAGCGCACCCAAAAATAAAAGTTGCGCACTCTGCTGTGGATTTAGGGGAGCGCGAACAGCCTTGGGGGGTGCCGCAACTATTACGCAGAATGGAAGGCGAGGGAAGTCTGAATTTTGGCGCTGCAGAGGGCACCACTGAAATTTGAGACTCCAAGGTCTGCCACTGGCCCCGAAGCTTCAGCCTTTGCTGCTCTGGCAAACCGTTCATCTATCTCCCTCTTGGAGTTGTGTAAAAAGCAGGGGTATTCTGGCAGGCTGGGAGAGGGGCAGAGACGCCCACCTCAGTGTTGGGCGCAGAAGCCAGGCCCCTGCCTGCCCCCCACTTTCTCTCCACAGTACAAAGCTAGCTCTAGCCGTTGTAGAACAGCCGCCTGCAGCCCCTTCACTGGCCCAATCCAGGCTGATGCAGAGGGAGGGTACGTGAGCAGGTGGTGCAGAGGCCTTCCGCTCCTGGGAGTTCAAGCTTCCCCACTCCCCTCACGCTTGCATGCCAGAATAAATAACTATGTACAGCACATCAATAAATAGGGCAGGTAGCGCAGTATGCCTACCCTTTGCAGGCCGGAGGAGGCTGCCACGAGGACTGTGGCATCGGTAGGACAGCTATCCCAGGGCTACTGCAGCTGGAGAGACCTCACAGGCTCTCGGTGTGTTAGCTCTCTTTCCCTCTAGGAAAACAGCTAAAAATTCTACCCACCCACCTCCACCTGCCCAGGCGTAGGAGTCCCACCACAGCTGCCAGCCCAGTTTTTTCCTCCTTCAAAGTGTGGGACAGAAGCAGTGCCTGCCAGAGGAGAGAGGAAGGATGGAGCTCAGGAAGGAGGAGGAGGAGGGGGTGTGTGGAGCAACAGCACTGAAGCAGCTGTTCCTCGCTATCGCTGTGCCTCAGGAGGCCACACACAAACACATCCTGCCCAGCAGGAGCTCTCACGGGCATGTGCAAAGAGCTCCTGCAGCGACAGACCTTCGAGGGAGGAGTTGGGCACTGCAGCCAGAGCAAAAGACTTATTGGGGATGCAGCCCTGTCCTCACACACCCATCTCCCTTTTATAGATTGCAAGTGGGAGGCAGGGCTTTGACGGAGGGTCTTCCCTCAGCCCACCATCTCTCAACGCTTGCTCACACGCAACTACTACCTGCAGCCACAGCAGGGTGTTCTACCTCCACAGTCCTCTGGTGCCGGGTTCTTCTTAGCTTATTGTGAGCACGGAGAAAACCACCCCCTTGCTCAACCCCTGCGGATGTCAGCCCCCTTCTCTTCCACCACCGTCAAATTGCAGACCGGGGAAAGAAAATGGAACTGCTGGAAGATGGGGAGAGGCAGCGGCTCTCTCTGCTCCCCAAGAGACTGCCCTGATCCCTGCCCCTCCTAGTTAGAAAATCAGAAGGTTGAGGAGGTCCTTTCTGGCCTGTCCGCAAGATCCTGCTTCAGTCTCGCTTCTCCAGCACTGACGGGACGTAGACCAGGCTGAGTTCGCTGCCAAAGTTACAGACGATGGCCGCGTTTTCCAGGACCAGGATCTGCCGGGCGGGCTGCGATTCATTGCTCTTGCCCAGGTAGACTGTCTGCAGCAGGTCTCCGTAGCCGATGTCCCAGAAAGAAACGCAGCCCTGGCCTCCGGTCACCAGCAGGTTGTCAGAGATCACTCCCAGGCTGGCCCCACATCCCATATCCTGTGCAGAGAGGAAACGGAAAGAGGGTGAGAAGGGGAGGTGGGGCTGAACGGAGCCTGTCATGAGGTACGTGGGGGTAATCTTTGCCATGTGTGTCCACAGCACCAGAGGCGCGGATTACAGGCAACTGCTGGTGTCAGAACGCACGTTCCAGCCACCCAAGGTGTAATTCATAAGAGGTTCCTGGATCAGGCCAATGGCTGTCCAGCATCCTGTTCTCGCAGTGGCCAACTAGCTGATTCTGTGAAACCAGCAAGCAGGGACCCAAGCACAAGGGCATTTCTCCCCTTCTGTGGTTTCCAGCAACTAATATTCAGAAGCACTGATGTCTCCAAGTGTGGAAACAAAGTCATCGTGGCTAGGAGTCAATGACAGCCCCTCTTCCTTCCCTAGGCATGACTTTGGCACTTGGCTCTCTTTGAAAACCAGGAGCCAGACCTAAAAAACAACTGAAAGAAAAATCAAAGGAGAAATAAAGTAGTAACACTACAGCTGTTTTTTCAATTTAGATACGTTCCAAAACAGAAAGCCACCAAGACTTTAAAATGGCAATCAAAATGTGTTTCGTTCAAAATTGTAAAAAGGTAAAGGACCCCTGACAGTTAAGTCCAGTTGCGGACAACTCTGGGCTTGCGGCGCTCATCTCCCTTTACTGGCCAAGGGAGACAGCGTTTGTCCGCAGTTTTTCTGGGTCATGTGGCCAGCATGACTAAGCCGCTTCTGGCGAAACCAAGCAGCGCACGGAAACGGCGTTTACCTTCCCACCGGAGCGGTACCTATTTATCTACCTGCACTTTGACGTGCTTTCGAACTGCTAGGTGGGCAGGAGCTGGGACCGAAAAACGGTTTCGCCAGAAGCGGCTCACCCCATTGCGGGGATTCAAACCGCCAACCTTCCAATCGGCAAGCCCAAGAGGCTCAGTGGTTTAGACCACAGCACCACCCGTGTTCTAAATTGTAACACTCACTAATTTGACTTTCTGTCACATCCATGACATACTTGGGCATGCCTGAAGATTAAAAGACTGCTTTAAAAAGGTCTAAACCAGGCTTTCTCGAAGCTACCAACATGAGTTTGACCAAACTGCGGGAGGCAGTGGAAGACAGGAGTGCCTGGAGCACTCTGGTCCAGGGAGTCACGAAGAGTCGGACACGACTAAATGACTAAACAACAACAAACCAGGCTTCCTCAACCTGTGCCCTCCAGATGTTTTGGGACTACAACTCCCATCATCCCTAGCTAGCAGGACTAGTGGTCAGGGATGCTGCGAATTGTATTCTCAAAACATCTGGAGGGCCGAGGTTGAGGAGGCCTGGTCTAAACTAATTCTAAGGAGACCTGGGTATGTCTAGTGTAAAGTCCACAACTGCAGGGCTGATCCTAAAAGAGCCCTAGCAGCCACTGTGGATAATCTGGCAAAGGTCTCACTGGGAAACTTCAGTGAACAGGCACAAATATAAAGGGAGGGAACACAACTCTCCTTCCGTTAACCTGGATCTATTACTACAGTGGTGCCTCGCAAGACGAAATTAATCTGTTCCGCGAGTCTCTTCGTCTTGCGGTTTTTTCGTCTTGCGAAGCACGGCTATTAGCGGCTATTAACGGCTTATCGGCTTTAAGAAAAAGGAAACAAACTCGCAAGAACTCGCAAGACGTTTCGTCTTGCGAAGCAAGCCGATAGGGAAATTCGTCTTGCGGAACGACTCAAAAAACGGAAAACTCTTTCGTCTAGCGAGTTTTTCGTCTTGCGAGGCATTCGTCTTGCGGGGCACCACTGTACTACATTTTTCAGACTTTAAAGAACAGAAAAATGTCATACAATGAACAACATTAAATACACAAAGGGCTCATACAACTAAAAGATGAGCACCACTGCAGGAGGCAGCTTTCCCAATGACCTGGGTAAACCGAAAGGCCTTTGCCTGGGGCCTAAAGACTGACAGGCATTCCACTGACAGGAGGCCACCACTGAAAAGGCCACTCTCTGCATCCCATTCAGGTGGGGCACCCACAGAAGGGCCCCTGATGAAGACCAGCAAGGTCTGGGATGCTTCATGCAGGGAGAGGTGATCCTTGAGATATTGTCGTGAGCCACACGGGGCTTTAAAGGTCAAAACCAGAACTTGGAACTGAACCCATGAACTACTCCACAGCCAGTGTAGTCAGGCCAGAACTGGTGTAATATGTTCAGACCTTCTGGTCTCAGTTAAAAGTCTGGCTGCTGAATCCTGCCGTAGCTGTAAGTTTTGGAACTGTCTTGAAAAGGCAGCCCCCCATGTATTGCAGCAATCTAACCTAGATGGTAACGCAGCCTAGACAACTGGAGCCAAGTTATCCCTGCCCACACAGGGTTGCAGTTGAGCCATGGGCTGAAACAGATGGAAGAATTTTGAGCATCTGAGGCCACTTGTGTTTCGAGCGACAGAAGCAGACCCAGAAGTGCCCCACGCTGCTCACCTCATGCTTTGGGGGAAGCCAGTCAAGGGACACAACCACGAGCAGTGCCTTGTTTCAGCTTCAATATCTTAAGGTCCATAAAGAGCGACACCCTAGAGGTCCCAGGCCCTAAGGAAGTTAGATTAGCCTCATCCAGAGCCAGGGCCTTTTCAACACTGGCCCCGGCCTGGTGGAACGCTCTGCCTCATGAGACCAGGGCCCTGCGGGATCTGATTTCTTTCCGCAGGGCCTGTAAGACAGAGTTGTTCCACCTGGCCTTTGGCTTGGAATCAACTTGATTCCCTCCCCCTCTTTCTTTTTTCCTTTCTCCTGTGATGAGGCTGCATTTTAATGTTTTAATGTTGTATTTTTACCTGGTTTTTAAGTTGTATTTCAATCAACTTATTTTTATTATTGGTTGTTAGCCGCCCTGAGCCCGATCTTGGCTGGTGAGGGTGGGGTATAAATAAAATTTACTATTATTGTTATTAATGGTTCTCATCCAGCCTATTATAGAACAAACACCACCCCAGAGTTGTGGAGAAACAAAGAAAGGAGAACAGAGCTGTGCGCCACCAGCGCACTGATTACTCAACACACTCCAAATCTCTGGGTGATCTGGGCCATACAAAGTCTTTAAAAGGCCCTGTGCCTTGAATCTAGGTCAGAAACAAATTGGCAACAGGCGGAACCCCCATTGCAGAGCCCTTAAAACTCTCCCTCGACTCATGGAAGCTTCTGCGCCATCTTCAAAGGCAGCCCCACATTCAGCGCATTACTACAGAGTGGTTGGGAGGTTGCCAGGACAACCGGAGTGCTACTGGATCTCGCTGCCTCATCCAAGCAGCACAGCCTAATTGCCACTGCTGTTCTTCCCGGCAGTGAGATTTTCTGATTGTCTGAGGAAGGGTCCCCCAGCCGCACACCTGCTGAATGGAATAGTGCTTGATCCCGGAGCTTCGGTCCCAGATGCTGATGACATCGTCCAGGCCGCTGCTGATGACGCAGGAGGTAGTGCAAGTCAAGGAGGTGACATCCCCACGGTGGGCAAACATGTGGCTCACCCTGCTGCCCGTCAGCACATCCCAGAGGCAGATGGCCCCATCCTGGCCCCCGCTGGCTAGCACCATCGTCTGAAAGGCAACAAGGGCCAAGTCACTAGGGTCCCCCCAGGTCCTTCTTCCTCAGGCCTCCACCTGAAGGTGAGAGCTAGGCTGGAGAACTAAGGCTGAAAGCTTCTAACAAGTCTGCTGGATGAAGATGAGCAAAGGGAGATGGGGCCCAAGCAGTGCAGAAGGAAGCCCTGCCTCGCAGAAGATGGGCAGAGGCGCACCCTTAAAGGCGTTTGCCCTCACAAGTAAGGGTAAAGGGACCCCTGACCATTAGGTCCAGTCATGGCCGACTCTGGGGTTGTGGCGCTCATCTTGCTTTATTGGCCAAGGGAGCCGGTGTACAGCTTCCGGGTCATGTGGCCAGCATGACTAAGCTGCTTCTGGCGAACCAGAGCAGCGCACGGAAACGCCGTTTACCTTCCCGCCGGAGCGGTACCTATTTATCTACTTGCACTTTTGGGTGTGCTTTTGAACTGCTAGGTTGGCAGGAGCAGGGACCGAGCAACGGGAGCTCACCCCGTCGCGGGGATTCGAACCGCCGACCTGATCAGCAAGTCCTAAGCTCTGTGGTTTAACCCACAGCAGCACCCAAACCCTCCACCAAAGCTCCCCTCTCCGTTCCAAGCATGAGCAGGAATGGCCTGTCAAGTGGGGAATGCAATGTTAGGATTCTTGCTCCATGTTTGCAGTCATGAGATTGTTGTCTATCACATGATGGTGTATGTTTTCATTCCACAGTGTGGGAAGTGACAGAGACAGGATGTTTATGTTACTGTGTTCCGTGAAGTGGGACTATAGTCCCTTGTTTCTTTCTCTTTGCTGTCTGATGAGAAAGAGGAAGGAGCTAAGTCAGAATGCTCCGAGTGTATTATATGTAAATAAAGTAGATTAGCCAAAATGCTGTGCTACTGAGTTCTGTTACGCAAACTGCAAATACTCTTCAGGATCATAAGTGTGCCGGTGCTTCTTGGTATCAGTCGCTGTGATGTTCGGACTGGAGAAAGCTTTTGAAGCTCCCGAAAGATCGACCAGGAGGAAGAGAAAATGCCAGTCAGGCATGTGTCTCCACCAGGGTCCTACACAAGCGTAGGACGATCCTAACATGCAATGCCATTGTGGTGCCGGGTCTTACAAGTGGGGCAATCCAAACGGGAGATTGAAATATTTTACATCTCAGGGTGAAATCGGTACTGTGGCCTTATTGCTAAGAGGCACCTCCAGCTAAGTGTGTTCAACTGGAATCCAGACAAAGCTGGACCTTCCATGAATTCGTTTATTCTCAGAAGCCATTTTGGCCCTGGTGCCATATGGAAAAATCATACTCCAGATGTCCAAACCGATGAACAGGACAGAGTGTGACAGTTCCTTGTGTGGTTTAAATCCCAAATTGTGCCCTTTCTTCTATAACCTCAAAAAGGCACCTTTATTGATGCTCAGCAAATATGAAGATCTGTTTATAATAAAAATTTAACAGCAAGATAAAGATTGAGTGATCCTGCAAGGCCCAATCCAGAGGTTTATCGGGGAGGCTGTCAAAACTGCATGGCTATTCGCATTCTATAGAGACTGAAAAGGTGTACTGGGCACGTCTAACCTCACTGTTCTTCACTGCCCACCCTCAAAAAAATCCTAGTCCTCATCGTTTTGAAGGAAACACTGAAAGCATTGCATATCTTTAAGTGCCAGGAAAAAAACATTCCTCTTCTTCCAGGCCTTTGGTTAAGTAAACAATCTATTGCCTTTTAAACTGGGAGGGGATTGTCTTTGTTTGTTAACATGCTATGCATTTTTGTGTTTTTATATCGTAAACTGCTCAGTGGCCCTCGGATGAAGGCTGGTACAGAAATTTAATAAATAATGATAAATAACACTGGTGGGCTGGTTGGCCTTATTTTGCCTGTTCCCCCTGCCTTTCTCCACCTGTGCCCTCCTCCTCGCTCTTCTCTTGCAGCTGCAACCTGGGCCCTGTGAGTTCCCTCCTACCTGGTCAACGTAGACGGCTGTGATGGCTCCTGAGTGGCCCTGCAGCGTGAAGAGGCAGCAGGAATCTTCCAGGCGGTACACCTGAATGGGGAAGAAGTGGTGTCACCAGCAGTGGAAGAGGGGCCTGTGCAGGAGGGGCTCCTCTCTCTCTCTCTCTCTCTCTCTCTCTCTCTCTCACACACACACACACACACACACACACACTTTATTCTCCCCACTGCAAGTGGGCAACCCCTGGCCTGTGCAGACACAGACCTGTAAGGGGAGCTCAAGGGGCAGAAGACACACACAGGGGCTGACAAACCACATGCCTGCCCTTCCTTTGGCCAAGCCTGGCATGAAAAGCCACAGAAGCTGTTGGACGTTGTGGTCTCAAGCACTGCTGGTCTTGGACAAGACTGGTAATAGTAGCAGTAGTAGTAGTAGTAGTAGTAGTAATAATAATAATAATTAATAATAATAATAATATATTATTTATACTCCACCCATCTGGCTGGGTTTCCCTAGCCACTCTGGGCGGCTTCCAACAGAACACTAAAATACAATAACCTATTAAACATTAAAAGCTTCCCTGAACAGGGCTGCCTTCAGATGTCTTCAGAATGTCAAGTAGTTGTTCTTCTCTTTGACATCTGATGGGAGGGCGTTCCACAGGGCGGGTGCCACCACCGAGAAGGCCCTCTGCCTGGTTCCCTGTAACTTGGCATCTCCTTTCCCTCCTTGCTTGCTCCTGGGCATGTCCAGCTGCTGCCTATTGCAGGGCTGGAGTAAAGAAACATGTACCACCTGCCACCTCTCAAACGCTCACGGTCAGGCAAGCAACCTAACTGGGGGGTGGGGCAGAATGGAGAAAAGGGCGCAAGAACCTGGGAAGACCCTGCTGGATCAGGGCAAAGTTCCACCTGGCCCAGCATCCTCTTCTTACAGTGACAAACGAGATGTCCTAATCCTGAAAGCAGGAATCGAGCTTTAAGAGCCCTCCTGCGGTTTCTGCCTCCAGTTGCTGAAGGCACAGCATGTCAAGTAGCTTGTTCTTCTCCAGTCTGCCCTCAAAAGCTTCCTCCGGGAAGTGGGAGAGGGCTCACAAAACAACACGGGCGAGCTCCATCTTGGCCAGCCTCGTTGGCCCTACCTAAAGCCACCTTCTCTTGAGCCACCACACACCTCAGCCTGCCGCTTGAAGGCTCCATCCCTGGCTGGCACCACCGATATGTCATGGAACGGCAGACAGGGCACGGGCAAGGCATGGGCAATGTGAAACAGAAGCTGGAACGAAGAGGTTCTGCAGCCAACGCCACTCCACAGCACGTTTGCCAGCCCCCAGTTACTCACCCTTAGCGTATGATCCTGGCTCCCTGTGACCAGACGCCCTGCTGCAGCCTTCAGGGCTGTAATGGGCTTCTGGTGCGCGCAAGTCACCGTGTGGGTCAGCTGACACGTGATGACATCGTTGCTGCTGTACATGGGAGAGGATGGGAGGCTGCTCCTGCTGGGTGTTCCTGGGGGAAAGATGGTTTGGTCAGGCCTCTTCCTCCTCAGGAGACGGGGGAAAGAAAGTCCTCCCTCACGCAGTACACAGATAAGCTATGGACCTCGCTCCCAAAGGCGGCAGGAATGGCTGCCAACCCAGACGGCTTCGAAAGAGGATTTGACAAATTCATGGAAGAGGAGAAGGCTATCAAGGATTGCTCTGCTGTGTCTACAGAGGGGGATGTGGCAACGCTTTTGGAGGGGAGGGGGCTTCGTGCTCAGATCCTGTTTGCAGGTTTCCCACAGGCACCTGGTGGCCACTGTGAGAAGGGGATGCTGTGCCAGATGGGCCACTGTCCAGGGCTGCTCTTTATTAGCTGCATCTGGTATGCAGGATGAGACCCTCCCTGCCCGCAGACTGCCTCGCCAGAGTGGTGCATGCTCTACTTATCTCTGGCTTGGACTACTGCAATGCGCTCTATGTGGGGCTCCCTTTGAAGGTGACCCAGAAACTACAACCAATCCAGAATGCGGCAGCTAGACTGGTGACTGGGAGCGGCCGCTGAGACCACATAACACCGGTCTTGAAAGACCTACATTGGCTCCCAGTACGTTTCCAAGCACAATTCAAAGTGTTGGTGCTGACCTTTAAAGCCCTAAACGGCCTCGGTCCAGTATACCTGAAGGAGCGTCTCCACCCCCATCGTTCTGCCCAGACACTGAGGTCCAGCCCTGAGGGCCTTCTGGCGGTTCCCTCCCTGCAAGAAGCCAAGTTACAGGGAACCAGGCAGAGGGCCTTCTCGGTAGTGGTGCCCGCCCTGTGGAACGCCCTCCCAGCAGATGTCAAAGAGAACAACAACTACTTTTAATTTTAAATAGATTATTGTATTTTAATATTCTGTTGAAAGCCTCCCAGAGTGGCTGGGAAAACCCAGCCAAATGGGTGGGGATATAAATAATAAATTTATTATTATTATTATTATTATTATTATTATTATTATTATTATGCAGCAGGCTCTTCTTATGTACCCAGGGAAACTCGAGGGAAAACCATCTATATTTTTGAGTTTTCCACTTCTACTGCCAAGATCCAGGTTCTCCAGGAATCTGAAGATGGAGGTTGTGTATAAAAAGAAAAACAAATTCTAACTCTGGGCGGGGAAATGGAAGTCAAATAAAGGTTACAGTCATCAAGCGCATGGAAGCTGTAGGTGCAGGAAGCTAGCCAGAACCTGCTGCTGGGGAAGGAATTATCTGCCAGCTCTTCCACTATTGGATCCTGGGCAGATCCAGAGGAAAGCAGAGCAGAGAGCAGCCTGAACCTGGAGGGGCAGTGACCACAGCAGGCCAAGAAACTTCTGCTTCCACCTGGGAGGTGTGGGGAGAGCAACACTCACCTCTGAGCTGGGAGTGATCCAAAGAGGTGTGCGTCCTCAAGGAATAGAAATCCAGGGAGCCATTCAGCCTAGCAGCAACAATCCTATCCAAGGGGTACAGAAGGAAAAAGAAACATGAGCACTCCCTCTTCACACAAGCCCAGCCAACATTTGTCCCTGTGGCCTGAGACAGGAGAGGAAAAGAAGAGGAGAAGGAGGAGGAGTTTGGATTTGATATCCCGCTTTATCACTTCCCTAAGGAGTCTCGAATCCCCGCAACTGGGTGAGCTCCCGTTGCTCGGTCCCTGCTCCTGCCAATCTAGCAGTTCGAAAGCACGTCAAAGTGCAAGTAGATAAGCTGCATGGACTGGCTGGCAAAGGGTGGGGAGAGGGGAAGAGTCTACACATGAGACCCAAGGATCATCGTGTGCCTTGTGGAAAGCCAAGAGAGGCCTGGAAACTCTGCTTGAGGGCTAACCACAAGGAGGAGCTCCTCCTGGGTTAAGGCAGGCCAAAAGCCTCACCCTCCTGAAACCTGAGGAATATTCCTGCAGTCAGGAGAGGCGAGAAGTTGCGATCACTTAGGAAAGGCAGGCATGGTGGAGCAGCAGCAGGGGGTCATGGCAGACTCCTAAATATAGCTGGTCCATCAGCCAGACAGGACTAACCATCAGCTACTGAGAGATGCTCTGGGCATGGAGGAGTCGGGCTGCTTACCTGCTGTTCAGGAAGACAAGGGCAGTGATGCCTGACTGGCCATCTTCGTTACTGCAATGCAGACTGCCCTCAATGGCATCCCACACCTGCAACACAAGAGGCCGAGAGAGAGAGATGTTTTGGGATACAACTCCCACCAGTCCGGACAGCAAGCATATAAAGAAATGGGGCGGGGAGGGAACTTGGTTATGTTTCAGTTGCTTCTCATCCCCCGCCCACATCAGAGTCTGGAGACAGCATGCAGGCTGGGTGCGGATAGATGCTCTTGGGGGAACCTCTTGGCATATACAGTGGACGCTTGGGTTGCGAATGTGATCTGTGCGGGATGCACGTTTGCAACCCGCAGCATTCGCAACCCACATCTGCGCAGGTTGCGATTTGGCGCTTCTGCGCATGCACAAAGTGCAATTTAGCACTTCTGCGCATGCGCAACCGCTGAAACCCAGAAGCAACCCGTCCCGGTACTTCTGGGATTCTGCGGTCCGCAACCTGGAAAAACACAACCTGAAGCATCTGTAACCCAAGATATGACTGTACTACCAGAAGGCATTTTGCAGAACTAGGGGTATTTGGGGATGTAAGGAAAACAGAGTGACAATTCCATGCCAGGTGAGGATGCGTGTTACATGAGTTGGCCTCTGGCTCATTGGCTTCCCATTTCCCCTTGCCCTTGCTCAAGACAGATTGGGCCGTGGCACCTTCTGAGACAGAGATGGGAACTGGATCTGGTTGGCAGGCCAGAGCTACAACTGCCCCCTTCCTGCCGTGGACCCCAGGAACATCCACCTCTCAATCACCTGATGCCAAGGGATTGCAGCCACTGCTTGAAAGCAGTGTTCGAAATTAGGCACATTTTGTACCTGACTATTGGCCACTTGTGACCAAGCGAAGATGCCTTTAAGTTCTCTAATTCTTAACCTAGCTCACGACTGATAAATAAGACTTTAGAGCTGGCTTGCCCCCAAACAGTAACTACGCATTCCATTTTGGCGACTGTAACCTTGGTTTAAGGAACCATTTGGTGCCTAGCTTATATAGCTGAGTTTCTAACACTGCTAGATAGCATGGAAGCAGTAAGAAATGGGGAGCCTTTAGACTGCGCTCTCAATTCCTTGTTTTGCAGCTGTAATCGGTGGGCTTTAAGGTACAAATTCTAAAAGCACTGAACTACAACTGGAAAGGAAGGTGCTGGAGCGGTTCTGATTCTTTTCCATTTGGCCCTGTGGGTTTACAATCCCACAGACAACAGTAGGTGGCGGAGAGGTGGGAGGGCCAAATAAGGATCCCTGGTGGGCCTGATCGGGCCCAGGGGCCAAAAGCTCCCGAGCAGTGCTAAGCTGTCATGGGCTTGGTGTGTGTGCGTGTGCACATGGCTTTGTGTGCAACAGCCTCAGGGCAGAGAGCTGATGCCTCCCTTGATGTCCTTTGCGATCAAAACCTAAAGGAGTTCTTCCTTTCCGGGCTTGGGGGGGGGGGAGAGACTCTGCAGCCGAACAAGCACAGCTATGGAAGGCTCTGCTTCCCCCAGGCCTCAAAAAGCCCAAGGCCAACAAGACCCGGCCTCCTTCCTTACCTCCAGCCTCCCGTTGCTCCGGCCGGCCACAATGAGGTTCCCTTGCAGCTCCAGGCTCCAGATGGAGCTTTCAAAGTCACCGCCCAAAGAGGGAAGGGGGGGCATCTTCTCCAGCCCAGCATAGGGCTCATCCCCAAGGCTGCTCCTGCGGGCTACGCAGTCCCCTTCCTCGCCCCCGCACCCTGGGGATCTGGACCCACTGCCAGCCTGGGGGCTGAAGGCCACCTGTCCGTAGGGGGCAGAGAAGCCCAAGAAGTTCACGCAGTTGGAGGGGTTCTGTTCCTCGCAGACCTTCTCCACCAGGCTGCTGAAGTCGTAGCCAGACTCCTGCCGGCCGCAGGTGGCGCGGTGGCGGGGCTCTGGGGCAGTTGCGGCCTTGGCTTGCTCAGAGAAGTTGGTGTCAATGAGGGAGGTGAGGTCGGGCTGGTCGCTGAACAGGAGGGGCTGCGGGGGGCTCCGGGCCCTCTTGAAGGGACGGCGGCAGCTGCCGTCAGAGCCGTCATCTAGCCCACTCTTGCTATCGAGGCGGTTGGGGTCCCAGCAGTCTTGGTAATCGAAGATGCCGCTGTTCTCTCGACGCAGCCTGGAAGGCAGCCAAGAAGAGGAGGATGTGGGGTGAGGGGTCAAGCAGAGCACAGAGAGGGATATGGCCACCTTGGAATTAAGCAGACCTCCACCCTAAGCCACTCCAGCAGCTCATTTCTTCTGCAAGTTTGTGACCGGGTGTGCAAAAAAACAGAGATTACAGTGGAACCTCGGAATGCGAACGGGATCCATTCCTGATCCCTGTTCGCATCCTGAATGGAACGTAAGATGCGATGGCGCGTCTGTGCGTGCGCGGGTTGTGTTTTGCCGCTTCCGCGCATGCACGTGACGTTTTGAGCGTCTGTGCATGCGTGAGTGGCGAAACCCGGAAGTAACAAGCTCCGTTACTTCCGGGTTACCGTGGAGCGCAACCTGAAAGCGCTCAACCTGAAGCACATTCAACCCGAGGTATGACTGTGTAGAGACTTTCTAGGTCATAGCTAGGACTTTGAATTGGGCCCAGAAATCAACTGGCGCTCAGTGGAATCAGCCCAGGATTGTTGTTTTGTGGTCAGAGCATCTTGCCCCAGCGAGGAACCTGGCTGCTGCAGCTTCCAAACCATCTTCAAAGGCAGCCCCACATATAACACATTGCAGAAGTCTAACCTAGAGACTACCAGAGAACAGACAACAGACGTTTGGGGGGTAGCTCGACCACCCATTGAAGCTGATGCAACACACCTTGTACCACTAAGCAACTTCAGCCAGAAGTAGAATTTTCCTTCAGAGACCACTGGCAACGTTTTCTCAAGGGACGTCAGGCAGCCCTTGTGCATAAGCATTTCTGGACATATTCTGGTAGACAACACACTCATCAGTAGATTATTGATATCTACCCTTTGTGAAACTGAGACTGAGAGCAGGGAAACCCAGAGATTTAGACTGCACATGGATTTGAACCCAGGTCCGCAATAAGGACTGGAGCATGCTGGATTGGCAACTCCAATAGGGACATGGCAAAAAAATGGCTAAGTAAACAATCTAGGGACGCGGGTGGCACTGTGGGTTAAACCATAGAGCCTATGGTTTGCCAGTCAGAAGGTCGGCAGTTCGAATCCCCGCGACGGGGTGAGCTCCCGTTGCTCGGTCCCTGCTCCTGCCAACCTAGCAGAAAGCACATCCAAGTGCAAGTAGATAAATAGGTACTGCTCGGGCGGGAAGGTAAACGGCGTTTCCGTGCGCTGCTCTGGTTCATCAGAAGCGGCTTAGTCATGCTGGCCACATGACCTGGAAGCTCTACGCTGGCTCCCTCGGCCAGTAAAGCAAGATGAGCGTCGCAACCCCAGAGTCGGCCACAACTGGACATAATGGTCAGGGGTCCCTTTACCTTTACCTAAACAATCTATTGCCTTTTAAAATGGGGCATCATCTATAGCCAGCAATCGACAACCAAGCAAGGACTTGCACACATTTCCATGAGGAGCTATTGAAGCTAGTAGCCCATCAGCCTGAACGGCCGGTCGGCAGCAGGAAGCCAAACCTACCCTTGCTTCGGAATGACAGTGAGGCAGTCGCCCGTCTGAGCGTCCCACACACGGATCTGGCCCACCAAGCAGCAGCTCACAAGCAGCATCCCGTCACTAGCCAGGCACTCAATGTCCTGCAAAAAGACACAACAGGTCAAATGCTGAACAACTGATGCAATGCAGGAAGGATCGTGCCCTGAGGACAAGGGGACTCCAGTGTATGCCTCCTGGCTTGCCTCCTTAAAAGTCTGGCTGCTGGATCAGACCAGAGCGAATCCATCCAGTTTGGCACCCTCTTTCCTATCCTTCCCCCTCCTTTCTTTTCTTTTTTATTAGTTTTCACATATTACATTACAATACAAATGTACCAAAGCCAACACCATTTCCTCCCCATCCCCCAATACATTTACATTTATATTTCCTCAATCCATCACATTATTCTTTTCTCCTTCCTCCCACTTCCCTCCACCCCCACTCGATTTCCTGCACATTACACAATTTACAATAATCTTTGCATTCTACAATCTTCTCAAATCATCTATATATTCTTATTATTTTTCCTTACTAATTTTTCTTCCATCCAGTACTTCACATTTTAATCTAGGCATGTCACCGTATCTTTTTTTGAGCAATATTTTGCCATAAATTCATCAAAAAATTTCCACTCGTTACTTAATTTTTGATTTGACTGATTTCTTATTATAGCGGTTAGCTTTGCCAAAATTAAATATTCATTTAGTTTACAAATCCATTCCTCCTTTGCGGGTATCGTTTGTGACTTCCACCTAACAGCAATCACTATTCTAGCAGCTGTACTTGCATACAGAAAAATTCTTTCCCCCCTCCGTGGTATCTCTTCATCTATCAATCCTCTTTCCTATCCTTTCAATAGTGGCAAACCAGGGATCTCCAATAAGTGAACATGCAGGGAAGGAAGGAAACAGCTCTGTCTCTCTCTCTGAAAGCTTATGGGCACTGACTGGCAAAGACTAGGTCTTTTGGGAAAGATTCCCAGTGGCCAGGCAACTGGGAAAGGGTGCTTTGTGCCCCACAGTTCCTTGCCCCCCCCCCTTGTTAGCGTTTCTTGCCCCCACAGCATCCCCTTCTGTGACCCCACCCAGCATCGAGCTGTCAAAAAACACAGCCTTTAAAAATTCTGCAACAGCATTATGTTTGGATGTGCTTCCTCTATGTGGTTTCGCCTCTGCTCTAGTCAGGATGGAGAAGCTAGGGATGAGACACATTTGCTACACCAAGGCCCCTGTCTTGCTTCTTACCATCAGGTGGCCCCTGAGGACCAGAGGGGTGATCTCTGTCTCCGGCGGAGAGTAGCCATAGTCATCGCAGGGCAGGTCTCCTCTTCTACGCCGGCTGTGGGAGAGCCCGTTCTGCCCATAGTTTTTGGGACACAGGATTTTGTACAGGCAGAAGAGCAGGAGGACCAAGAGGATCCCAGACGCCAGTCCCAAAGCAGCGACCCTGAGGTGGTTCGTGGAAAATGGAGAAGTCAGTCAGTCACAAATACCTTTGGCTCCAATCCCATCATTTCAAGTACACTGAGACCATGTGCAGGAGCACGGCTGGTCGTTCCCCGAATTGGTGAGGCTCACTGGACAGAAAGGAACCAAGTCTACAGTGCCTGCCACTGGCCCAGTCCTGTGGAACTCCCTGCCACTAGAGATTCAGCAGGAGCCTTCTGTGCCAACTTGCAAGCACTTGCTTAAAGCTTTTCTATTCTGCCAGGCCTTTGCAGGCAATTAAGAATGCATCCTGCCACAAGGGGTAGTTGATGTCTGTTTTTAAGTTCTTTATTGCATGGTTTTATGGTTTTACTGCTGCAAGCTGCTTTGATATATCTTTTTATGACACGGCATAAAATATTTCTATAAATAAAGGGAAAGAATACAACAGATCCAAACAGGTGCCAATGGCTACAGCAGGGTCATCTAGCGCTTGAGTCAGTGCAGCTGAGAGAGAACACAGGGCTATGCTCTGTTATAAGAATTTTAAGGTGCACACACATCTCGGATAAATTGTGTGGGATAAAAGCAGATCTTTCACCCAACTCACTACGGTAGTTTCTGTTCTGCAAGATACTGAGAAACCAGCCACTCTAAAGCAGGAGAGTGGCATGCCATGCCCGGCAAAGGCTTACAAACCAGCGGGTGTCTTAATGGCCCCCCTCAGCTCTCCCTCTTCCCTCCCCACCCCTCACTTTGGCAGCATCTCCCCCCCACGATCAGCTCTCTTACTTGTACAGCGTGACGTCTTGGTGCCCTTGCACTTTGGGCACACCTTCTGCCACCTGCTCCGACTTCTCACTGCTCGGTGAGAAGAATGGGTAGTATCGATTTGCCTCGTGAGGATGGCGTGCCTCCAAGGCCTCCTGCGGGTTCAGGTACAGAGTGACTGGGATGACTGGAAGGATGCTGATGTACCTGCAAGAGCAGTAAGAGAAGCGATAATGACAGGACTGACCGGCCAACATAGAAAAAGCAGGGACAAGAGGCAGAAAGGCTTTCACTCAGTTCATGGCTTTTTCACTGCCTGCGTTTCTTAGCTCGATGCAATGTCCAGTACTGTGTGAATAAGCCAGAAGGCAGCTTTTAGTTACAATTTTTTGTAGATTATCAAAAACAAGACTGTGATATGACACTGGGGGTGCCTCCATTAATAATAGTTCCTGGCCAGGCGAGGTTTGACTGCCCATTTCCCTCTCTTCCTTCAGAAGGTGGCAGGAACAGGCTGCCCTATGCCGGAGCACATGAGCCTTAACAGGATCTTTTTTCACTGCAGTGGAACCTCGGTTTTCGAACGTAATCCATTCCGGAAAACTGTTTTGACTTCCAAAACATTGCACAACCAAGGATCAAAGGCCTGTCGGCAAACTGAATGGGGGAAAAATGAGAAACACGTTTCAGAAGCCATTCGACTTCTGAGTCGCGTTTGAAAACAGAAGCATTCACTTCCGGGTTTTCAGCGTTCAGCTTCCGAAATGTTCAAAAACTGAGGTTCCACTGCAGCTGCTGTTCTTTCTGAATCTTTGCTAATTCTCTCCCAGGTGTCAATGCTTTTACCCCCACCCCTTGTTGTTGAGTTCTGTTTTTTTCATAAAATACTACTGCTACTTTGAGAACACGGACGAGGAAGCAGTGTGGAAGTAAACAGAACAAATGAAATAATTCCAAAATGCATGGCCGGAGGGGAAAGAAGAGCACCCCGTGTTATCAGAGGATACAAGAGCAAAGAACATAAGAGGATCCTGCTGGATCAGGAGCCGATCTAGTTCTGCATCTTGTTCTCACAGCAGCCAACCAGATGGCTGTGGAACACCCACAAACAAGATTCAAGCACAAGAGCCTTGGGCATTCGGAATCATTGCTATCTCAAACTGTGGAGGCAGACCGTAGGCTCCATCACAAATAGTAGCCGTCAATAGCCCTCTCTTCCTCCATAAATTTGTCCGATCTTCTTTCAAAGCCAAGTTGGTGGCCATCACTGCCTCCTGCTGGAATGAGTTCCACAGTTTTTGTAGTGATCAGGTGGGATTGCTATGGGGAATTATAAAAAAATATGGAGGAAGCCATTTGTGTCTGCGATGAAAGCATTGCGTTGACTGGATTTGAGCCATTTTGATGCGATTTCTGATCAATCCATGCCTCTGCATCTGTCCTATTTCTCTGCCTGACAGGCACGTATAAGCATTCTGAAAGACAGGCCAGTTGCTTCATCAGGCATCCTCAGTACATAAAGATAGCAGGTTGCTTTGATCTGTAGATAGATCTAAGGGCCAGGAAGAGAGTTCACAAGGAGATGGTAAATACTGTTTACTGCTGTTTATGACTTCCGGGTTTTCCTAAAAGCATTGCTTCCTATTTTATTTACTCTGGACTACTATGCATGCTCAAGTAGGAAATAGTTTCTTTGTAGTTAAAAGAATTTCTTCTGATCTAACTTTGTCCCCATGTGGGGTTTTTTGAAATGCTCAGAGGAAATCTGATTGGTTCTTACGAACACTGTGTAAAAAGTTATTTTGTGAATAAAACGACCTGGGCCGAGGGGTGGACAGGAATTATTATTGGCACCTCTCCCAATTGCTGGTCAATCTATTAATCTATTAATCAGAGTCCAATCCTTCCTTTGCTTTGGGAATGCCACAGTTTTAACAGGAAGAAGCCAGCCGTACACCCAGAGCTCAAGGGGCTAGAAGACTCCACACCAACTTTGGAGGCCAATATCCAAGTACACAAGCCTCCTGACATACAGGGAAGACTCTGGCCAGACATTCCCTCCCTGTGCTTAACCAACGTAGTCCACAGATGCAGCAGAGAGACTTTGTGCGCTTTCTGCCCTGGCAGAAACATCAGGGCTGTCTTCTTGCCACTCACCGTTTGGCCAGCGTGATGTTGTAGTAGCTGAACAGAGAAGGCCAGTGCCGGAAGGAGAGCTTCCTCCAGATCTCCTCATCTTCCACTCCCCATGTCACTTCCGCCTTGGGGCCCAGATCCGGCTGCCCGCTGCTCCCCCGGCTCTCCTGCTCTTCAGCCTTGGCACGGTGGCTCGATTCTTGCCTGCTCAGCGAATCCCGCGTCTGGTTCTCGGACAGCTGCTGGACGGGGTCCGAAGCGAAGACAGAGAGGGACAGCTTGGCGTCGCCAGTGGGAAGGACCTCTCCAGGAACCGGCATGGCGGGCAGCCCTGCCTCACCCAGCGGGCTCTGCTCCGTGACTTGAGAGGCCAGGTAAGGGCGGAGGCCGGCCGGGTCGGTGTAAAACAAGATGCCAATCCACACCATGGTCCCCGTCTGCAGAAGAAGAAGAGTTTGGATTTGATATCCCGCTTTATCACTACCCGAAGGAGTCTCAAAGCGGCTAACATTCTCCTTTCCTTTCCTCCCCCACAACAAACACTCTGTGAGGTGAGCGGGGCTGACAGACTTCAAAGAAGTGTGACTAGCCCAAGGTCACCCAGCAGCTGCATGGGGAGGAGCGGAGACGCGAACCTGGTTCACCAGATTACGAGTCTACCGCTCTTAACCACTACACCACACTGGCTCTCACAGAACCCTGCTTTCCCTGACACAAAAGTCTCCCAGAACCAAAAATCCATGTGTTCTAAGCAAAGGAGCATTTGTGGACTTCAGAAATCCACAGCCCTCTTCTGGATTGAGTCCACTCCCCAATTTCTTTCACTTCCTTGCACCCGTCTGTTGATGGAAGAGCCAGAAGCAGCGTAAGGGAAAGCGAAGAGGTGTAATTCTCCATGCAGATAGGGAACCCAAGACACTCCAGCTACTTTTGGACCCAGTCGACATGACCAATGGTCAAACACCCTTCTGTGTGCTGTCCATGAGCCAGAAACAGTGGCCAACTCTAAACACTGCCTAAGGACTCATCTATCCCATAAGATTTATCACACTGTCATGCTGATTATTTATTGATATTTAACTGCATGTTTTGTTGATGGCTTCTCTGTATTTTCTGATGTCGTTCTTTGTATTTTTGGTTTTAAACATTAATATACTTTATTAAAAAAAAACTTACTGTGTATTACATAAACCACTTAGGTTCCTTGCATATTAAGTGGTATAAACATACTACTGATGATGATTATCTGCCCCTCCAAAATCCCAGTTCTTAGGCATGACCTGGGCGAGTGCACCAACATCCATCCTCCCAGCTGACTAGGCTACCTCAAGTACTGCTAATATATAACATTCATATGCCGCTTTTAAGGTGTAAAGAGATTTACAATCTCTGTAAATTTTAGCCATAATAATAATAATAATAATAATAATAATAATTTTTTTATTTATACCCCGCCATTCCCGGTTCAAAAACTGGGCTCAGGGCGGCTAACAACGAATTTAAAACACTTTAAAACACTTAATTATAAAAGCAGCATAAAATGCAGTATAAAAACATGAATAACAATAAAATTCAAAAATCAATTAGATAATCCCCAGGGCTAAATTGGTCCTACTTGGGCCAGCGAGGAGACCAGGGGAGAATTAGCTATGGGGTCTCAGAGCGGGTGATCTTCATAAAAGGGGGGGAGGAGGGAAGAGAAGGGAAATAAAAGATCAGGCTGAATTCAAATTAAAGGCCAGGCGGAATAGCTCTGTCTTACAGGCCCGACGGAAGGAGGTTAAAAGAAGCAGCAGCGATGTCACCATGATTTCAGAGACAAGGGGAACGAGGCCTCCTGTCAACTCTCCACCCTCTGGCTCATGCCATTGTTCCAGCACCCACAGACACAAACCCAGGCAGATGATGGGTAGAAGGAGCCAGCCATGTTAGCCAGCTACAGCCTTGGCTCTTGCTGCCTCTTTGTGCTCTGCCTCCCAGCCCTGCCCTCAGCCCAGCAGGGCTTTTCTGCTCCACTTCCCAGCTAACAAAAGCCCTGCCTGTTCCTCCCACTGGAAGCATCCCACTTCCTGTAGCACGGCCCACAGAGCTGCTCCGGCGGAGGGCCTACCATAATGAGTCTCTGTGCCAGCCGGGTCCTGGCAAAGAAGTAGATCACCCGCAGGCGCTTGGGCAGGCGCAGGTTCCTGAAGGAGGAGGGCTGCAGGGTGATGGTGTGCAGGGTGGCAGGCCGCATGGCGGGCTGCCGCTCATACCGCTGGGCGCGGCTCGCCGGCTTGGTGGAGGAGGGCATGCAAGCTTCAGCCGGGAGGCGCCTGTTCAGATCTGCAAGCTGCCAAGAGAGGGAAAGTGGTGGGGTCAGAAACAGAAAGACAACAGCAAACTTAACCATAATGATAATAATAATAAATATTATTTATACCCCACCCTCCCCGGCCAGAGCCGGGCTCAGAGCGGCTAACACCAATAAAATCACAGTAAAAACATAATAGGGGGAAAAGGGGGGAGGGACCAATTTAAAATACAGGTTAAAATGCAATTTAAAATGCAGCCTCATTTTAAAGTAGTTAATAAATCAAGACCATAAGGGGAGGGAAACCTAAGGGTCAGACCGAGTCCAAACCAAAGGCCAGGCGGAACAGCTCTGTCTTGCAGGCCCTGCAGAAAGATGTCAAGTCCCGCAGGGCCCTAGTCTCTTGTGACAGAGTGTTCCACCATGTCGGGGCCAGTGCTGAAAAGGCCCTGGCCCTAGTTGAAACCAATCTAACCTCCTTGAGGCTCGGGACCTCCAAAGTGTTGTTATTTGTGGACCTTAAGGTCCTCTGCGGGGCATAACAGGAGAGACGGCCCTGTAGGTACGTGGCCTGAAACACAGGGTTGCCAGAGAAGCTGGCCATCGGCGTCTCACACTGTGGCACACAGAATCCCAAATCTGTGCCCCGAATCTGTGTTCAGCGAATTGCCTCCAATGACAAGTGCCAGTTTAAGTCATCCACGTACAGCTGACTTGAACCTCTGTATTCAGAAGTGCCTGATCTTGTAATCCCTGCTTCTCTCAGCTCATAAGACACCCAGCCAAGCACACAAGGGTTAGCCCACCCACCCCCTTTTGATTCCGTAAACTCATCCCCAGTGCCCCCTCCCCTTCCCTGTAAAAAGCATTTCAGAACATTTTGCACAACCAACCAAGGAAGATAACAACACAATAAAATTCAAAACAGTCGCAATTATTTGCACATTTATCCAAAATCCAATTATAATTACCTAGTTCAATTCATTTGACGGTATTGAGAAACCTGATTCAGTGATGGTCGGATAGTCATTTATACTTCCAGCACCCCCTGCCTCCCCTCTAGATAATCCCACGGCCCCCTCTGGGAACCACTGCAAGTAATAAACAATTATGTTAGACGACCTTCCGTTAGACATCTGAAGGCAGCCCAGTATCAGAAGGCTTTTAATGTCTGATGTATTGTGTGTGTGTGTTTTTAATACTTTGTTGGAAGCCACCCAGAGCGGCTGGGGCAACCCTGTCAGATGGGCAGGGCACAAGTGATAAATAATAATTATTATTACTGCCTTCTTTTACCTCCATGCGGCGGATGTCAATGGACAGGACGGTGGTGAAGAAGAGCATCTGGAGGAAGAAGTCGGACACCAAGCCAACCACAGCAAAAAGGCAGAATTCCTGCAAGGCACGAGAGAGGAGGGTGTTTGTTAGCTGCTGTACTAAGCTCCCAGCAGGGAGAGTCACCCCAGAGCAGGCAGCAAATAGAGATCTTTGTGCAGCAAGAAACTGTGTGCAGCTGGGAGCTGGTTATGCCAGACATGACTCAGCAGTTCTCACTCAGCAACAGGAGCAGCAGTTCCAGGATCTTCTTTATAAATATAATTTTTATTCATTTTCTCATCAAACAATAATTTCACTTTACATCACCAATCCAATCTTTCCACACTCTGCGAGCGCAAGACTTCCTTCCCCAAACCCCCTTCAACAAGCTTTCTATTACAAATCTGTATCTTGCATTTATAACTATAAAGTCCACGTCGTAGGAATCATTTCAGTCCTGCTAGTGTCTTCAAACTTTCGCAATGATTATTAACGTAATCAATAAATTTACTCCAGTCTCTCTGGAATTTTGACTCCTCCTGGTTCCTGATTCTGCAAGTCAGTTTTGCCAGTTCTACACAGCCCATCATTTTCGTCTGCCACTCTGCAATCGTTGGTATTTCCTGTAATTTCCACTTTGGGGCTAATAAAGTTCTTGCCGCAACTGTGGCATACAAAAATAGTCTCTGGTCCACTTTCGCAATTTCTTCCCCCATCAACCCCAGCAAAAGTGCTTCCGGTTTTGGGGGGAAGGTGTATTTAGGATCTGTTTCAGGATCCGTGCTGCCCAGTGCAGGGAGCAGGGAGGAGGTAAGGGTATGTGTGAACATGTGCGTTCCCACATCTCTCGACACAACGGGTCACCTATTTGAGGGACCAATTCTACCTCCAGAGAGCAAGAGGAGCGCCAAGGCTGAGTAGGCTAAACCCAGGGGGTAATGAAGTACAGGTCCTTAGCCAAAGAGTGCAGCACCGGACCTCAAGTAAACAGGGCGAGGGTCAAAAGTGCATGAAGCCTGCGTCAGCTTGGCTCCCTATTGCCAGGATTCCTTGGACTCTGTGACAAGCATGCTGAGCATTATCTCTTATGTGTCCTTCACGTTCAGGGCCACAGATAAGGGGCAGACAAGCAGACCTGTTCTAGGCACCATTATTGCAAAGATGCAGAAATCAGGGCTGGAAGGTTTGGATTTCAGCCACCAGAATCTGCCGCCATTCTGCTGCTACAGCACAGGAGGCATAAAGGTTGCTCAAAATACACTTTCTATCCCATCAAAAGGATCTTAACGGTATTTAATCTATGAACTGTGGAGAAGGGAACAGAGACAAGCAACGCTTTCAGGCCACGGCAGGCTTCCAAGAGGAAGTCCCGCCAGGAACAGACCCAGTTCAGGGAGTGGACTATTATGAAGCTGCCTTCAACAGGTTGCGGACCTTACAATGGTAGTGACGGAAAGCATTCCCTAAGACATATGCAAGTCTCAGCACACTGAGCGGCTTTCAAGGTACACAGTGAGTTACATTATGGGAGGGGTGTTTCAAGCTATCCCACCCCTTGACCTTGGAAGCCCTGCAAGAAGCTGCTGCAGGAGACTGTGAGCAACGTTATGGGAGGGGTGTTTCTGGGACCAAGGAGAACTCCCTTGTTATGTTTTGTTATTTGTTTTGTTTTGTTTTTTGCATATTACTACATTTGCTATTGTGTCACTTTGGTCTGTTGTTATGCGTTCCCGTTTTCTTTGTTGTAAGCTGCTTTGAGCATGATTTTTTGGGAGGGAAAGTGGCATATGAATGAATGAATGAATGAATGAATGAAATGCCGCACTCCCCCCCATCTGAACTGCATCTAGAACAGCCTTTCTCAACCTGTGGGTCCCCAGATGTTGTTGAACTACAACTCCCATCACCCCTAGCTAGCAAGGCCAGAGCTCAGGGATGATGGGAGTTGTAGTCCCACAACAGGTTGAGAACCACTGATCTAGAAGGTAGCAAGATGGCAACATGGATGGCTGAGGCGCCCCCAACAGCCAAGCCCCATCTAGCCTTGTAGCGGTCTTCAAGGGGGACCCCACTAGGGAAGTGTCTCAGGGCTACAGAAACACAACTGACTGTTGCCAGATGAAAACACGGTGACATATGATGAGCTGGTAGATTGAACTGACTGAAAATTTTGGCAACTGTGAACTGCAGGAAGAGGGTTGGCAGATGGCACAAGACGCTGTGGACTAACATGGGGTGGCAACACAGGAGGTCTGAGAAGAAGGGCAGGACCACAAGCCCTTCTCGGTAGTGGCACCCGCCCTGTGGAACGCCCTCCCACCAGATGTCATAGAGAACAACTACCAGACTTTTAGAAGACATCTGAAGGCAGCCCTGTTTAGGGAAGCTTTTAATGTTTAATAGGTTATTGTATTTTAATATTCTGTTGGAAGCTGCCCAGAGTGGCTGGGGAAACCCAGCCAGATGGGCAGGGTATAAATAAAATATTAATATTATTATTAATATTATTATTATTGTTGTTGTTGTTGTTGTTGTTGTTGTTGTTATTTCCAAGGATGCTCTGCAACTGGTGGGTAATTGCCAGGCTAAACCAACCCCCCACCCCAAGAAGCCAAGGGCTTCTGCCCCACAAGAACCCACCAAGTACCTGGATAGCTGGGACGAAGGTGAAGTAGCCAATCAGAATGATCCCCAGCTCTGTAGCCATGTTCTTCATAATTGACCAACTCTCATTGCTCAAACCTAGGGAAAGGGGACACATGTAGACGTAAGGTTAAGGTGGGTGATTGGAGGCTGGGGGCCTGCTTGACCTGCAGCGACTGCCCAACACAAAACCATTTTAAGAGGGCAGTGGCATTGATTTATGACAGGGGAGCCTTGTTGGCCTGGAGGGCCAGGTCTTTATCTCCCCCCGTCATTTGGTCCAACTTTGGTAGCTGCGTGGGACCACCCACTTGCCAATCATCTAATGTAACAACGTCATGTGCGTGGCAGGCGGGTGGTCCTGCTGATCTGGGGGGAGACAGTCACCAAGAAGGACTGAACCCCCTGCGCAACAGCTGCTTTTTGCAGGAGAGGCAGCTGTCTCTCTCAAGCGCCCCCACAGCAGACATCACATATGGAGACAGGTGAACGTAGTTTGGGAAACTGCCTCAGAAGCCAAATGAGGAGGCCTGGTATTGGTCCGCAGGACAGAGACTCCCCACCCCTTCTTTAAAATGGCAAAAATTATTAACAGAACAAAAGTCAAACACAACAAGCAAAAATCAATGGGTTGCTGAACTCCCAAAGTTCAAAGTGCTCTTCTGGAGGGACAGATAACTTCACACTTCAGTTTCGTGCCCCTGTTGTCAGGAACCAGCCAGCATACTTGACACATAAGGGGAAGCTGGAGAAGTGGCTGGAGAATGCAACTGGCTTTGCTACTTTTGAGACATTTTGGTGCTCCTGGGTCAAGTATGCTGCTAAAACTTCAATGAGAGGAGGAACACTTCCTTACTCGGTTTGTGCAAATTGCTACCTTCACTGAAAGTGAAGGGACAATTTACTACCTTGGCCTGATGCAGCGGGTTCTTCTTAGTACACACGTTATTAAAAAAAGCTTAAATCAGCCTCTACACACACGACAAAGATATCAAACTGCTTGCTTTCTAATGGGGTCTTCTGTGCTCCCTTGTTGTTCTTTAGTTGTTTAGTCGTGTCCGACTCTTCGTGACCCCCTGGACCAGAGCACGCCAGGCACTTCTGTTTTCCACTGCCTCCCGCAGTTTGGTCAAACTCATGTTGAGTTTTGAGAACACTGTCCAACCATCTCGTCCTCTGCCGTCCCCTTCTCCTTGTGCCCTCCATCTTTCCCAACATCAGGGTCTTTTCCAGGGAGTCTTCTCTTCTCATGAGGTGGCCAAAGTCTTGGAGCCTCAGCTTCAGGATCTGTCCTTCCGGTGAGCACTCAGGGCTGATTTCCTTCAGAATGGAGAGGTTTGATCTTATTGCAGTCCATGGGACTCTCCAGAGTCTCCTCCAGCACCATAATTCAAAAGCATCCATTCTCCGGCGATCAGCCTTCTTTATGGTCCAGCTCTCACTTCCATACATCACTACTGGGAAAACCATAGCTTGAACTATACGGACCTTTGTTGGCAAGGTGATGTCTCTGCTTTTTAAGATGTGTTCCCTAGCTATGCCTATTGAGACTGGATTGCAAAGCAGGATTGCTAGGTTCCTCCCGTATTTCCTAATGAGTGCCATGCAGTAATCTCGGTGTGTTTAATCTGGTGTCAATTGAGCAACAGGCTTCTCTGCTCTGACCCACGCCAATATACTCCCCCGTGCCTTCGACACATCTAAGACCCAGAGTGACTGCTGGGGCATGGATTGCCACAGAGGAAAGATCACAGCTCAGCAACAGAGGGATTCCTTTGCATGCAGAAGATCACCAAGCACTGATCTCAGGTGCCAGGTGTGGGAAAGACCTTGTCAAGCCACTGCCAATTAGAACAGATTGGGAGCCAGTGTGGTGTAGTGGTTCAAGAGCGGTGGACTCGTAATCTGGTGAACCAGGTTCGATTCCCTGCTCCTCCACATGCAGCTGCCGGGTGACCTTGGGCCAGTCACACTTCTCTGAAGTCTCTCAGCCTCACTCACCTCACAGAGTGTTTGTTGTGGGGGAGGAAGGGAAAGGAGATGGTTAGCTGCTTTGAGACGCCTTAAGGGGAGTGAAAGGTGGGATATCAAGTCTCCCCCCCCCCCAAAAAAAAACCAGACCAGAGATGGGCCAATGGTCTGGCAGAACTTGCCGGCTTCGCTCCACGTACCTTGAGCAATCCTCAACTTCACTTCCAGGTCGACGGGCGTGGAAACGACAGATTTCGTGAGGACCAGCACATTCTCTAGGCCAATCACTACCACCAGGTATGGGAAAATCTCCCTAGAGGAAAAACGGAGGGTAACATATAGAAAGTGAAATTGCCTGGTCTAAGTAACCGGAGCAAGTTTCATTCTCAGAAGAGAATGGCTGAAGCTCACTGGGTGGCCTTGGGCAGGTCACTATCTCTCAGCCTAACCTACCTCACAGGGTTGTAGTGGGGATTAAATGAGAAGTGGGGGAACCACCTTGAGCTCTGGGGTGGGGTGGGGGAGATAGGCAGTATAGAAATGAGATCAAACAATCCTTTAAAATATTGTGTAGTAATAATAATAATAATAATAATAATAATAATAATAATTTATTATTTATACCCCACCCATCTGGCTGGGTTTCCCCAGCCACCCTGGGACACTTCCAACAAAATATTAAAATAGAGTAGTCCATCAAACATTAAAAGCTTCCCTAAACAGGGCTGCCTTCAGATGTTTTCTAAAGGTCTGGTAGTTGTTTATTTCTTTGACATTTGATGGGAGGGCATTCCACAGGGCGGGTGCCACTACCGAGAAGGCCCTCTGCCTGGTTCCCTGTAACTTGCCTTCTCGCAGCGAGGGAACCGCCAGAAGGCCCTCGGAACTGGACCTCAGCATCCGGGGAGAACAATGGGGGTGGAGACGCTCCTTCAGGTATACTGGACTGAGACCATCTAGGGCATTAATTTTTATAATGAAATGTTTTAGAATGTTGGATTATTCGATTGATTGATTATTTGATTGTTGTTAGCCGCCCTGAGCCCAGCTTTGGCTGGGGAGGGCGGGATATAAATAAAATTTATTATTATTATTAGGGCTTTAAAGGTCAGCACTAACACTTTGAATTGTGCTCGGAAATGTACTGGGAGCCAGTGTAGGTCTTTCAAGACCGGTGTTATGTGGTCTCGGTGGCCGCTCCCAGTCTCCAGTCTAGCTGCCGCATTCTGGATTAGTTGTAGTTTCCAAGTCACCTGCAAAGGTAGCCCCACATAGAGCGCATTGCAGTAGTCCAAGCGAGAGATAACCAGAGCATGCACCACTCTGGCAAGGCAGTCCGCAGGCAGGGAGGGTCTCAGCCTGAGTACCAGATGGAGCTGGTAAACAGCTGCCCTGGACACAGAATTGACCTGCATCTCCATGGACAGCTGCGAGTCCAAAATGACTCCCAGGATGCGCACCTGGTCCTTCAGGGGCACAGTTAGGGGGGCTATTGGAAAATAGGAGCTACTGGAAAATAAATATCTTTAGGAAGGCAGGCAATACTATTTACTATGAACACATCTGACAAAACATACTTCAGATGCCAGCATTTACCATTCCCCCACAAGCAACGAGAAGAGCACGCAAGGCAGCTGGGCTCTCAGATCAACTTGGCATGGATCCAAAGTGACCGTCCAGTTGAGGAAAGCCTGGCTCTCCTATCAGAGACAGCGGTGTTGTGGTGCTACAAGGGGAAGGTCACGGGGAGAGATGTGGTAATGCTCTTCTGTGTTTGCGTGGGAAGATGATGCAAGACTCTGACAAAGGGCAGGCAGGGGGAAAGGAAAGACGGAGTGCATCTCAAGGCCCCCCAAGAGAAATACTGGTCCCTAATTCTTGGGCGTGTGGGTGGGGGTCCTCCTCTTCCCGTCAACTCTTAGCTTTGTGTGATAAATAGCAAATCCATGGGGCAGAATATGTTAAGCTTGATGAAATGATTTCTGCTGCTTTCCAACGTTGTGATGCATGATTAAGTTAATCACCCCAGCCATGGGAGCTAGAAAATTGCTCTGCAAAAAAACTGCTCCACGGGGGCTAGAAAATTTCAAATGCTAAAACGTGGAAGACTGAAGAAGGTATTCAATGGGCTTCTTGGTACAGAATCCACATTCAACAGTTTGCAGGTGTAATTGCTGAAGGAATTATATCCCTGGTAATATATTGTATTTGATATTAAAGTTCTGCGATCTACAAGATCTGGTTGTCCTGTGTCTGCATAAAAGCTAGCTCTGGCCTGTAGGTAAATATTTATACAGGATGCAATTTTTGTCAAGCACACAAGGTTTAAAACATCTGGATTTATACCGGAGAGCTACATTGTTACAAGAGGTTATTCTGTGGCTTCCAAAGATTACGGTTGTTTTGGAGAGAGCCAGTGGAACTACTGGCTTCTATTGGGACATTTTCTGGCAAAACCACAGTTAGAACAGGTGCTTCTATCAATTTATGACGTGTCTCTTAATCTTAATCTAAATCTGGTAGGCATTGGGGTGTGTTTGTTCTACTAATGTCTCCACCTCTGAGCCGATCCACCTGCCAGAAAGACACAGGTAAAATCCCAGTTCTGATTCATGTTTGGTGTTGATGAAGATGTTTGCAAATGAATTTGTTGTACTCATACTGCACTTTTTTAGGTATCCACCTAACGGAGCTCATCTCAGCAGAAGGATAATACAGTTTGCTCAGGCAGCCATGAGACCTTGTTTGGAAAGGAGGTCGTTAATACGGCAGCTGTAGGAAGGAACTAAAGGAGAGCAGCAGCTCTTTTGCAACCATCTCAACCAGCTTCTGCCAGTTAGATTAATTTGGATGCTTACCCTCCATTGAGCGTAGGTGTCAGGCCGAAGAGTGTGCACAATCCAACCGACATGAGCAGAGAACTCAGGACCGTCACAACCGCAGCCAGAGCCAAGCCCCATTTTGATTTCACCATGTCAATCTTCCCTGAGGGAGAGAAAGCAAAGCCTCCACAACCGTCGGATGAAAGTAAGACACAGAAACTAAGCCGTGGAGGCAGGACAGACGCATTCGCTAACCAGACCACGGGAAAGGCAGAAAAGGTGCCATCCACAGATTGATGTGCAAATGCGCAAGCGGGTCTGCATGTCTCTCTCAACGCACAACACAATCCATCGCTCTAAAATGAGGTTCGCACCAGGGCGTGCAAAAGTAGCACCTTGAAGGATGGGACAACAAGAAATGCCATCTATCCCAAAACAGTGTTTCTTTTTCTTAAGGTTCCAGAAAGCGTCTCTGTCTCTCACACACAATACCAAGTACAGTGGTACCTCTGGTTATGTACTTAATTTGTTCCGGAGGTCCGTTCTTAACCTGAAACTGTTCTTAACCTGAAGCACCACTTTAGCTAATGGGGCCTCCCGCTGCTGCCGTGCGATTTCTGTTCTCACCCTGAAGCAAAGTTCTTAACCCGAGGTACTATTTCTGGGTTAGTGGAGTCTGTAACCTGAAGCGTATGTAACCTGAAGTGTATATAACCCGGGGTGCCACTGTACTGCTCTGGCTATTAAATAAAGGGTGCTGCATTTATTACCCTTTTCCCCCAGCAAAGTCAGTCTGCTCAGAGACACAAGTCTAAAGGCTCTGCGCCTCTCTATTGCTGCGTTAAAACCAGGGGTGGGGGGCAGCACACAGGGTCCCTTGAGCCCCCCCTCCTCGCAATGCCCTAATCTGCCCTTCGCACTTACGGGTAGAGAAGTAGATGTAGGCAAACAGGATGATGTAGGTGGTCACAAGGGGAATGAGTTCAGCGATGCCGATCTCTTCCTTGAAGTGGACGTGGGTGATGTGCTCTTCCCGCAGGGTGCAGTTGGGGCTGGGGTGCAGCGCCTTGAGGCGGGAGCGGAGGCTGGCAAGGAACCTGCCGTGGAAAGCACAAGGGCAACTCACAGCTCCTACAAAGCACATGCATGCAGTGCTGCTTGTCTTAAAAGAGAAAAACCAACTTTCACATAAGTTACAGGGCACATATCAAAGCTGCCCTATTTTTGTAACCTGTGTAGCAGCCGTAAGAGGCTCGGTGTTTCACAACCACGGCTACTATTCTAATCCACTGGTTCTGAATTGTGCCTCAGTATTTGCATAGGCAAAGGAAGGTTTTGCGTATAGGCTTTGCCAGTGTATTGGGCATAAAAAGAGATGTTAACATGACATTTTGACATGCGATCATTCAGGGGAGAAAACGACATGGATTTAACAATCCCTGTTAGGAAAACATGCTACAGGCAGCCTTGAGAAAACGAAATACAGTCCTGGAGTATAAACAGCACATGGAATAAGGGAGAAGCATTTTCCAAAGCTGTAGGCGACTGTTTCATCATCTTCTGGATGAAATCGCGAAATACCTGGAATCATAGCGCTGAAGACCCAGGGTAATGGTGTAGGTTACCACTCGCTTCCGGTTATATAGGTTCACCCCGCTGTACTTCCCTGGGACTCCGAACAGCAGGTCTGAGGAAAGAAGAGGGACGCATGAGGTTTCAAAGTCGCACAACCGGGAAGCAAATGAGGCTCCCCAAGCTTAATGAAGACTATCACACACTGCTCCGGTTGCCACATCCCCAAAAAGAAACAATACAACAGAGCTGGGAAAGGCATCAAAAAGGGCAATTAAATCAAGCTAGGAACTGTAGCATGTTCCTTATGACAGACAACTTAAAAGATTTGTATCTTTTTAAGTACAAAAAAGGGCAATTAAAACAAGTTAGGAACTGTAGCATGTTCCTTATGACAGACAAATTAAAAGATTTGTATCTTTTTAAGTACAAAAAAGGGCAATTAAAACAAGCTAGGAACTGTAGCATGTTCCTTATGACAGACAACTTAAAAGATTTGTATCATGCTACCTCCAGGGTCAGAGGCATCATGTCTTTGAATACCAGGTGCTGGGGAATAACAGCAACAGGGGAGGGTGGCTGCCCTCACGTCCTGCTGATCAGCTTTCCATGGGCATCTGGTTGGCTACTGTGGATCAGCTTTTGGTCAGATCCAAAAATGCTCTCCTTTTAGTTGATGTCAAAACTCTCTTCCTGGCTCTGACATGGCAGAACAGCTGTTCTCCAATATTCAGGCCAGCCTCCCAACACCTGATCAAGGACAAGCTAGATACCATTATGTAAGAAAGCTGAGGGCAAACCAATTCCATTTCACTATGGCATTGTTGTTGTTGTTTTCCACATAGTTTTTTTTCATTAATTCTCCAAAGATATTTCAAAGCAGTTTTTTAAAAACATATTTTCTTCTTGACTTCCCACCCCATCTCTTCTGGGTTTTTTTAAACTCCTTTTTATTCGTTGTCCTATACAGTAGAACCTCGACTTACCACCGCCCCGACTCGTGAACAATTTGACTCGTGACCGCGGCCAACCCGGAAGTAAATACCGGGTTTGCTGTGATTCACGCACACACAGAAGCAGCTTCCGCCATCTGCACATGCGCAGAACGGCGCTGCCGCCAAATGCGCACGCACAGAACTGCGCTTCTACCAGTGACCCGGATTGACTCATGAACGGACCTTTGGAACGGATTCCGTACGTGAGTAGAGGTTCCACTGTATTACATATGTTTTTGCTGCCTAAACACCAAATCACTGGTTCTTTCAATAATCCACTGTTTATACTTCGAATCCTGTCTGCGACTTTATGTATGGGTGATAGTTTGACTTGTAACCCATCCATGATCTCCGTTCCTCCTTAAATGTTTCATCATTATGTCCTCTTAATTTAACAATTTCGCCATTTCAGCATAGTCCATCAGTTTTAGAAGCTGGTTGGTGATCCTTCATTCCACTTCTGTGCATATTAAGTTCCAACTGCCTGTTGTCACATTATTCCTAGTGAAAAGGCTTTGGCCTTTTTTAGGGATTGTCAGTTTAAACATCCTTTTCAATTTATTATACTATCATGTCCCCAAAACCCTTCGCCTTTTCACAGGACCACCACATGTGGCCTTGCTAAGCTGGTTGTCAGGGGAGACATGAGTCGGGCCCATTGGATGTTCCACAAGTAATTCCCCTACTAATCTCTTCTCATGCAAGATCTCATACCTTTGGGGGTAGCCGATGTCTGTAATGTCTTTGGTTCATGCTGGTGGATCGTTCTGATAACATCCGGGTCAGCACTGAAGAGTTCCTGGTCATTCTGCCAGAAGTTTCCTGGGGACAGCAGCAGGCAGCCATGTTCAGGAAGCAAGCCTCGAAGCTTCTTTAAATTGGGAAGGAGATCTGTTACCTGAAGGCAGATTTCTTCCAGACTTTTGATTCTGGAGCTGAAGTGCGGGGGGAGAGAGAAGCCAAGAGTTGCAGCAGATCAAGAGTATCCGCAAATAGTCAAAGCAGAAAGGGACACTGCAATTCCACTGATTATTCATCCCAGTGATTCAGAAAGTGGTCACAGATATCAAATTCATTTTTGCAAGTATCCATCAGTTCTCTGAAGTGGCAAATTGCCTGTGAGCTCTCTTATGCCTATGGTTATTTTATATTCATATGCTCTACTGTTAAAAATTATGGTCTGGGCTCTGGTGGTTTTCCTTTCAGGGATATTCCCTTTCTATGGTCATTCCAAAACACCTTAGCCAAAGTCATTTTTCCTCTTCTCCTGCTGTTACCATGTCACCATCACTTCTGCATTACAGTGGTACCTCGGGTTAAGTACTTAATTCGTTCCGGAGGTCCGTTCTTAACTGAAACTGTTCTTAACCTGAAGCACCACTTTAGCTAATGGGGCCTCTTGCTGCTGCTGTGCCGCCAGAGCACGATTTCTGTTCTCATCCTGAAGCAAAGTTCTTAACCTGAGGTACTATTTCTGGGTTAGCGGAGTCTGTAACCTGAAGCGTACGTAACCCGAGTTACCACTGTACTGTCTACATTGTCCTCAAGCTCCCAGCCCTTATATTTGAGGTTCTCCACCTCTTCCATCTCTCACTGTTCCTGTTCCTTGCAACTCTGCTCTGCAGACAAGCAGAACTGCCAGCAAGGGACTCATGGTCAGTTAACAGCTTCAAAAGCAGGTAGGTCTACCCAAAACAAGGAGAAGGAATCAGCAATCCAAATCCAAGTTTTGCATCCAGCGCAAATACAGGGTATGTGGACTGACCATGCAGAAGCTGAGATACATGGTTCCAAATATCTCCACATACCGCAAACAAAGTCAGGAACAGAAGGTGCAAAGAGAATCGAGGCTCTTGGAGCTCTGAGTCAAAGAACGTTCATATTTATTGCTTTTTATTATTATTATCATTACTATTATTTATTACACTTATCTACTGCCCTTCGTCTGAAGATCTCAGGGTTGTTCACAAGATAAAGATACTTTGTATACAGTAGGAATGCTGGCTCCCTGCACCAGCACACACCGACCAACGTGATCAAGAGCATATTAGGAGAACAACTTGGGTTCTGTAGCAGACTGTGAAGACTAGGTTTAGTTTATATAATTTACAGTTCAAGTATTTTGAAGAGATGGTGAATCAGTTGGCATCAGATTAACCGCCTAGGAAAGAGAGCCAGGACAAGGGAGTAAAGCCTCTGAACAAGAGACACAAATCCACAAATACAAAGGTCAAGAGATCCCTCTGAAAAGCCAGGAAATCAGCAAGTCTCAGGCTGCCCAATTCTGGATCCAATATTATATGTTCTACCAGCATGATGAAGCTCCTCACATACAGTATTTTTCGCTCCATAAGACGCACCTGACCATAAGACGCATCTAGTTTTTAGAGGAGGAAAGGAGGAAAGCCCCATTTTTTGAGGATCAGCTCACAGTTGTGCAGCTTCTTTTGCAGAGGAGAAAAGCCTGTAATACTGTAATAAAAATACTGTAAACCGCTCTCTGATCCTCTGATAAAGGTGGCATATAAATTTAATAACAAACAAACGAATCATTGAGGTCCACCTACCCGTCTTGCAGGGCATGGTTTCTGATTTCCTCCACCAGCTGGAAGACACGGGAGAGCGGGGAACGAAACACATCAACAGCCAGGAATGTCTTGGGCCATGGGGAGACAGTGGCTTTCACCAGGACCTGCTGGATGTAGGCTACAGGAGCGCCTGTGTACTGGGAGGGAGAAAATGAGATGAGACAAATTTATGACAGGAGACCAAAGTTGCAGCAAAGTACTCTTCAACCAGCTCCCCATAATAGTTTCTATGTGCCATTTGTTTAGCTAACTGTATCCAAGCCTCTTCGCGCTGCAGCTTTTTTGCTACAAGGGTGGAACAGAAGCTCAATGCAAGAACAACACATGCTTCAGAGCTATTCTGGGCCTTAGGAATATGAAAGTTAATGAAAGGCAATACCAATAAAAATATATAAACGGTGGCTGTGTTTTCTCTGCCTGTGTTTTCTCTGAGCTACGCCACCCCAAATGCTACCAGGCTCCTCCTCTTCATGCGCGCTCGTTGCACACACTGTGGTAGTAGAAATAGTAACAGTACCCAGTCAGGCCTCTCGTTCGGCTCTCCTTGCTGGTGGGTGGGGTAGGCTGGAGGCTGTGCGTAGTCCTTCACAGGGGTGGTGTATTCAACAGGTCCAGTGCCGGGCAATGGGAGTTTCAGCAGTGGGTAGCTGCAAGGCAGAAAACAGGCAGCGAAACAATTTTAGGCAAGCCCAAGCGATGAAATAAAAGAAATGGGCAAAGCCTTTACGTCCTTTCTCCCACCCTGAAACTGAACATCCATGACAAATGCCAGAAGAGAAGTCATGTGCAGAAGGCACAAGAAGCAGCCCTGTGGTGCTTTAAAAGACCTGCACATTTTTAAAAAGCAGCATGAGCTTTTGCAGGCAAGAACATTGCTGAGGCCTCAAAGCAAACGGATTCCACTTCAAGGCAGCCACGTCCCATTGTCACACAACTCTCACAGATACAAAATTTTCCTCTGACCTTCAGCTACTTCTGCACTTCCAACATTTCCTTCAACTGTGAACTAGCGAAAATTGCCAAGGCCTTTTCTAAACAGAACGCAGTATTGCTCTGTATGATTTAAAATACAGGGAATACAGACTCTGAGAACTCTGGGAACACACTCCCCACCCACCCTCAAATTCCTTCCCCTCAAATAATTCCTTCAGACTGCAACAGCAGAAGTAGCTATGGCCGAAATTTTAACCAGTTTGAGAAAACAGACTTTCTGTTAAAAGAAAATTAATTCTGGCTGCATCTCTTCTGTGTCTCTTCTCTTACAGCGGTTTTCCATATGAAAGAGAACATGATGTTTTCTCTTGCTGCCAAGTCCTATGGCAAGGTCACAATTCTGTTTATTAGTGACCAATACCTTCTTACACTCATGCCAAATGTTTCATAGCAGCAAGACACCGTTGCTATAACACTGCCAGCCACATGACTACCTAGTCCGGCATTGCAAAGGCACTCCAGGACTAAAGGAGACAAAGGGAGCAGGAAAAAGTTTGGACAGAATAAAATATTTCTTCCTCTCTGAAAGTTAATGGAAACGGGAGTACATCCCACACAGCTTCAGAGCCTTGCTAAGCAGCCGAGCCTACACAGCGATGAAAGAATAGCCCTTTCATGTCAGACATTTTAGCCCGATACTGCAATTTGGCACCTCTCAAAAGATCTGCTAGCCCAAACCACAAGTACAGTGGTACCTCGGGTTAAATACTTAATTCGTTCTGGAGGTCTGTTCTTAACCTGAAACTGTTCTTAACCTGAAGCACCACTTTAGCTAATGGGGCCTCCCACTGCCACTGCACCGCTGCTGCACGATTTCTGTTCTTATCCTGAAGCAAAGTTCTTAACCCAAGGTAATATTTCTGGGTTAGTGGAGTCTGTAACCTGAAGCATATGTAACCTGAAGCGTATGTAACCTGAGGTACCACTGTATTGGTGCATTTAGTCAAAGGTATCTAAACTTGCCCCGTCTGGGTGTTCTTTGCAGAAACACAACGGTTTCCTCCTGGGCCCTTTGGCCTCTCCTCAATACTTTCACAGCGTTTTTGAAATGAAAATGCACAACCACGTGGTCCACTTGAAGACAAGGCACACACACGATGGATACTGCGGAAGAGAGACTTTACCAGCAGGCCAGGACACAGAGGCCGGTGAAAAGGATGATAGGGATGGGGCAGGAAGCACACAGCAGCCCGTGGTTGTAGAACGCCCGTGATATCTTCTCCCGCAGTCTGTCAGTCAAGGTCATTCTCAGCTGTCCATCAGCTAACTGCCATCCCGGAATGTATTAGGGCAGTTTCATCAGAGTCCACCATGGGTGGCACTTCAGAAAAGGCACGGCATGCAAAACAGAATTCTGGAAGGGAGAGAAGAGAAGGCAGCAGCTGGTCAGTGCAACGGGCAAACTGTCGCCAAGGGGTAGAGAGATTCCTTTCCCACATTAACAGTGCCATCCTGTGCATGTTTACTCAGAAGGAAGGCCCACTCTGTTCAGTGAGACACATGCGCAAAGAAATGTGCACACAAGACTGCAGACAAAGAGCACTCCGGCAGGGAACTCTCATGCCTGACATAAAAACCTTTTATGTCTTGGCAAAACCCTCTCAGTCACAGAAAATGGCACATGAATCAAACATCTGTATACTACATTGTAGGTACAAGCTCCAGTGGCTTACAACGGACAGTGGTGCTCAGACACAGGACTCAAACCACACATAAGATACCTGGATTTATCAAGTTTTCTAAACTTATTCTGATTTTGCAAGCTTTCTTTCCTTGATTTTTCTTCCAGATCTCTCTTACAGCCCCTCTCAGAATTATTTTCCATTTTTTCCTCAGTGGCCTTCTGGATTTATGATTCCCAAAATGGGAAAACACATGATTTCTGTAAGTGATCCTGGGACCTTTGGTGTGTGTGGCAGGTCTAACAGCAACAACAACTTTGGAGGGGCTGTGTCTGCCTGTTCAATTGGGCTGCCAACAAACCCAGGAGGAGGTAAGGCATTACCTGGGCTGGTCCAGTTGACCTGACATCAGCAAAGGCAACATGGAACAACTAGCCCTTGATTGCTAAGCAGGTCAGTTGAAACACTGAACTTTCCCATAAGCTCAGCCTAGGAAAATAGCTGTGCCATCTGACTCTTGTGATCATCATAGTCTTCAGCCCTGAATGCAGTGTATTTGCCACCAATTGTAACAGAAATGGCATTGAAATACCAACCAGTAAGAGGAGGAAAAGCAAAGACAAAGGAGACAAAGACAAAGCCTTGAAGAGAATGCCAAGGATTCCAGGAGGAGTCCCCTTGGGTGCCAACATCTGAAGCACACTGCTCAGTGGCTCACTACCAGTAATTGATTAAGATAGCAGGTAGCAAAGACCAGGAAGCAGAAGGCATCATCCACATACTCTCCTTCACAACACATGCTGATTATCTATGAAACCACTAACAAGCCGGGCTGTATGAGAGATGACAGAGACAACAGTTTGGCAGAACAGCTATAGCTGAAATTATTTGTGCTTTGCTATGTGCACGACTGCCAAGTCAAACACAGGTGGGAGGAAAAGTATATTTCCCACTCCCTCCACTTTAAAACAAAAACAAAAAACCATAGCATGCTACAGTACATTTCCGAGCACAATTCAAAGTGTTGGTACTGACCTTTAAAGCCCTAAACGGCCTCGGTCCTGTATACCTGAAGGAGCATCTCCACCCCCATCATCCAGCCCGGACACTGAGGTCCAGCGCTGAGGGCCTTCTGGCAGTTCCCTCGCTGCGAGAAGTGAGGTTACAGGGAACCAGGCAGAGGGCCTTCTCGGTAGTGGCACCTGCCCTGTGGAACGCCCTTCCAGCAGATGTCAAGACAACAACTATTCTACTTTTAAAAGACAACGGAAGGCGGCCCTGTTTAGGGAAGTTTTTAATGTCTGCTGCTGTATTGTTTTTAATATTCGGTTGGAAGCTGCCCAGAGTGGCTGGGGAAACCCAGACAGATGGGCGGGGTATAAATAATAAATTATTATTGTAATTATATTAGGTGTTAGTAAGCATATTGTATTTTCAGATAGTGTAAGCACACAATGTTCCTTTATTTTATTGTAATTATATTACGTGTTAGTAAGCGTATTGTATTTTCAGATAGTGTAAGCACACAACGTTCCTTTATTTCCACCATCATATTCTGATAGGGTGTTGGATAATTCCGCGTGAAGCAACATCACACAAACATGGTAACACCCCTGTCATATAACAAGGTTGTGAAATGCACCAGAAAGAGAATTCAGAAATGAAGCACCCCCTTATTTGTCAACACATTTGCTGTTCCTATGTTTGTTGTGTAGATCTGAAAGACCCTGAAAGTAACAAGTTGTACAGACATGTAGAGCTGGATGAAGCCAGAGAACTTTAGGTAATCTTCGCAGCGGAGCCTTGGGTACCTCTGAAGGCCAGCTGGTGAGGAAGCCATACGTCAGCGGTAAGATGCCCCAGGCCTTGATTCCCAGAAACTCAAGTTTAAAGTATTCTGGAAAACATATTCCTCTGCTCCCACTCAGAGCCAATGATCCTGGGCTGGGCATGCCAACAGTCTGACTCAGCAGAAAGCAGCTTTTATTTTAGAATTATTATTATTTTTAGAAGAAACCTGGACAAGGTCAGGGATCAAGAGGTCAATTTGAGGTTTTTGGGACATGGATAATGAAGGTGTTGATTTTTCCAGTTTCTACTAGGCTACATTTAGACAAGGTATTGTCAAGGATATTACATGTGTGGCCTTTTACCTGGGTCTTAAAAGGCTCAGCGTCTTAACAGCTTATCAACGGATTACCCAGCAGAAGAACTGAAACCAAACCAGCCAATGATGCAACAACACAATAGTGTGATTTGGTGCTTAGTGCTGAAACAGCCTTGATTATAGATCTCATCAAGAGTACTACTTGTTTCCCCTGTTATCAAACAGCAATTGCTAAGATGACAGAAACTGAGAGCTTGCGTCTCCAAAAGGGTGAATGCGATGATAATGATCAATACCAAGATGAAGGTCTAACATGCTTGTGTGTTGAGCTCACTGCTTTATGGGCAACCTGCCAGGATCAAAGCCTTCCACATGCGCTGTGTTAGACAGATTTGAGGCTTCACATGGCAGGACAGTGTCTCAAATAGAGATGTGCTCTCCCAAGTCCACATTTCCAGCATGTTCGCATTCCTGTCTTAGTGACATCTATGCCAGCTTGCTGATGTCCACAGAATGGGAAATGGCAGGATCCTCAAAGACGTGTTCTATTGGGAGTTGGCTTCAGGCAGACCAACTCTGTGTTACAAAGGGGTCATCAAACATTACATGAAGGCTGGCAACATCAACTGTGCCATGTAGAAATCCCTTTCAGACAACCACAGTGCCTGGAGATAATCAGTCAGGTCCTGTATCCACAGCAGTGACCAGAGGAGGAGTGACCGCTGGGAGGAGCGCAGAAATGCCATGGTACGCCTGCTTCAGCACCACCTGACACCTTCCTCTGCCCCACCTGCAACTAAGCATGTCTCTCCCATATCAGTCTCTTCAGCCACAGCAGGCGCTGTGTATCTCTGACGATTTGACTTCACCCCCAAAGGCACACTCCTCCATTGTCTCCCAAGACAAGATGCCAACCAACAAGCTATGGAGACCAGTGAGTATCTCGTAACATTACTCCAATACCACCAAGCAAACCTGAAATTCCTAAGCAAATGTGCTACATTTTCTGTGAAAAATACTGACTGACTGTAAAGACAGATGGGATTAAAAGCCTGGGAGAAGAGAACAGGCTATATAATACAGGAGGCCTGAGAATACAGCTGGGTGAAATTCAGGCTTGAGAGATCCACTTGTCACTGGAATCCCAAGGTCCACCAACCAAAGTTAGACAATTCGCAGGATGCTTCTGAGCACATCCTCAGCCCAGGAATTTGTTTTCAAACCCAGAACTGAGCTCACAAGACTTTCCCCATGCTTTCTTCATTTCAGCAGACTGATTTGGGAAGACGGGAGCCTTTTAACTGTCCCTATTGAAGACTGGAGAGTGGGCATTTGAGAACTTTGTCGTATCTAGCGAAAGTCATGCAGATCTGCCTTCTGCACACTCCACCCTTAGAATAAAGGGGCAGAACAGCACCTAAGGCAGGATGCAAAACAATGCCCACTCTTACACACAATGAATAAGAAGTCCCTTTGAGCTCAGTAGGTCTTCTCCCAAGTAAGGAAGCTTCAGGTCACAGCTAAAATGCAGCCAATAGCTCCCTGCAAGCTAAATGGCCAGTGAACAGCAGCTAGTCGATAAGTGGCTTTCACACATCATATACAAACAAAGCAAGGTAATAAAAACAGTTGTTCTCATTGGCTGCACCCTTGGCTCCTGCCCTTTGGAAGTCTATTAAATTTGGCCTTTGGATGCCTCAAGGGACCTGAGGTGGGTATTTTATTACTATTATTATTAAAGCACTATATAGTTAGGCTATGAACCACTCTATCAATGGGGAAATGGCAGGTGAAAGTAGAATACCCCTAACCAATCCTAAATACAGTTGAAGTTGTCATGCTTGTGGTCTGGCACCAAATTTCTGCATGGTCTGAAAAACTATGGCTTGCAAGAGCCAACTTTATGGTTGAAGAAAGTTGAAGAAGAGTGTGCGCCAGTCAGAAGCTTGTAATGCTAAACCATGGTTTAGCATTATGGCTGACTAGCCCCTTATTTACACTAAACCTCATTTTCCATTTTGTTGCTTGCTTGCTTGCTAGCCACCTGCCTGCTGCCCCATAATAATCCTTAAAAGCAAAGCACTGGTGATTCCACATGAAGTAAGTTACCTCAGCCTTGAATTCAACAACTCACCTGGTGGCCATAGGCGACCAGGAATTCCATACAGGGGATTGAGCGGGTGGGGAAGGGAAAGATCATTCCAACTGTCCTCTGAAAGCTCACTTCGCTTCTGTGCTAGTTAAAGGAAGAAAGTCTCTTCCACCACAACTTGCATGGAGCTGGCAGAGTGGGGACAAATCACTCTGCCCTTCCTCCACCAGTCAGCTTGACAGAAAGTAATCGTTTTTTACTTGCCTGTGCATCCTTGCTGACTGCAGAGAAGAGGCTTATTCATCATAGCTAATGTGGAAACGCAGGCTACTGAATTCTTAGCAGACTAGTTCAAAATGTGCAGCTACTATCTTTTGTGACTTATTTACCTTGCTACCACGCTCAGGTAAACAAATACGGTCTAATAAGGGAGATGGATAAAGAGGATACCCAAGTTCAAATATCAGCTGCACATGATCTCACTTGGCAAATGTTCTTGCTTGGCAATTCCTCTGCCGCAGCCCATTCACCCTTCCCTTACTCACGTCTCCCATCCATAGGCTGGCAGCCGGGCTGCCCCCGCCATCCCTGGGTGCCTGGGCAATGGAGAGCCCCCCCCAGCCGCCCTGTTGTTGTTCTTCCTCTTCCTCCTCTTTGCAGTGATACCCTTATGCCAAGACATGGCTTCCCCCCACCATGCCCTCTCTCTCCCTGCTTGCTTCAGTGCCATGGGGTTCCCCGCTTCTTCCTGCTAGAGTGGCCAGAGCAAGGAGGAAGAAGGGTTTGCGGCGGCCTGCAGAGGATAGGCCTTGGCATCACCCACAGTGGCCTCCACTCACAGAGTGGAGCAATGGCACGTGTTACAATTAAGTCATCCAATTTCAATACTGAGAAGTCTACCCTGTCAACAAAAATTGCTGAAGGCAATCCATAGCGTTCCTATTACTGGGAAGTAATAGTGCCACTGTATTCTGCTCTGGTCAGACCTCACCTGGAGTACTGTGTCCAGTTCTGGGCACCACAGTTCAAGAAGGACACTGACAAACTGGAACGTGTCCAGAGGAGGGCAACCAAAATGGTCAAAGGCCTGGAAACGATGCCTTATGAGGAACGGCTAAGGGAGCTGGGCATGTTTAGCCTGGAGAAGAGGAGGTTAAGGGGTGATATGATAGCCATGTTCAAATATATAAAAGGATGTCACATAGAGGAGGGAGAAAGGTTGTTTGCTGCTGCTCCAGAGAAGCGGACACGGAGCAATGGATCCAAACTACAAGAAAGAAGATTCCACCTAAACATTAGGAAGAACTTCCTGACAGTAAGAGCTGTTCGACAGTGGAATTTGCTGCCAAGGAGTGTGGTGGAGTCTCCTTCTTTGGAGGTCTTTAAGCAGAGGTTTGACAACCATATGTCAGGAGTGCTCTGATGGTGTTTCCTGCTTGGCAGGGGGTTGGACTCGATGGCCCTTGTGGTCTCTTCCAACTCTATGATTCTATGAATTTTATTAAATTTAGATCCCACCCTTCCTCCTGAGAACTTTAGCTTTTCGTTATGTTGCTAGAGACAGTAGCTCTAGATGAGTTCAGTACTTTGCTGGTGCTTATCTGAATATTTCATCTCAATGTTTGAAAACAAAATTGTAGCATTGAAGCTGCAAAGGTGTAATTTGCTTCACTCACTTGGGAAAAGGGCAAAACAAGAAAGCAGCTGGTTTATTCCTTTAAATTGCAATCAAGTTAAGTGAAATACGAGAATGGAGAAGTATTTGGCTTGAAGTTATCAAAAGCGATCTGAGGAGAGTTAAAGGAGAAAAACGAGGAAGAGAGAAATGAGACTCCAGGCTACTCTCTCTGGCAATACAATTTCACAATGTCTGCGTCATATAACAGGCAGGAAGAGAGACCCCTGATGTTTGTCAATATCATGTGAAATTTCACACAAAATAAAACACTTATTTCTATAAACACAGGTACTAGGCAAAGGGTAAAGAGGGTAGCATATAATTCCTGACAACCTTACCCTTTCACTCTGAATTTGTCTAAATCCCTTTCAAACCATACAAGTCAGGGGCATCTTGGGGTAACAAATTCCTATGCACTGTGCAAAGAAATACTTTTTGTCTATCCTGACCCTTTGTTTCACTGGGATGGTCCCAGAGTCTAGTACAGTATTATGGTGTGGGGGGTGGGAAGGTGGTTGTGAAATGTCTCTATCTACTTTCTCAACACTATATAATTTTATGCACCTCTTACCATGTCCTCCCTTATTCCGCTTTTCCCAAAACTAAATGGCCACAAACTTTGTAACTTTTCTTGCAGGAGAGTTGTCACAGATAACCCTGCCCGTTAAATAACCATCCCCAAGATCATCATAGCATAGAAAGGCAAAAGAGTTGTACTTTGAAATAGGATTTTCACTACATCAGTTAAGCAGACACCAGCAATCTCCTACATACTCCAGGCATGCTCTCTGATCATCAGAATCAAAACCTCCAGCACAAACACTTCTCACCTTACTCATCGCCTCCTTCTCACTCCTTGGGATTAATCCTAGGGATTAACTTGGAGCAGTTAATCTCCATACCATTGAAACAGTCACCATATAAAGTTCACTGTTGCCCACTTACCAAAATAAATCCATGAAGCAACACCTGTCACAACTGCCCCTCTTCAAACACAAAAGATGTCTCCATACTAACAATAAAAAGATGACTTAAGAACTAGTAAGTCTTAGCTGCCCTAATTCCTTCAGCAATCGTTGAGGCATTTTCATGAGTTCTCAGCTTTAGGTTAGCTCCATTTGAAAATTGCTGCGCAAGTCAGTTTCCTAGAGAAAAAGTTCGGTTTTGAAGACCAGGACTGTGAACTGAACAATGACCCTACTTTGTGAGTATGGTAACAGAGTGAACTCAGTAATACCAATACACCACTGTTCTCCTTTTTCGTTCTCATGGGAAGGACTGTGCCCTTGCAATATATAGGTACACACAAAAGCAAAGTGAGAACAGAGCCCTTCCTATGGTTATAACTGAAGCACTTGTCACTGGAAGCTGGACAATGTTTGCAAATCCTGGCTGACCAGTTCAAGAATTTGAACTTCAAGACCTCTCAGAACTGTGGCTTGTTCTCTGTAGTATGTGTTCTGTTCTATCTAGTGAACACCCTTAGATTAGAATACTGAGGACAGAGGGGAGAGGAAGGAAATATTGAACTAAATAAAAATTCTATGGTTCTCAGCAATAAACTCACTTGCTCCCTTGTAATAAAGCAGGAACACACACGGGAAAGTAGATTCTAACCTGTTATTGCTGATTGGGAGAAAAGAAGCAGTAACACAGAAGCTCATCTGCACTATCCTTTTTAATGTAGGTTTTGCTGGCAGGTTCAGAGCTACCTTGCATTCTTCCATCATTAACCAAGTAAGATGATGGAGCTGCTTTGGGCTTTGAAAAACAGCAGTGAACCAATAGCAATACAATCTTGGCCGTAACAGTAAACAAAACGAACAAGGCAAATGTAAAGTTCTCAACAACTGAACTACTCATGAACCTCTCTTTGTTTATTCGTATAGCAGCAGCAGAAGTAGCTAGGGAGTTCACCTACAAAGATGATGTAACTAACACCTCAAATTACAACTTCAGTTCTAGAAGATAAAATGTGCGGTGGAGAGAAGAAACAGGTTTCAGAATCATCTCTCTAATGGAAGAGAAAGGCTCCTTCCCAAAATAATTGCAGTATTGCAACAACAAAATTTGGAATCAGCACAGTTTAAGCATTTTATCCAATCAGTACTACAATTCCATAGTAGGTGGAAATAGTTTCCTAACAATTAAAAGACTTAAGGCAAATCCATGGATTATAACATGTTCTCATTAATTTTCTATTATTATTTCAATACATTTTGTTCTACTGCAAGTTTGAGGCTGTGTTTTAATTTGTGAGTCAGAACTACCATTCAGCACCAAAACTGATCTTGCAGAGCCGTTCTCACAAGTCATGGTTTCTCTAGCACTAAGTTTCACAGAACATGTGCCAAAGGTGTCTGCTGAACAACAATTGCAAATATTCCCAAAGCACTACCACACTCCAAATTAGGAAACTGTAAAAGGACAGTGTCTATAATTTTGACTTGCTTAAAAATATCTCTCATCCTTTCATGAACTGATGGTTGATACCTCTATGAACTGAAAAATGCAGAATGGTAGATGTCTTAAAAAGTAATAGTTTTAAGCTACATCAAGGATTCCTTTCCCTGTTGACATTTTAACTCCCTCAACATCTACCACAGAACTTCATCACACCATGAAGGTTTCTGGGGTTTTCTGGGGTGCAGATGAGGGCCAAGCAAAAGACAAGGACTAGTTACTCTGCACAAACCAAGAGGATGTCTTAGAACACAGTTTAACAGTGAACAGAACAATGTACTTTCCAGTTTCCATTTGCTGTAGAATTGCAAACCATGGCGTGTCAATTCAGATTCACATCAACCACTGTTAAGCTTCCTGAATCATAGTTTGGCAGCTGACTGAACTGAGCATTTAAAATTTTCAGTTGCTGCAACTGGAAAGGCTACTGCTATTACTACCAAGGACCTCTCTATCATAGTTAGAAAGCATCAGGAACATTATGGTTACAAATTACTAGGCCAGTAACCTCATCCAAATGCTTGTTTTGAGAAGCCTCAGTGCACTGGTATTGCAATTATAGCAGATATTATTCCACAACAAGATAACATAATGTATGAGACTTTTGCGGGGAGGGAAGATGCTAGAACAGAAACTGCAGAACAATGTGGTGTTTTATTTCCATTTCATAAGTTCATTAATAACAATGCATGGATGCTAGCTGCAAATAGAACCATTTCACTTTGTGCAAATATAAAGAAAAAGGGTTTTAAGTGTTAACCTTATGGTATTTGATCCCAATTAAAATTAAATGGTGCAAGAACTGGCCTTTTGTTGAGACAATGCTCAGAACTAGGGACCTACATACAACAGGGGTATTAGAATAGTGAGGTTATTGGAATCTGTGCAAATTAGTACTATGCAAAATATGAAATGAGAGTTAAATTCCAGAGATGACAAGCAAGGACCTGAGAGTGAGCAAAGAACAAGAACTCAAGGGCTGGGCCAAGCGAAGGCAAGTTGAAGCAAGAGACAGAGAGGATGTTCATGAGATGAAGAAAAGATTAGTAGTACTGAGGTCAGGGATCAGGGAGGGCAGAAATGATGTGGAGATAAAGTGGGGAGGAAAAAGAAAATAAGGAAAGTAATCAGGTGGCAGGGGAAAAAGAAAAGCAAGTGAGTGATCAGATACAGGATCCCTTCCAACTCTTAGATTCTTAGATGAAAAGGACCACTTCCTTCCATCCCTCAAGCCTTAAGATGCACAACATGAATGTTCTTACTCAACCACAGCGCTTCCTATTGTGAATACGGCATGGAACGACACATAAATTAATCTTATGGCCTTTTAGCTGTGCTTTTGTTAGAGGCAGAAATCTAAGAAAGCAACACAACAGGCTAATTGTCAGAGATGGCATCACAGCACACCCAGTTGTGAACGTATTTCCTATAGCTTTGGCCTAATCAAACAGAGCTCGGCAGCGAGCAAGATGGAGATGTCGTTTTACTGACAACTCAATATTTTAGTTAAGCATGGCAGGGACACAAATTCGCGCAAGATTTTTTTTAGTTTATCTGCAAGTAACTTCTTACAGCTATGTCGTGACTTGCCTGTCCATGATTGCAAACTCTATACATATGGAAGTGCTCTCAAACTCCGAAATATCTTACTTTTCAAGTCCTGGATTAGCATTTTTTCCTTTCCACTCACTGATCTCTGGACCCAACCCAATGACTTCATACAAAGGATTTCACTCACAAATCCTCAGAGGAGAAACATTTTTTTTTTTTAGCGGTTCTTGTTTTTATCTTGAGTCTCGTCAGGGAAAATGGCAGGGTGTATATATAAATCTATAACAACAATAATAAAAGACTCACTATGTAAGGTGTTGAGAGAAACCTAGCATCTAGTAAAATTATCAACCTTATAATGAACTCTGAATGAAGTTAACAATGTATCCAATAAATTGCCCAAATGCTTGGATGTGCATACATTCCTTCCCTGTATTCTTTTCGGTGCCTGATGAACATTTTTATTTAGACAACCCTTCTCAGATTAGAAAGTTTGATTGAGTTTTAAATTGTCATAGCTTATTCTATTGTGGTTTTAATTTTCTGTACGTTTTAAATTATGGTTGTAAAATTATACTCATAAATTTTTTTCCTTGTAAACCACTTTGAGGTTTCTTCTGCAATCAAGTGGTATATAATTTTTTAAATAAATAAATAAGTACCCTACATCGCCAGGACCACCCTGGCTAAAGAAAAGCCCACCACCTCAAAAAATGTACAAATATATATACAGGGCAGTGCACAAGAAATAATAATCAATAATACACATATAAAATCAGCAACGTTTTAAAACCAAATATACATACGTATGTTATATGTATGGGTAGACTTACTGGAATAAATATGTTTTAGCAAGGATCTAAAACAGTTTAGCAAGGGTGCCTGCCTGTTACTGCTAGGCAGTTCCAAAGCACAGGTAGGTTCTGCCATACCAAAATACTGATTTCTCAGAGACTGAGACATCATGCAGAGTCACAGCAAGAGTTTGATTTTTATCCCACATTTTCCCAGCCTGGCACCATGTCTCTTCCATACGAAATTATGGCTAATCACTATTTTTCAAAAAAACCCAACAACCCACACATAGTACTGTCCTTTAAGGGGAGTAGAATAGAAAGATCATAAATATTTAAATGCAGGTCAGAACACACATTTAATATGCACTGCGAAGGTTGCAAGCGTGGCATCTGTGTTTCCCATAGAGGCCGTTTTAAAACCCACAGGGTTCTGGCCCCACAACACCCTGAGAGAAGCATTCCTATGCAACCAATATAACAGGTTGCAGTGTGTGTGCGCTTGGTTGTGGTGCCCACAACAGTTTAATTGGCTTGCAAATGTGCCCTCAGGCCCAAGAAGGTTGGTGATCCCTGGTGAACTGCCACCCTGAATAGCAGCAATGGAAATGTAGGTTAGTGATTAACAATCCATATTATGCTTGGTTTTAAAAAAACAAAAACAAAAAAACAGTTGTAAATTCCACTAGATAAGAGCCTTGAGGATAATGTAGTTTTCTGTCTGAGCTAACAAAAGAAATTATGGTAGAAAACAAGGTGAATTTCCTTTTGTGGACTCCCAAAGAACGTCTCTTAATTCCATTTGCTTACCTGCTTCATGCAATACATTATTTCCTATGGGAGTCCTTAGTGCTACACGCCTGTAGTATGCAAATAAAGCAATCACAGATATGGCCAACAGCACTTTCTGTGGGAAAGGGCACTGCAGCAATTGTGAGAATGCCACTGGCTTTTCCATAACTGCCCAGTTCAAAACCAGCTTGCAATGCATACTACAATCAGGATCGCCTGCATGCGACATGCAACATACTGTGCTAGCTATAGAACCGACACTAGACGTGTACACATAGCACGGTCCCCTTCCACACTTTTACTGCTTTGCCATGTACCAAAGCAACATGGTTTTCCCTTTCATGTCCCACAAAACAACTGTCACCACTGCTTCATGACTATAGTATATTATTGGTGTTTTGCCATGGTGAGTAATGGGGCTCTGCGCTGAGCCACATCAGGAACATTCAGAGGGTCAAGGATGAGTCCACCACACACAACCAAGGATTGCTGTGAGTCAGGTTGGATGGGCCCAGAGCGATCCCTGGCTGTCAGGGGATGGGACATCGGGCAGGAAGAAGAGCCAGACTGAGCCCTACCTGGCTGTCTTCCTGGGAGAAGGTAGACTCAGTGCCATAGCTCTCCACCCTGTTCAACACCCCTGCCATGCGGGACCAATGCCTCCGTAAAACAGCATCAAGCCTGTAGAGCGTGGGTAATGCTTTGCAAGAGGTTTTCCTGCAGCACTGCACAGGATCAGGACTGTTAAGCAGGAGGATCCAATCCTGTGAAGTGCTGGTTGCTGCTCCTTCATGATCAGCTTCCCACTTGTGAAGGAGGAGCACTGTGCAGGATCAGATAATCCTGCTTACCAGCTGCAAAGCAGGATGATCTTATACTACACAACACTGGTGCACATCCCCCCCCACCAAAAAAAACCCCTTTTTAAAACCTTACTTCCTGTCCATAAACCAAACCAGCTGAGACCTACATTCTTTCTCCTCAGGAAGATTTCATATTGCATCAACCCAGATCCATTTTTTACAAGGAGAAATGTTATCACTCTATCTGCCCTCAAGGCAACATAATGTGAAGTTTATTTCAAAAGGGAACATTTGCATGTTATTTAATGGATAATATAATTAAGTCATCAACTAGGTCTCGACACAGACACTACATTGTTTCATTACTTTTAAATATAACATAGATAATTTTAAGATTTCTATTCTGCCTCTCTTTAGAAGAAAATCCCTAGATTGCTGACCAACAATTCATAAAAAATAAAAGTTACACATTTAAAAACAACCACCTAGACATCACATTAAGAGACTAGACTTAGCTAAAACCTGGCTACATAAGAAGGCACATAAAGGCAAACATAATACAGTGGTACCTCGCGTTAAGAACTTAATTCGTTCTGGAGGTCCGTTCTTAACCTGAAGCACCACTTTAGCTAATGGGGCCTCCTGCTGCTGGTGCGCCGCTGCTGTGCGATTTCTGTTCTCATCCTGAAGCAAAGTTCTTAACCCGAGGTACTATTTCTGGGTTAGCGGAGTCTGTAACCTGAAGTGTGTGTAACCCAAGGTACCACTGTAACTGATTACCAAAACTCCCACTTATTTGCTTTCACAACTGCGAAGAAGTCTATCATGTAGACCTGTGCACTTCTTTTCTTAATCACACCGATACTCCTGAAAGCCTAGTTTCTCCCTCACTGACTCACAGGGTTGCAGGGAATGTATTTGAACACACACTAGGAAAATGTGACGGTGAAAGTAATGACACAAGAGTAGAGGTATAGGGCATTGCTAATGCAACCACTTGCTTCATGAAGTAAGCCATTTCCTGTTAGCATCATGAAATAAGCTGTTCACTGTTAACAGACACAGCATCTCTTTGAAGGGAAAAGCGTCTTAGCATAGTGAGCAGCAACCTGAGCTATGAATAAAGATGTCTGTGGTTCAAAGCTTGCCTCTGCCATGAACACCCTTGGTGGCTTTAGGCAAGCAACTGTCCCTCAGCCTCAGTCCCTCCACAGTAATGGGAGATAATAATAATACTAACATACTTTACAGGTCTGTTGCAAGCATTAACACTTGAAAATGCTATAATAAGTGGTGTTGTGAGTAGTGAAACCAGACTCAAACCCATTGCTTACTTTTAGATGTCATGCCCGTTTGCTCAGGATTTGTGGAAATAAATCTGATGTAAATCGAGCAGTGCTGACAGTACTGCACTTGTGCTATACTGTTTTAGTTTTGTACTTTTTAGATGTTTTAGGTGTTAACAATTGTATTTTTTACTCTGCTACACACTTCTCTGGGCTCCTTTAAGAGGAAGAGGAGGGGGGGAAAAAACCACAGAAAAAATATTATCATCTATTGAAAAAGAAGAATAGCCTGGCAAGCTTGTATGTGTAAAGCCGAGTCCTCTTTCTACTCCAGCCAGAAGCAACATGACATTCCATGCTCACTCTGCCCCTCCAACCTAGAAAGTTCCCTCCATTCTATACTTTTCTCATCCCTACCCCTCATGTCAAACCTATGCATGAATGCCCAACAGGGCTTCCTCAAAGTAAGTACAGACAGCCCTACTTTGTCCCTTCCTACATCCCTAGAGCACACTGAAGACTATAATAGTTTTCGCCCCATATTGAGTTACCTGAGGCCTTTTCTTATGTGGTAGACATGTGTTTGGGCTGTAAGTGTTGAAAATCAAATACTCCTCCACACCCACAGAGCAAGCTAAATAAATCATTGCCTAATGGAGAGAAAGTTAGACCACTGCCTTTCTCCATGACACGCTAGTTTTCAGCTACAGGGATTTGTGTTAGCATACATTGAAGGGTTAGCTAGCTTAATCTGTGGCACTAAAAACAAAAAGTCTTGCACTGTCTTAAAAAGGTTGACACCTTTTGTTAAAGCGTGCACTTATGTGGATTCATCAGAAAGCTTATGGCACAATAAAATGCGTTAATCTTCAAGGTGCCACATCACCTTTTGTTACCATATATTGCAATGGACCTCACTTGGTAGGTGGCGCATAAGGGTATAACAATTTATTAGTGATATTTACTGGTGGGGAGAGAAGTGAAGCAGGAACATCCTGCAATGTCACTCACCTAACAGGGTTGTTGTAAATATTTTTATTGAACGGACAGACCATATACTACCCTCAACTCTTAAGAAGGACGGGATTTAAAAAATTATACTGGTTCATTAACACACATATAACCTCCTCCTCAGCCTGCCCCTAGAAGCCGCCTGAGTAAGAGGCGACATGATCCCCCCTCTAGGGCCCGGAGGGGGGACTGGGAAGATTCCAAAGGCCAATTGCTAACTGTCTGATATATGGCTACATTGCAAACAGTCTGTTTAAGATAAATCAACAAGGAGGGTACAGAAGGAAATTTCTCTCTGTTTCTTTGATAACACCTGGACGGGAAAGATTAACAATCTGGGAGCTGCCAAAATAACAACTCTCAAAGAGCTGGACAGAACTTTGAAATTGGATGCAATTAAATGAAGCGGTGTGATGAAAAAACAGCTCAAGGAGTACAATATACGGACAAATCTGCACTCCAAAGAAAAGAAAAAGTATCGGTTTTCTGACATGAGTGAGGATCGTAGAACCAGAGTCAAAATGTGGAAGGGAAAAATCGGACATGGAATTATGAATAACATTGAGGATGATGAGAGGCAGGACTATGATGTTGAATGCGCTTTGAAATTCAGACTGTGGGAAGTCAAAACAAAATTATTACAATTTGGAAGACAATTGGACCTTTTTTTATTGGATTTGATTTGATATGTTAACTGGATGTTTTTATTGGAAAATTAATAAACGCTTTAAAAAAGAGGCGACATGATCATTTATAAAACTATGCATTGCATGCAGAAAGTGGATAGAGAGAAGTTTTTCTCTGTCTCCCATAACACTCCTGTAGGAAGCTGAAGGTTGGAAGAGTAAGACCGGATAAAAGAAAAGACTTGCAACGCACAGTTAAACTCTGGAACTCCCTTCCACAGGAAGGGGCAAGGGCCAACAACCTGAATGGCTTTTTAAATGTTGGTTCATGGAGGAGGAGAGGGCTACCAAAGGCTCTTCGTCCCCAGCTGGAGGCAGCGGTGCTTCCAAATACCAGTTGCTGGGAATCACAGGAGGGGAGAAAGTTTGGCGGTTCAAGACCCCAAGTTCCGATCCCCATACGGGCCACCTGCATATCCCTGCCTTGTTAGGTTTATCAAGGGTGCAATGAGATTAAGGGCCAATATCTGAACGATAATCTTGATCATTTTATTGTCCTTTTTACCCACTGTTGTCTTTTTAATTGTATATATTGCTTGTTTTATGTTGCTATGGCCGTTGGCTAATGCGAATAAAGTTTATCTATCTACCTATGTACTTTGTTTGCTGCTAAACAGCACCTTTGCTTGTCGGGCAATTTGATGCTTGAGTCTGAGATAGGAGGGTCCATTCGCCTACCACTACAGTGGTACCTCAGGTTACAGATGCTTCAGGTTACAGACTCCACTAACCCAGAAATAGTAACTTGGGTTAAGAACTTTGCTTCAGGATGAGAACAGAAATCACACGGCGGTAGCGGGAGGCCCCATTAGCTAAAGTGGTGCTTCAGGTTAAGAACAGTTTCAGGTTAAGAACAGATCTCCAGTACGAATTAAGTACTTAACCACTGAACCACTGTACTGTATCTACCCCTGCCTTGCAAGGGGGCTGGACTAGATGACCCTCGGGACCCCTTCCCATTCTGTGGGAAAGCGCTGTGGCGGGTTTCCCCCGCTCGGCCACTGCGGGAACAGGATAGCTGGGCTGGGTGAGGCACCCTCGGGCCTGATCCAGCCGCAGGGCTCACCTTAGTCCATGCTTAACCTCTCCCCCTCCCCTCGAGCCGCGCCCTCCCCCTCCCCCTCGCGGCCTACTGGCGCCCCTCAAACCCTCGCCCCTTCCCTCAGCGGCGTCGCCACCGAGAGGAAGGCCGTCACCTCACCTGAGCGGCGGGGAAGCGGAACCTTAAAGAGGGCCGGCTTCCTCCTCTCTCCTCTCTCTGGCGCCGGCGGCTCCGCTCGCTCTCCTCTCGCGCGCTGCCGCCTCAGCCGCCGCTCCGCCTCTTTCCCCGCCTCAGGCCTCGCCAGCGCCAGCGCGCATGCGCCCGCCCCCTCGCGCTCGGTTCCGACGCACCTGCGCTCCGCCCCCCCCTCTCTCTGCTAAGCCACGCCCACCCCCTCGATGTATATAACTTGCCTCCCCCCCGATGAGAAATGACGTCATGACGCCGAGCGTCACTCTGACCACGACGTGCACGCGCCGCTTCCCCGCCCCTCTTCCTCTTCGGCTCCACCCCCCGGCTAAGCCACACCTTCCTTTCCCTCACGTCCGCTTCCTAGGCCGGCGCGGAGGATGAGCGTCACCCTGATCGCTACGCGCATGCGCCAGGAAGGAACACGCTTTTCCTCGCCACCCCCATTGGTCCATCCAGTTCAGTGTTGTCTGCACTGACTGGCAGCTGCTGCCCGGTATTTCAGGCACAGCTCTCTCGCAGTCCGGGGGTTGAACTTGAGACCTTCTGCACGCCAAGCAGGTGCTCTACCACTTAGCTAGGGACATTTCCTTTAAAGCAAAGCAAGGTTCTAATCTTCATGGTTCTAAATATAAACTCATTTTTTTAATATAAAAAAGAAAGCACCTAAGATTCCAGTCCTCATGATTCCAAATACAAGGCAGCTTTAAACAGGAACATGAATATTAAATATTAAACAGGAATATATTTTTTTCACTTTTAAAAATCCAATTTGGAGGAGACTCTTGAGAGTCCCATGGACTGCAAGAAGATCAAACCTCTCCATTCTGAAGGAAATCAGCCCTGAGTGCTCCCTGGAAGGACAGATCCTGAAGCTGAGGCTCCAAGACTTTTGCCACCTTATGAGAAGAGAAGACTCCCTGGAAAAGACCCTGAGGTTGGGAAAGATTGAGGGCACAAGGAGAAGGGGACGACAGAGGATGAGATGGTGGGACAGTGTTCTTGAAGCTACCAGCATGAGTTTGACCAAACTGCGGGAGGCAGTGGAAGACAGGAGTGCCTGGCGTGCTCTGGTCCATGGGGTCACAAAGAGTCAGACACGACTAAAACAATAACATGATGTAAGAGATTGTACTAGAGACAACAAACACGAATCCAGCTTGATTTCAGATTAAACCTCAGAATCGTCACAACAATTTACAGCGATTTCATCTTCATTCCTTTTCCCGGATTTTTTTGTTTAAGCCAGTGAATAAACTGCCACTCTGTGTGTTACAAAGCTACTATTGTCACTCAAAAGTTTTTTAAAAAAATATGCCAGGTTGTGCCTGCTTGCTTGTGTGATATATAAAGAGCAGGCTAACAGATAATGAGTGATGTCTTCCATCTATCTGCATGTGGGAACTTGTTGTAGCAGCCACCCAAGACTGCAACGCGCATCACTTGGAAGCGGAGTTCAATAAAGGCATTTCTTAAGGAAACTGGTCAGTTTGGTAAGATGTTGTTGTTGTTTAGTCGTGTCCGACTCTTCGTGACCCCATGGACCAGAGCACACCAGGCACTTCTGTCTTCCACTGCGTCCCGCAGTTTGGTCAGACTCATGTTTGTAGCTTCAAGAACACCGTCCAACCATCTCGTCCTCTGTCGTCCCCTTCTCCTTGTGCCCTCCATCTTTCCCAACATCAGGGTCTTGTCCAGGGAGTCTTCTCTTCTCATGAGGTGGCCAAAGTATTGGAGCCTCAGCTTCACGATCTGTCCTTCCAGTGAGCACTCAGGGCTGATTTCCTTAAGAATGGATGCGTTTGATCTTCTTGCAGTCCATGGGACTCTCAAGGGTCTCCTCCAGCACCATAATTCAAAAGCATCAATTCTTCGGCGATCAGCCTTCTTTCTTTGGTAAGATAACCCACTCTAAAATATACTGCTCTCAAGGATGGCTACCAAGGGGGAATTGGGTGTTTTAATTAGTTGCAGGTCCCTTCTAGAGTCTATCCAGAAGAGTCAATCCCTTAGTTGACACGTACTCAATATCAAAGCAGAACTCAGATTTGGAAAAGAATAATTGTCTAAAACATCTTAATAGGCTGCTTTCTAGAGTTGGTTATGACTCAATTCCATATAACACAGTGCAAGAAAATGCTCAGGTCTACAATATAAAATAAATGTTCATAATTGTACCAGGCAAACAGATACATAAATATATAAACCCTATGTCTGAAACAGTACAGGAAAACAATCCTGAAGCCATGTGACTCTCCCAAATAACCTCAAATATTTCTCTGCAAGGAGGAAGGAAATGGGAAAACCTCCCCATTGGCTCTTTGCTCACAAATCCTGCCTTAAGAGTGTATCTGTATATGAATAGGGTGAGCCTGTGACCTGGATTCAGGAACTGAGTATTTACCATCACCAAAGAATGGCCAGACTGCCCAAGTAATGCAATCAGTGACCATTATCAGGTACCCTGGCAAACAGGATTTCTGCTGTAGACCGCCTCTTCTGCTGTTGACCGCCTCCTTCTGTGATGTATGTGTGATGTTTCAGTGGGGTGGTCTTGGGCTATATAACAGCTTGCATACCAATGTTCTGGTTTCCTCCTGCCTCCTGCATGTGGTGAGGACCCTGTTGCAACAGTTTAATAAAGATCAGGTTTACTAGCTGCCTTGCTTCTCAATATTCTCTGGTTGGCCTCTGTTATTTTCTCCTACTGATAGTGTGATAGGAATTCTGAGGTCTTAGATATATGTTAAATGTTCATAAGTGTACCAACCAAGCACGTACATAGATCAGCACAGGAAGACCAACCTGAATCCATTTTGATTCCCAAACTGACCAAATGTTTTCTCTGTAATAATAATAATAATAATAATTTATTATTTATACCCCGTCCATCTGGCTGGGTTTCCCCAGCCACTCTGGGTGGCTTCCAACAAAACACTAAAATACAATAACCTATTAAACATTAACCTATTAAACATTAAAAGCATCCCTAAACAGGGCTGCCTTCAGATGTCTTCTAAAAGTTTGGTAGTTATTTTTCTCTTTGACATCTGGTGGGAGGGCATTCCACAGGGCGGGTGCAAGGTCAAAGGAAAATGGAAAAGCCTCCCCATTGTCTTTTCCTTCACAAATCCTGTCTTAAGGGTATGTCTGTGTATGAATAGGGTGTGAGCCTGTGACCTGGCTCAGGAACTAAGTATTTGTCATTACAAAAGACTGGCCAGGCTCCCCAGGGTATCCAGTCAAGTGACCGTTATTAGGTAACCTGCCAGACAGGAGAAAAACAACGCACTCAGATTTCTGCTGTAGACCGCCCTTCCGTGATGTAGGTATGATGTGTCTGGGGGAGGGGGTCTTGAGCTACGCCCCTTCTGTGATGTATGTATGATGTTTCTGGGGGTGGTCTTGGACTCCAGGGCGGGCAATTTAAAATGTCTATATAAGGGCGGACACACCTGGGTTCTGGGTCCTCCTCCTTTCCTGCGTGTGAGGGGAGCACCCTGTTGCAACAGTCAGTAAAGATCAGGCTTACCAGCTGCTTTGCTTCTTAATATTCTCTGGTTGGCCTCTGTTATTTTCTCCTACCAATAGGGAACCTACGTAAGGACTCTATATGGGCTCTTGGGTACACCATAAAGGAAAGGGAGCAGTTTTTTTCTTATAACGGTAAGCATAGTAACATTTTTAAAAATATACTTTAGAGTGCAGTCTGCTCTTGCATTAATTGTTGGCTGCCTGCATTCTGCAAGCTGCTGGGTTTTGCTATAAGCAGAATCTGCTGCTGTTCACGTACCAATAGAGCCTGAGGTTGCAGGTTGCACAAGGCCAGCGATGCATTCATCCTCTTTAGGGAAGAGAAAACAAATCTAATCTCTCCATCCCTGTTTCCAAACTGCCTCTTCCTTCCACCAATTCGTATGACTGCCTTTTTTCTTCTTTTTTTACAGAATTAGATAAATCAAAGGTGAGGCGTGTTATATATCAAAAGTAATAATGACCGGGAGAAAAAAAGTATGGTGAATCAACAGATTCCAATTTGTCGTAAAGAATTTCTTCTACCTGGAACGGTCTCTTCTCTGAAACCTCAACCCTAGTTCTAGGCAGGGCTAAGCACAGCTACCAATGGCCCTCTTCTCCATAAATTTGTTCCTCTTTTAAAGCCATCCAAACAATTTAAAATACAGGTTAAAATGCAATTTAAAATGCAGCCTCATTTTAAAAGTAGCCCATGGATCAAAACCAAAAGGGGAGGGAAAACATAAGGGTCAGACCGAGTCCAAACCAAAGGCCAGGCGGAACAGCTCTGTCTTGCAGGCCCTGCGGAAAGATGTCAAGTCCCGCAGGGCCCTAGTCTCTTGTGACAGAGCGTTCCATCAGATCGGGGCCAGTACTGAAAAGGCCCTGGGCCCTAGTTGAGACCAAACTAACCACCTTGCGACTTGGGACCTCCAAAGTGTTGTCATTTGTGGACTTTAAGGTCCTCCGCGGGGCATACCAGGAGAAGCTGTCCCGTAGGTACGTCATACACTTCACACCCAGCTTCTCCTAGGTTTAGCTGTCTTGACAATAGCAGGTGGGGCTGAAGCCCTGTAGCAACTCTGAGTGTACACATCATTCCTGTCTTCCCACACTTCATTACTGAAGATGTGGGAGGTCATCAATCACAGCTGTCAATATACAGAGCACCCACGTTTCCTTTCCTGCAGCAGGTCAGAGACAGAATGTCAACACCGGGTGTCAAATTATGGAATAATAATATTTATACCCTGCCCATCTGGCTGTGTTTCCCCAGCCACTCTGGGTGGCTTACAACATATCTAAAAACATATCTAAAAACATCAGTCCTTAAAAACTTCCCCAAACAAGGCTGGCTTCAGATGTCTTCTAAAAGTCAGATAGTTGTTTATTTCCTTGACATCTGATGGGAGGGCCTTCCACAGGGCAGGTGCCACTACCGAGAAGGCCCTCTGCCTGGTTCCTTGTAGCTTCACTTTTCACAGGGAGGGAATCTTCAGGAGGCTCTCAGAAGAAGACCTCAGTGTCCGGGCAGAACAATGGGGATGGAGACACTCCATCAGGTACACTGGGCCGAGGCTGTTTAGGGCTTGAAAGG